TAAAACATGCTGTGGTAGTCCAGCACCAGACTTTTTGTTTTTAGTAGCTTAGCTAACGTTAATAATTTAGCTAACGTTAGTAGCTTAGCTAACGTGACCTCGGCGTGTGTCTTTTTGTTGTTGTTGCACAGACATGAGTGGTGGTGTCAACCGTCTCATCTGACTTAGAGAGGACATGTCCAATGTTAAACACTTTGTAAATGTACTTTCAACCCTGAGGATTATGGGTGAGTGAGTTCAAACATCTTCACCGAGCACCGAAATAGCCGAATGTGGGAAGTTTTATTGGTATTGATTAATCAGCAGAGAGCACGACCATCTCGATCCGCTTATCAGAGGCACTAATGACGAGCTCCATTAGTTTAATATTTGCGTTTATCGCTGTGCCCTTAGATGACTGTAGCGTTTCATTAGACATGTCTGCCTCATATCTCACTTTGCACCCAGAGGAAACTGTGAAGGGATTAATTTTATGATGGACCCCCCGCCTCCTCCTGCCTCCCTGCCTCCCTGCCTCCCTCCTCCTCTTCACTCCTTCCCTCCTTCCCTCCCTCCTCAGCTCAGCTCAGCTCCCAGCCACAGCCAGGGCACCCAGGAGGAATAGTGTCTTTGTCGTCCTGCCGTTTTTTGGAGTTGAGGAACAAGAGGAGTTTAATCCTCATTGTCCAGGAGACTGCAAAGGGTGAGGGGGGGTCCTCCGGCTGTAAAATGATCCAACTGGCCTCGGCTAATCCCCTCCTAGCCCCCACTCCCCGGGCCTGACCCCCCTCCCGGCCTTAATTCATGCCCCCGTACTACCACAATATCACTCTACAAACACACATCCAAACGTGGCGAATGTTAAAAACACAAAATCGGACAAATTGCAACACAAATTACGCCATATGAAAGGTTTTCCCACATCCTCTCTCTTCCTCGCACTCATAATATTGTTAATAATTTAATTCATAGATATGTAGTAAGGGGTTTAGTGGGGAATGTTTAAATGGGATTTAACTTAACCACCTGCACATATAGAGGCTTAATCAACTAGTAACCAATCTTCACTCTGGGGCTCCACCGGCTGGCTAATCAGCTGAAACCGCATGTGTCTTGTGAATTTAAGAGTTATTTTAGCAATGAAATCAGCCTGAATTTGTACTTTCAGCTGGCTGCGATGACATGTATGAATGCGTTTGTCTGTGTGTGTGTGTGTGTCTGTTAGTGACAGACAAATGAACAACAAACCGCCTCACCTCACGGCGTGCGTGGATGTGAAGATGCGAGTGCATGTGTAAGAATGCGTGTGCGGGTTGGCACAAAATAAAAACCCAATAAATAGCCTTGTTTTATTGTTCGTCTCATTAGCTGAAGGATTATTTGCAGCTCGTGCGGGACAGGGCTGGACGTCTACTTGACGTTAAGTCTCCCCCCCCCCCCCGACGAGACGGATGCTCTCCAGCCTGCGCAAATCTTCTCCTTTGAATTTTCCCTACCTTGAAGCAGACACCTCCCTCCCTCTCCGTCCCGTTCTGTCTTTATTTCTCCTCTGTTTCTCGCTCCCCTCCTCTCTTTCTTTTTTCCGGCGCTCCTCCCTGAGTGACAGCTCAATACCCGGCTCTCCCAGGCTTATCTAGCCTCAGCAGATGGTTGACTTGGATCACTGTTCATACGCCACGATCTGGGCCGGTGATAAAGACTGTTACAGCGTGAATATATACGCTATCTTTCTCTTTTCTCTTCCCTTCACTGGTTCCTCCTCTCACCTCCCCTTTGAGCGGCGGCCGTTCATCACGCCGCTCTCTCCATCTCTACCTGGACGCGTCTTCTCTTCTCCTTGCCGTGTCCTCCACCGCTCCTCAACTGTGCACTTTGGCCTAGCATCCCCACCCGCCGCCCCCCCTATAAATCCTCCCCTCTGCGCCTCCTCATCTCCATCCATCTCTGTGCATTGAATCTGGTGCTGCTTGATTGTCTGTGCCTCCCTGCTGGGCTGGCGCCTGTCTAAAGGGCCCCAGGACCCTCGCACACTGAGGGGCGCCAGCCATGCCAGAGATGCCCTCTGCCTCCTCTCTCTCCTCCCGTATCACTTCATCTGGTCCCTCTTCATCTCCACGGGGCCGGGGGAAAGGTCAAATTGACTGTCTTTTAGGGTTCTTCTTGCTCTTCTCTAGGAGCAAAGTCGCACCTATGCGCCAGTTGACCGCTTCAATATGTTTCAAATGGTTTTCTGTGTGTGTGCCAAGAGTACAGCGACTGAACAGGTGACCTTCAAAGTGCTGCAGCCTGAAGCCTTTTCACGCTCACACGTCTTCTGTTTTTGTTCCTTTCATTTACACCATCACTGCATTCGAACCACTGATGTGCACCTCACAGGCTCGAAAGGCCCGTTTCATCTTCTTCACTTGTCTGGATTGGTCATTTGATGTCCTCCTCGCGCGCTCTGCGTTGAACGCCGCCAACCAACAGAGCAAAAGGGCTGCCGCTCGTTGATGAAGGACGGGGACTGAGCGCCGCGGGCGAGACGAGCGCGAACGAAAACAACGCGGCACCGCGGATGGAAAGAAAGCGACTGGCAGAGACATCACTCCGTACTCTGTGTGCCAGTGCAGCGTGAGAGGGGAGACTACGTGAAGGTAAGAGGAAATTGTGCGAATGTAAGATGGCCTCTCGAGGAAAAGATGTGGAAATGTATCGGATAATAAAGCACAATGGGCGTTTTTGTGGAGCCGCCACCCCGTCACGTGGTGGAAAATCTCGTCCCCTGCGATGGATGAGTGGTTCTACCTCTCGCTTCCATTCTCCAGATTGTACTGCAGCCATCTTAATCTGAACCCTGGAATCTGGCAACCAACCCCCGGAGCACCTGCATCCGCCGGGCCCGACCCGCTTTTGTTCTGGTCCGACCCCCTAACTTCAGCCCCTAATTAACCCAACGGAAAGTAATTAAATGCAGCTCTAGTGGACCAGACGCCAGACCGAGAGTAGAAGAAGAAGAAGGAGGAGGAGGAGGAGGAGAAAAGGGGAAGGGAGCAGAGAGAGAGAGAGAGAGGAGCTTGGCCTCCACCTCCTGAGACCAGTTCACACACAGGAAGACGGGGAGAGAGATGCAAAATCGGAGGGTTGCTTGGGTGTCATTGTGAGCCTGGGTCGTCCTGAGCGCCACACTGACCTTGTACTTCTTTACACGCCGTCTGTCTGTTTTTAAGCTATTTCGAGGTCCTCCTGCGTGGCTGCCAACAGCTGTAATCACAAGCACACCAGTCACATGACGCAACTGATGCCCTGGAGATATTTGGAAAGGGGTAGAGACAGGATGGGGAGAGCCACCGAGAGAAAAGAGCATCGTAGAATGAAAGTGTGGGGGGGGGGGAGAAGGTACGGGACGGGATTGTGGGAAAGAAGATATCTAAATATGGGTTCAAACCAGCCAAGTGTCTCTGGCACAACGCCGCTGCTGTTAGTCCCAGGCACGGCTCGCTAAGTGATAGAGAAAGTAATTAAGAGAAGCCTGTTCAAGTAGATAGGCCTGTAAAGGAGATTTGAAGAGGGGAACTGATTGTGCATGTCTGATTCCAGCTCTTCAGAGAGTTCTCAGCCCCAAGGCTTAGCTTTCAAAGGGCCGTCTCTCTCTCTCCCTGTCTTATTTCTCCCTTTCTTTTTCCTGTAACGTATATCTACAAACAAAATAGGACTCTGTCTTTCCACATATCAAGCAGACGTATGGTTGAGTGTTGGACGGAATTTGGTTCTGATCAAGACATCAGTCCATCATGAATCCATCCAGATTTCCATCCTCCTATCTATCTATCTATCTATCTATCTATCTATCTATCTATCTATCTATCTATCTATCTATCTATCATCAATTTATCCTGCTATATAATATCCACCCATCCTTTTAGCTATATTTCCATCTTCTCTATCTATATATAATCCATCCTTCTATCTATCCATCCATCTTTCCATCTACACTTCTACCCATCTATCCGTCTATCGTCCATCTGTCTATGTATCATCTATCTATCCATCATATCACAGAGCTCAATAGATGTTTCATCTGCCTTTACAGAGAAAATGTTCCTGTTTTGACTCTTTACATGATGTGTTTTCCAATGATCCCCCTCTGAGCCCGCAGACAGGCCTACAGACACGACAGAGCAACACTGCCACCTACGATGGGCAGATAAACTGCCCATTGGTCAAGTCTAATGTGAGTTATGCTATAAAAAATAGAATTGTTTACAGCTTGTTGTGTCTTTGTGTATCTCATTGCCAAATATGTAAAACTGATTTAGAGTCTTTAAAAAAAAATCTAAAATATTTATGTCATGTTATTTAATTATCAAAAAATCTCTAAATATATATAAAATGTACAGAGAGAATAGGCAGTGTGTAGGTGGGGGCCCAGACATTTGTCTGTTGTTCATTTTTTTGTTATATTTCTGTTTCTAAAAGCCAGCAATAACAAAACATGGACATATATATTTATAAAAAGCCTTTACATGAATAAATAATGAAATCACTTATTTCCTCTTTTTCATTTGTACGAAAATGTTTAATGAGAGGAAAGTTTTTTTTAATGAGTAAACATCAAATAGAGTTTTATAAAAACAGAATATGATCAACAACTTCGGCGTAAGTGTGCTCTGATCATCGTGTCATTTTAGGATAGGACTTTTCAGTACACAGTCCAATTTTACTTGAGAGAGATTACAATTATTTTAGGAGACCAGAGGATCGATTCCTGCTCACGGAACTAATCTACTGGTGTCATCTGCTGGAGAAACTGCAGCGTTGACGCAAAAGTTAAATGTATATTTGATCCAACTAAATCCGGAATCTAGCGTCCTCTGCTGGGAGGGAATTAGACCGCACTGGACTTCACAGGGTCGCGAACCTTACACACTTTTATTGTTGAGACAATAAACCATTCGAATGGGTTCAATGTGCCAGGCTATAGGTTTATTTTAAAATATGCATATATTATATGTATATGATATTGTGCAATCTCATTGCATAATTCCGTTTCTGCATTAAAATAAATCATGTATCTCCCTTTATCAACAATTTTCCGAATTTGGCTTGATACAATCCTGTAAAATAGAAAAACAGACCACATATTTGTTTGTGATTCATGTCGAGGGGGATACATCAACGTAATTGTTTTTTTAATCCTAATTTGCTCCAGTTTCCCTTATTTGTGTTTTCCTTCTCTTCATTGTATTTTATTATGCGTATATTTTGTACACATTCTGGATCAATATTGTTGCCGTTGATACAACCGCGTCAAAATGCAAAGCAGTCATGAAAGCAGAGACCGAAGAGTCGAGGCCAATGACCTTTTCTCAAACGTGAGCATATCGGCCCCGGTGTCTGAAAGAGGACCGCATCTGTCGCGCGTTACGCCACTGTCGTAAAACGTCTCTGGCTGCTGTTGCAATGGCGTTTGCTGCGACAGCACTTTCCGGCAGCAGGGAAATTGAGGAGAAAGCGGCGACAACCGTCGCCAGCGGATACGTTACCCCCTCAGATACCCTCGGATTTATGCGATATTCGGTAAACCGACGTGTATATTGATTGTAAGCACATTCGCCCCGCGAATGAGCTCGTGTTCAACGTTTTCCAAGCGTGAATCTCCACCTTAATGCGGTGGGATGGCCACAGTGCCGCCTGGGCCTAGTAGCGCGCTGCCTTCATCCCCGGCTGAAATTTCTCCTTTCCCCGGGGTTGGGAGCGCGGAGCCGGCCGGGCAAGACGCAGAACCGGCCTGCCACCGCGAGGGCTGCGTGCCCGCCGGCACGGGGACGACGTCGGGGTCGGTGGGCGAAGTGAACAGGTCGCTTAATAAGAAGCAGAAGAGCATGCTAGCTAGAGCTAGCCCGGCGGCGCTGCACCTTAAAATGCGAGCCCGAGAGCAGCAGCAGTTAAACGGCTTGGCCAGCCCGCCGGAGGACGACGACGGCCACCAGCGCACGGGAAAGCGGCCTGACAACCCGAGACCGTCCGCGGACAACAGTGACAGCGGCAACGAGGAGGCTCCGGCCCCCAGCAGCCGCAGTGAGCATTGCCAACACGAAGGCCACGGCCCCTTCTCTAAAAACGGCCGTCACTCTCCCTTAGGTAACAATAGCGCGAACGGCATGCCGGGTTTCACGAGGACTGAGGGGGACGATGGGGGGCGTCCGGGGGTCGAAGGGGGCCACGAGTCTGACCCCGAGGAGCCGCCGAGCGACGGGCCGCCGGAAGCCGGGCCCGGCGGACGGAGAGGCCGCGCCGACCCGCAGGAGCCGCCGGCTGCGGAGCTCGCCCGGCTCGACCTCGGCGGGTCCCCGGGCCGAGCGGAGGAGGACGGCCACGGCATCCGCTATGTCCGCTACGAGTCCGAGCTTCAGATGCCGTGGATCATGAGACTGATCACCAAGGACTTGTCTGAGCCTTATTCAATTTACACCTACAGGTACTTCATCCACAACTGGCCGCAGCTCTGCTTTCTGGTGAGTAAAACCGGCTCATTGAGACGAAAAACACCTGCAGTCACTCGATGACTCTGTTCATCGGGTCAAAATAAAGTGTGATCCGGCTCGTAGCGCCTGAACTCTGGATACCTAAAGGTGCATCGCCGCACTGGGGAAGGGTGTGACTTTCCATTAACTGTTAGTGTGTCTTTTGGCAGCCAAACCGCTGATGCAACAAACAAACACACACACACATGTAAATGAGTGGCTGACTGCACATCGCCTTCGAAGGTGTTTTGTAAAGGTGGGCAGCGCTAATCTTTGTGGGTTTTCAGGATTTCAGTCTGAATTACTCGAGGAAAATGTATCCGACATGACAGAATTGTTTATGGTTCATATAAAGGGTCTTTTGTCCACTCACATGAGCAGGAGCTAAGCAAGAAGCAACCATTGTAAACCCTTTCATTCCAGTTTTAGTTGAGAGTAATGTGCTCGAAGTCTTTGTTTCCTCTTCTAATGACATTATCCAGTCAGGGGTTTCCACTCGCTGTCCTTTCTTTGTTCTCCTCTGAGCCTCAAGGTCGTATAAACTCTGTTCCTGTTCGTCCGAAACATCCCTGTAACGTAACAAGGAAGTGTCTTGAAATAAAGGTCAGAGGTCAGCCGGCAGAACCAGCTGAACTGGCAGGACGGTAGTGGAGCGGTAGGCTTTTCCCCCTAGACGCTCACAGGCCCTAAGTGTTGTGTGTGTGTGTGTGTGTCACAGGCCATGGTGGAGCAGGAGTGTGTCGGAGCCATCGTTTGTAAGCTTGACATGCACAAGAAGATGTTCCGCCGCGGCTACATCGCCATGCTGGCCGTGGACTCGAAACACAGAAGGAAAAGCATCGGTGAGATCGGGATGCTGCTAACAAAATCCATATATCCATGTGGCGTCAGATCGCGATGGGGTTTCTCTCTTCATACCGTGCGGGTCTAGACAGTAGTCTGGGATTTACAGTAAACCAGCATTCAACCGTTAGCGGTACCTGAGTGAGAAAAGAACTGGTAAAATGGTAAAGAATAAAGCTACTCGTCCGCCCTTTCACAGTTGGGAGTGGAGACAAACAGCGTCTTTTGTGCTTTCTCTGAAGCAAACGCAGGATCTATATAAGTCGCACACTGTGTAACGCTGTACTTGCACTTGAAAAGAACATGTATTTATTTACTCGAGGCTATCAGATATCCAGTGTTATGTCACTAAAAGTGGTTTTATTCATTTGTGTGCCGTCACTGACTTGGTCTCCTCTACTTCAGGTACTAATCTGGTGAAGAAGGCCATCTACGCCATGGTGGAGGGAGACTGTGACGAGGTGAGGACCGTAGATCTGATTATCTTTTATTCGTGCTCTTTGGTGCATTCAGAGAACATTAAAAGCCAGAAAGACACTTTTTGTGGTTTCATCTCTGATAGACACACATACACAAGCTGCGTATTCACCCACAAAGAGACCCCCGCCCCCCCTCCAAATCCTGCCAGGGTGTGTGATGTATTGGTAATACCTGGAACAAAAACACATGAAATAACTGCAATACATTACTACAATTGGTTTTGGTTGCAGGCCTCTGTGTGCACAAACCAAGGCTTGAACGTCAAGGACCAGTTTTCTCTCCCCGTCCCTTCACTCATCTCAGTTGGCCGGTGACCTTGGTGGCGCCCGCCGCCCCGAGCCTCTTACTATTTCCTCTACTTCACCTGCTCTCCAAATAACCACCTACTGCCGCTCTGGTTCTCCTGTTGACCTTCCAGGACCACGGCCTTTTTATAGGAACGTAGTTTCTTCATCTGTAGAGTTACTGCGGACACTGCCACTGTATCGCAAGCTGCGTTTTCTGGTGCTTCTTTTATCCGCATGCAGTTTTTTTCTACGTGAGAACGGATCTTTGACTACTATGTTCTCAATAGTTTTGCAGCTAAAATGCGGAACTAAGTCACACAATAGCACCGTCTAACTGGAATAGATATTTCCCTTCTCAGCTCCTTTCTCACAGCTACTGTTGTGTTGCCTACTGTGCTCTTCAGTCAAACTGTCCGTAGCATAACAACTAGAAGCAGTGTGAAACGTGTAGCTCGGCCTGAGGCGCATTTCAAAAGTGTGTGTGTGTGTTTAACACACATGGATGTAGAACATTCCTCCATTGAAGCTATTCTTGACCAACGACAGCTGACCCTGCAAACTGCTCACAGCGGCTGAGACATCAGGTGCTTTAAAGCTAATTTACTGGATTTTTATTTGTCTAACCTTTATTCATTCAGGGAGATTCTAACATTAGGGTCCTGGTCCGTCCCGTTCCTGCATCCTTAAGAAATAACGTAGTTCATAACGCAATGTAACACTTTCAGCGCTCTCACCACAAGCGGCGCAGGATTTAGGAAATGACTTCCATGCCGACGAGAGGTTTCAGCTAGCGAGTATCTGTCGTCAGTGAGGATACAGACCGAGTTGTTGTGTGTTGCGTGGCCGCGTACAGACCACGTGCTGACGTTAGTGACCCAGCTGACTGGTGGAGGTGCTGGAGAGCAGCTCTCCTACCAACAAGTTCTTCCTGATGGCCGTCCCATCTTCAACACCGCGCGATGTTCATTTCGTATATACGGTTATGCTTTAGGGCGGGGCTGGCTTGTGACTGACAGGTCGCCACCATGTTTTTGTCTTCTAACTTTAATCCTTTTCACGGTGTGTTTTCAGTTCAGGAAGTTGAATTTGAATGCTTGCTTGGTCGTCCTGGAAATGTATTGTTGGATTGTACTTGGCTCCACCCCCTTGTGTCACTTCTGCCCCCCCCCACCCCCCCCCAAAACAAGATGGCGACAGCCAAAATTCGGTATTTGAGGCTTCACAACTTTAGTCCGCAAACCAATGGCTGACGTCATGGTGACTATGTCCACTTCCTACACACTCCCTTTGGCTCACTTCCAATAACATAAAACAATTAAACAGGGCTGAAACGTGCAAAACATTCTGTCGGGGTCCACGGCAACCGAGTGACGAGGATCCGTCAGTCCTCTCGTGTACCAAACGACGCACTGACGCCTTTTGTCTGTCTGTCCCCAGGTTGTATTGGAGACTGAAATCACCAACAAATCGGCCCTGAAGCTGTACGAGAACTTGGGTTTTGTCAGAGACAAGCGGCTGTTCAGATACTACCTGAACGGAGTGGACGCGCTGCGGCTCAAACTGTGGCTCCGCTAGAGGACGGGAGAGGGGACGGGTGAGGACGAGGACAGCCGGTGCTGTTCACCTCGTACGCTATCGGCTCGACAGCCTCAGCTCAGCCCTGGTCATTTCCCCTCGTGTACACACACACACACACACACGCATACATCACACACCTGTGTACACACACAAGCAAACCCTCTTCTTGCCCTTGACCTTTGAACTGTTGTTTAGGCAGAAACGGACTGCCCCCCCCCCCCCCCCGATCTTCTCATGACACTGTCTGACCAGGAGGGAGGGGTGGGGGATGGTCTCTGGGATGACCTTGACTGGGGACTAGATGACCTCTTGAACTTTAAGCCTGGATGACGCATTTGACCCCCCCAGAGGACTGGGCCCCTCACCGGATCCTCCTGCAGGCCACGGGTCACAAACCGAGAAAAGTCGAGCAGCAAAACGTGAAGCAAAGAAGCGGCGCAAGGAAGAAAAAAGGAAGAAACTGGGTACCGCCTCATGTTTTTGTTGCTTTGTTGGGGGGAGGGGGGGTTTGGTGCCTACGGCGTGGTCGGTTTTGCGTGATGTCATGTTTTTGTCTCCCATCCTGTCTGTCACCTGCCTCGGCCCCCAGTCTGGCTGAAGCCTGTAAAGGTGTGTGTGTGTTAGCTTGTTAGAGCAGTCGACCCCCCCATTAGCACGCCACTTTGTTGCTTCAGTGTCCATCACTAAATCCCTCATCAGACCCCAACAGTATGTGCAAGCAGTTTTTTGTTTTTGTTTTTTACCCCGCAATGCACTGCCAACCGCTGCAAAATCCTCCAAAAAGCAGGAAACCGATTCTTTTAAAGAAGCTCCTCGCCAACAACCACGTGATCTCCGTTTACTCCTTTTTGTCTTTTTCTTTAATCGACTCCTCGATGCAAGTTCCACTCGATCCATCAGCGCTGCGTTTCAGGGGCGAGCGGCGCGCCGAAACAAATCCTGTTGTGAGTGTGTGTGTGTGTTATCTCTTGATAAAAAAAGGACAATAGACAAGTATTCTTAGCAGATTGTATTTTATTGTTTGTGCGCTCTCAGTCTAAACACACACATTACATTACATTACATTACAGGTCATTTAGCAGACGCTTTTATCCAAAGCGACTTACATTACACTTTAAACCCATGGCTTTTTCACATTTTCGCCTGGGGAGCAATTAGGGGTTAGGTGTCTTGCTCAGGGACACTTCGACATGGAACATGGGGCAGCCTGGAATTGAACCTACAACCTTGTGCTTCCCAGCACACCTTCTCTAACCCCTGCGACACGACGACACCTGTGTAACCTCATGCTGCTCCGAAGCCGCTGAGTCCGCGGTGCCCTCGACCGATGCACGACCAACCTCGCCGACATTTTGGGAGCGTGTCTTGGATGCACCCTGACCTTTCCGATCCACACTGTTTATGAACAAAGGTCAGACTTCTTCTGGAACCGCTGCAGTGTCTGTGTGTGTCTGTGTGTGTGTGTGTTATTTTGACTGGCTGTGGATCGGTTAGACCTTTTTTACGTCGTGCACAGGAGAAGTGTAGACGAACAAATCGTCACAAATCACACACTTTGCGTTATTTTTAGCGTTCCAGGACTCGTCTTAAGCGTTTGCTGCGAGCGAGGACGGGAGACGATGCGGCCGATGGCTGAGGGACGAATAAACACGTTTCAATCTTTTAAAATAGAAATTAAAACAAAACTTTACATCACAGGTTGTTAATGCAATTTTTCTCGAAAGTCAACTTTCAAATGTTGCAGTTGGACGTCTGCGTGCTTTTACCCTGCCGGCATTATTCCCAGTAGGACGCAGCACAGGTCGCTACCGCGGGGAACGACCACAGTAGCATCAGCTGCACAAAGACAAACTGCGCTGACGGCTGTTTGGCGGCCGGACGGGTTCACAGACTCGCGGGCCGATGAGCCGCCGCCCAGTCGGTGAAGTTCTGGGTTTTGTTTCCCCTCGTCAGCAGAGCAGCTGAGACGTCTCGTCCCCGGGGCCCAGGACTGAAAGATAAAGTGGCTGTTTACAGAGGTGCCACCTTCACACCAGCCTGTGTGTGTCTGTGTGTGTGTCTTTGTGTGCGCGTTTGGCACAAAGGTTCAGATGACGTACTATTCACTATTCTTTTCTTTGGGGTTTGTATAAGAGTGTTGATGTATTCCCTGGATATAATGAGCGCATGTTTTTGAGTTGAATCATCCTTTGGGAAGGAAGGGTCGGGTTGTCTTGTCGAGATTTTATTTTTGTTTTTTGATTTGTTTCTACTTCAGCCCATCCAGAGAATATGGAGCGCTTCTCAACGGACAAGCGAGAGGAAAAAAACGCTCCCCCCTCAGCGACTATTTCCTTTACTGCTCCTCTGACGCTGTTTAAATTTAAATGATCACCCTGTGTTTAATTCCCCCCCCCCTCTCCATGTAACACCTCCCAAAACCAAGCCGTCTGGCTCCATCCGGCGGTCCGTATGTATGAAGAGGCGTTTTAGGGTTTCTTTCTTTCCTTCTTGGGCTCTTGTGAGATCCTGGCAATTCCTCGTGGATCGCTCCTGGTCTCCGACTGAAGGGCTGCGTCGCCCGTCGGACGGTAGCCGCGTCCCGTCCCCCCCCTCTCTGACAATGCATTCGGGATAAGTTTTGAATTTACAAGCCAGTTCAGTGTTCACAGGTTCTTTCCTCCTCCTGGACGTCCTCTGTGGTGTCCAAGCGGTAAATGATAACAATCAGATCCCTGCTCCTCACCCGGGGAGACGTCTGCCATCCTACAGCCCCCCTCCCCCCCCCCCCCCCCCAGAAACCAGGGTCATATAGACCAGATGTTTTCCACTAAAGAAGCTGTGGTGGTGGTGGAGACCTGCGGGGGCTTTTCTGCAGTGTTTTTCGGGGGCTGGCTCCATGAAGCGTGCAAAGGGGAAAGCAAAGTTCTTCTGCATGTCATGTTTCTGTTTCCCCTGTTCCTCTCCCCCGTCCCCTCTTGATTTTGATCTGGAAATGTCCGATAGCTTTTATTTAATGTGGAAAAAGAACACAGAAATAAATTATTTGATTTTTTTAAGGCTGTAAACTCTTATCTTGTCTGCTGTCTGGAGTGTTTTTCTTGAGCTTTGTCATAAGAGAGTCCCAATCGACACATCGAGGAATTCTTTATTTGATCACATGTTTCATATCGACACAGAGACAGAAAAGTGTCCACTATTACCACACATCTCTAAAACAGTATTATTGCAAATAAACAGGCAGTTGTTGAAGCATTTTGACGTGTGAAATTGCAGAAAGTATATTTTTCCAAAAGAAAATACCCTGTTTTGACGTCGTTGCTGTTAAACAGCTTGCTCATATTTTTCTTGTTACTGTATAACAACCTTTTTTTCCGTAACATAACACATTGACTACACTATTATTATTGCATCGCAGCAATTTGATTCCTCGTCTTTGGCAAAACGTCTTTTATCGGTCCTCCTCTCAACCACATTAAAGCACAAACTATACAAGATAATGCAGAAGTGAGCTGTGAGTAAGTAATCATTTGTGAAACAAACTTATTTCTCCAATGTTGGTGCTTTTCCCGCCAACAGAAAAACTTAATAGTTATATACTTAAAAAGACTTATATTGTACATAAAAATCAGTTTTGTGCTACATACTTTTATATGAAGATATTTTGTATGTGCGTATTGCAGTAACTTAAAGAAATAGAACATGTATCTTTCCACAAGTCACATTTGAATGAAGTATTGATTTAGATGTTTTGTTTATTGAAGGTTCCTGGAAAACTTTTTTTTTTTTTTTTTTGGAATCCATCTCACTCAACAAACAAGTTAATCTCCCCAAATATTCCTTTAAATATCCTCGATATGTGGCAAGAATTCACACTAAAACCACTGATCCCAGGTCAGCTACACATACGGTACATTTATATTTACATGTTTATGGAACTCAACTCTTCTACAGCCCTTTTCTTTTTTTTATTACTTGATGAGAGCACCCAGCTGGCCCACGCGACCCCTCCGCTCAAACCATTACATCACGCCAGCCCCCCCCCCCCCCTTCCCCCGGAAGGTCAAAAAAGGCCCTCTCTGGGTGGGGGGGGGGGGGTGGGGGGTTAAGGCCAATTGCCACTAAATTCGGATGGACCCGAATAATTACACCCCCAACACGCCCCGGTGAATGGGAAAGGCGGAATTCTATCCATGGGGCGTGGCCCGCCCAAGTCCCCCGCGCCCGGCAGGCAAAAACTGTCCTCTCTGCGATCCGCGCACCAACTGTGCCAGGCCCTGGGGGTCCGTCCCGGGCTCGAGGGGTTGCTGGAGAGAAACAGCGAACTACAGGGACTCAGTACGGGGCGCGTTGCTCCGCGAGCGGGTGAGCGCGACGAGTCGGGTAACTGACCTCGTGCTGCCGGACCTTCCTCCGCTGGTGTTTGAAGCTGTTCCTCCTCTTGCGGTGAATCACGCGGATGCTGTAGAGGGCGCCGACGATCAGCAGGGCCCCCGTGATGCCGATGCCCACGGGGACCAACATCCCGGACACGTAGCCCGCCTATGGGGGGGGGCACAGAGGTCAGAGCGCGGTGGTACATTTCTTCTTAAGATGGATCGGTGGGGGAGCGAAAGGAAACATGACGCGTGGAGGGCAGCAGGGGGCAGTCTTACCTTTTCCCTGATGAGCTCCACCCAGCTCCTCACTGGGGGGGGGAAAGAGCCACAGGTTGAGCACCGTTCCTCAATTGTTCCTTTAGGTGTGAGCACTAAATACTGCGCTGTATTGATTCTGACGTTTGCTTACTCAGCCCCTGGTTGCGTTGGAACCAGACGGGAGGCGGAGGGATGAGGCTGTACGGAGGCCGAGTAGACGGCGTTTTCGGTGTCTCCGTTAGGTCCTCCTCGCTGTCGTCCTCCACAGAGTCCTCGGAGTTCTCGTCGTCCTCGTCTTCATCCGGCTCCTCTGCCGGGAATAGAGACAAAAATGATCTTCTCATCAGCCGGGAAAATATCTAATATTCATGAATCAAACATACAAAAAGGAAAACTCGCCTCACCCTCGGACTCCATCTCCTCCAGCCCAGATCTGGATTTGTGCGCTGGCCGACGGGTCGCCATGGTTACCGTTGTCATAGCGCGCCGAAAGGATGAGAGGGAGGGGCCAGTGGCAAGGAGGCGCTCCTCGGGGTCCGGTGTCCCTGCTGCACCTACAGGTCGCCAGTCACACGTGCCAAGCAGACAGCGGGGGGGGACGTTTTAAACGCCTGGTGTCTACGAGACGACCATTAGACTCGAAGCGTAAATGTGTTTACAGGTTCCCGTTAAATAAGCTCCTTCACGTCTACTTCACGAGATTCATTCATTCATCGAGGTCCCGCCCCATCACCTCTCTCAGAGGGATCCTCCGCCCCGGCGTGAGGCTGCGGCTCCAGGAGCTCCCCGCCAGACGTCTGCCACGGCGACGTCCAGTCCGGCATCAGCAGGGAAGGCGCGTCCGAGGGGCCCGTTGCGGCGGCGGCGGCGGCGGGAGGCCGGGCGCTGCCGGGCGCCGGCGCGACCGCCTCGGTCGTGACGTCTTCGAACGGCTCGAAGATGAGAGGCAGGGCCTCCGACGACATGGTGCCCTCCGTGGCCTCGTCCTGAGACGGCGGCGCCGCGGTGTCCCCTGTAGTCAAGAGGCAGAGACAGAGCGACGGTGAGGACGTGGCGCGTGGCGTTTAAGTCACGAAGGGCAGAAGGCTTCGGGGCCTTTTCTCATTAGAAGCACTTCCGCTCTCTCAGAGCCGGGTTCAAAGCGGGATTATTCATAAAGTGGCTCTTTCTAGATAAGAGGGACACAGACGGGGGCTTTCACCACTGCATTTCTCTAAGGCGTTTCTCAAGTTGGCTGAAAATGCTTAAGATCCTTTTATATAACGATGTTAGGGAGTTTCATTTTTTCTTCTTCTCTCCGTCGGCTTCCTTTCTGTTGGGAGGAAGCTTCATCAAACAGACAACCCCCTGAATGGAACACATATTGGCTCAGACCGACTCCTTTAATCCATTTCCCTCTGCCTCTGAATAATAATATGCCTGTTTCTTCACAATTCGTCTGGACGACGACGACGACACGAGAAAAAGGGTCTGAATCCTGCAAACCACTTGCATAACACATGCCTCCACGGAGCCATCCGGTTGTCTGTGTTCCCTGTGCGGTTTTCTACGGGCTCGAGTCAGGAATAGAAAGTAATTAGACCGCCACGGGTCCCAGCTGGGGTTCAAAGTGGAGCGTGGAAAAGCGGGCGCCTTTCTTCCTTTTCCAATCATCAAAGGCAATCTCTGCCGCCAGACACGTCTTTTTCATTTCCTGCCTCACTTTTTTAATGAAGCCGCGTGAAAGCGGGCAGAAAAGCCCTGCTTGTTGTGGACGGCAGTCGTATGAAGGCGGAGCATTAGCTTACACAAGTTTGCACATGTTGAATAAGGAATTAAAGAAAGTTCTGCCTGCCCAAAGAGCTTGATTTGCCATCAACGTGACTTGTTCCGACGGTTCTGACTCACCCCCACCGGGCCGAGACGCCTCCGTCCACAGGCTCCCTGGTCCGTCTTCTCTGATGGGGTCTGGGAGGGAGGACATGGTTTCATCGCGGCCCCAAATCGACAAATGGGTGGAGGTCCGAGGGGAGACCGAGGGAGGGATGCAGCTGACGGAGGCGTCTCTCTGGGACGACGCGCCGGGATTAGGGGATTCTGAGGTGGACGGCGAGCTTGCTTCTGGGTCTCGTTTGGCCCGGTCCGCCTCCCTTTGGTCTCCGGCCTCCCCGGCGGTGGAGCTCAGCTGTGGGGGCTCCAGCGAGGAGGCCGTGTCCAACAGCCTCCTCCCCCCTGCAGGACCGGACACAGGCTGATTGAAGACAGCTGCGTCCTCCCGTCTTCCGTCCGGATCAACGGACGGCACCGGACCTGTCTGTCCCTGCGCGTGTCCCATCTCGGACAAGCTCGCCGACGTCTTCGCCCGGCTGCTGTGGCTCGGTGCGTCTCCGCCGGCCTCACCCGGCCCCGATCCTCCCCCGAGGCCGTCCCCGCTTCCCGTCTGCGTCACGGGATCCGTCCCCTCGGGTCGTCCACGCGGGCCGGCCCCTCCCACCGCACTTACACCCAACACCGGGCCCGTCACGCGTCCTGCGCTCGGGGACTCCACATCCGCGCGGGGAATTGACCTGGAGGTTGCGACCGAGCCGTCCGTCGCGGGGGGGGAGTTGGGGAGGTGGACGGGGGTCCCGCAAACACAGAGACAGGTCCCAGCCAGCAGGAGGCGACGGACCCTCCCGGACATCGGCATTTCTGTTTCGTTTCAGTCCCTGCTGAGAGGGGGGGGGGGGGGGGACACAAAAAGATGAATGCTGATTGGCTGGTGCGAGCCGTCTCTGCAGGTGGGACAGAATAGACGAGAGGACACCAAAGCAGCTGCAGATTAAAGGGCCAGAATGCAAAATGCATAGAACTTGACACGGGATTCACTGTCTGCCTTTGCTTTGATGCTGTGATGACACAGGTTTTTTTTTAACAATTCCAAAACATTTCCCTTTTCTTCGCAGTCCTCTGATCATTTTGTATCGCCAGATGGAAGTGGATGCTGGAGTCACACAGAGAGAGAGAGAATCTGACACAGCAATCCTCAGCACCCCCTCCGCACTTCACCTATTAATAGCACCAGGTTTTCTGTCCTCTACAGATGGATCCATGGACGTTAGAATCACAAAAACAAAAAAACTGCAAAGCGGCAATTTTCAAACGTGCACGTTTTTATTGTAAAACGCTGAATTGGATTGGCGGGAGAAAAAAATGCACAGTTGAGAGAGAGGCGCAAATTGTTGCTTCGCGCGACGTGTCCCCAATGATCACCGAGCCCAGGGTGACACCCTTTCATAGCGTCTGAGTCAGACGTTCCCACAATGACCCCCCCCCCACCGCCCCGTGATCGATCGATACAGCGATCAGCCCGCGCGCTCGAGTCAACGTGTCAATGGCGCGAGCGTTTGGGCTGCAAACGTGTGTTGTTGTTTTTTGGCGCTGCGGAATTTATCCTGCTGCCTCCCAACGACTACAACGCATCCCCTCAAATCATCATCCATCACAATAATCCGACGGTGGGAGCGAAATGCATTTAGGTGGATATTTAAAGAGGCGTAGAATAAATACCTTGCAGCGTTCATGGCGGGTGGATCTGCCTGGAGGACGCGGAGCTTCTCCTGCAGTGTGCAACAACAAAAAAAGAAGACAAATTCTGTTTGCGCGGACACAATTTCAGGAGAGTCAAGTGTGGAAAGCAAGCCGAAGGAGAGGCTTGTTGTTGAGCAGCTTGGCGTCACTGACTGGAAGTCTCAGTCTTCTCTACGACCGCCTGCTCCAGAACACGTGCTGCCACCAAATGCCCCAAATCTGCAGAATGTGGACAAATTGTCGGCTTTTAAATGGGCTTTACGATGTAACCGTAGTTTACATGGATGTATATTCCTTGTTGAGCATCATTATTAGTTCATTTTTTGAATGGTGCTGAATGGACAGCTAATTGACCCCAGGTGAAAAGTCACCTAACCACAGAGAACACCGGGGACAAGAGTGGAAGAAAACTGTCAGTTTCTTAAATTGAAAATATAACATCAAATGTTTTATTGCTATCTAGATAGAAATGTAATCAGCTGATCTACTTTAAATAGCTTTAGATGCATGAATTAATGTTTCGTGTGCGCATCAATTACACAAGGCAGTGTTTGAAAAGAAAGGGAAATACTGTATCTCAGGCTCCTTCCAACGATGCTCATCCAATGAGATTATAAACAGAAATACAAATCTTCAGAGATGCTATGTATGCTGCAATACACATTACAAGCATACATCTAACATAGATTCAAACAGTAAAACGGTGCGTCTAATAGAAAGTATACTTTTCAATGAAATAATATTTCTCAAGATTGTTCAGGTTTTACTTCATCTATTTGAAACGTTGGCATTTGGCTGATTAATAATGTTCCTGTTGAATAGAAAGTTTCCATCAACCTCCACAGCTTTTCATCCTATTTTGAGCAGGCAGTCCACGTGACGTCATGGCGTTTTCTTAAAGACCCCGCCCTACGCAAACCGGAAGACAACAGCCATCTTTTTCTCTCCTTTTGATACGATGCGAATGTGCCACTGTCACACACTTACCGCTGACGTTATTTAACAAACCAATAAAATGCCCTTATTTGATGGTTTGGGAAGCGGAGGAGAGAAGACTGCGATCGTTATTGACTTGGGAGCAGCGTACACAAAGTGAGTACCAGCCGTTAGCACGTACAGGTTAGCACAACATGCTAACCTGTACGTGTGTTTTCTTAACTAGCCGCCGGTATGTTGTCATGCACTTGTATGTACCGGTTAATACGTGCTGTTGCGTTCGATTGCAATGTGAAACCACACAGTCGATGCTTACCAGACACATTGGTGTTTAGCCATCGACAGCTGAGGATAAATTAAAGCTAAGATCAAATCCGACAGGTAACGCTGTAAGAAATGCCTCTGTGAGATTATACGGTATTTAGCTGGTGGTATTTTTTGGCATGAAAGCTAAGTTACATCATTTGTTATTCTGCTGGAATTGGAGAATCATATATTATTGGGACAAGAGATCCTTGATGGCCTGAGGCAAGTCACATGGAGATCAAGAGGACTTAAGTCTTTGTGTACAGTCCCTTTACTGAATTGTACTATGGGATGTACTGAAGCCCAAGTTACTGGTTGCATTGGTTCTATTAGTAATATTGTTGAATAATTCATAGTATGAATGTCAACCTCCCCTTGAAGCCCTCTGGCTGCTTCAGCTGACTGTTTACTCCTTTTCTTGCAGATGTGGCTTTGCAGGGGAAACGGGGCCCAGGTTCATCATACCCAGCGAGATCCGGAAACCTGGACAGCAGCAGGTGAGAACCAGCTGTGCTCGGAAGAACGCTCGGACGCTGCAAAACATTTGTAACCGCGGCCTTCACGTCTCTTTCAGGCCGTCAAGGTGGTTCAGTACAACATCAACACAGAAGAGCTTTATGTCATCCTCAAAGAGTTCATCCATTTACTGTACTTCAGGTGAGACTCCGCTGTGCTGGTTATCCGTTGTAAGCTAGGATTAAACATTATTTATACAACTTGTACTGCTTTTTTTGTGTTTCGAACCTCATCAAACCAATGCTTTTGCTCCGTTTGTTTCAATCAGGCACCTGCTGGTGAATCCTCGCGACAGAAGAGTCGTCATCATCGAGTCCATCCTCTGCCCGTCTCACTTCAGGGAGACGCTCACCAAGGTTTTCTTCAAACAGTTTGAGGTATGAAAACCAAGCAGAAACATTTACATATTTACAGCACAGGTGGTCCTGCACTAACGCACTTATTGACATTGATAGTGAGTGTAGTGTGTTTGTGTGTGTTCACTGGTATGTTCCAGGTGCCCTCTGTGCTGTTTGCACCAAGTCACCTCATGGCCATCATGACTTTGGGTATCAACTCTGCTCTGGTGATGGACTGTGGCCACACAGAGACGCTGGTGCTGCCTGTATCCTTTTCCTGTCATCTTTGACCTTTTTTCCACTTTAGGATACGGATTTGTTTGCCTTTTAGGAGAGACGATTGCTAAATGGAGAGAATGGTACAGGGAAATGATTCTAAACTAAATTGTTTATTTTTAGGGTGAATAAACTTAATATTTAACTGCCTTAACTGTGAACCCAGGTCTACGAGTGCACTGCAATTCTTCCAGCCTGGGAGGCTTTGCCTTTGGGAGGAAAAGCCATCCATAAGTAAGTAGCTGACTTATTTAAGGAGTGTGTGTGTGACATGTCGGTTTGCACTTCTATTTTACACGTTGTTCCATTTTTTTAAGATGTGCTACCTTTCTCCACCCGTAACGAAAGAGCGTGTGTGTCTGTTCTCCTCATAGGGAATTAGATGGGCTCCTTGTGGAACAATGCACTGTGGACACAGACACCACCACGGGACAAAGTGTACCAGCTGCCATTGGTAATTACAGAAAACACACTATGTGCCTTTGTCTTTTTAAATGAATAAAGCTGTAACTTTGATATGGGTTGTTTAAGAATGCAAAAAGGCCGATTATAACGGCTGTCATTTATTATTTATCGACCGAACGTGTTTATGCGTTTGCTTGAGTCTCCTGGATTTTTGAATTATAAATATCCACGCGGTCCGTTTCAGCGTTTTCTCTCCACCCTCTTTCTTTTTGGAGTAAATCCAACCGCGTTGAGCTGTGAGATCTACAGCTGCAGCAGAGGGAGAAGCTGCGCATGACAATACATCAATAATTGAGCTCAGCTGCTGAACCAACTGCCTTTCTGCAGGAAGCACAGGCTGAGATCTCTAATCAACCATCCACTGTGGGCATGATTCAAAGAGAAACATAAATGTTCCCAATCTCTCCATACAGGGATTTATTAACCATCCTTCTGGCAGCAGTGACAACGGGAACCTGTTTTACTTTCACATCAAGCAGTCAGCAGTTTGCTACTTGCCCTTTGCTGCATTATCAGCACACGCGTTCCCCAAACGCTTTTTCCACCTGACTCCTCGTTAACTGACTGAGCAAACTTAAGAAAATAAAACTTGACTTTGGTGTATGTCTTTTTTATTTTCTCCCCAGGGACCATCCCAGAGGACACAGTAGAAGATATCAAGGGTAGGTTTTGATTGGGGGGGGGTTCCGGCCCCCTCGCTTTGCTCCCTCGGGGGGCGATGGCTCTAGATTTTAATTATTCCCTTCAAAGGCGGCGTTCCCAAAGCCAACTACACAACGAATACATACTTGTATTGAGACTTTTTTAAAAGTCATTACAGGTTATTAATATTATTATGCATGTACTTGTGTTTTTATTTTTTTATGTCTGCTTGTTTGTTTCCTGCAGTCAGAACGTGCTTCGTCAGCGACCTGCAGAGAGGCCTCAAGATCCAGGAAGCCAAATTTAACCTGGACGGCACAGCGGAAGTAAGACACAACAGATTTTATTACTTTCCACGTCGTTGTACTCGGCCTGTGGACAAATGTTTGAGTTCACTAAATCCTCGCTGTGCTTTTCTTCTCGTGAATGTGTCGCTAGCGCCCGGCGCCTCCTCCAGACGTCGATTATCCTCTGGATGGCGAGAAGATCCTTCACGTCAAAGGATCCATCAGGTAGCTCATCAGACCCAGAGACTTTTACGTCTTGCCCTTCTGTGAAATAGGATTTTCTGGTGCGAATGTCCTCGTTGTAACTTTCTTCTTCGCGACGATACATTTGCCTTTTAACATGCTTGTTTCCTTCGCTATGTCTTTATATATTTCAGACACAAAGTTGTCCCTCATTAGATTCTTCTTCTTTTCCTCCAGGGATTCTCTGATGGAGATCCTGTTCGAACAGGACAACGAGGAGAAGAGTGTGGCTTCTCTGATACTTGACGCTCTGGTGAAGGTAGATAACATGCTAATTAAAGCTGTAGGACAGGGACAGATTAGTCTTAATAATGACGTACAGAGGATGACCCCTTTGTTCAGTCTTGTATCTTTATTCAATTGTGTGAAGGATTCATTGCATAGGTGTAAAGTGGTCTCCTTCATTCATCCAATGCACCCTGAGGGGTTGTGCAAAATTTATATTTTTGATTTGTTAAGAATTGTGATGGTCGCTGCATGTCGAACAATTCAACTATTTAGAGCCATTAGCCATTTAGAAAAGAGGCATTTTGATGTTCTTTTTTGGGGGAGATTTGCATTGAATACATTTTGAGACCACCCATGCACTGAGCCCTTCACGGTTATTGCTATTTCTACACAGTGACCCTAAATCCAATGAAATAATGTGTTTTTCATGTCTATTTATTCAGAAATGTCCCCTGTGTGAATGCTTGCACGTTGCAGCAGTGAAGCACAATCTTACCGCCTCACCGTATTTTGTGTCCTAAGTTATATCAAATACATTTTGACTGTTCTTCCCTCTTGCTCGATAGCGGTTAGAATCCTGCTGTAGACCTTCAGGGTCTTTTGTCGGGAGGAACGCCCCGTTTCCTTCTCCGTATTGCACATCGGTGGAGTCGAGCGCGCGGTTCAACTCGGTGCTGTTGCTATGGCGACACTCAACTGGAGCCGAGTAACCCAGAGCGTTTTTTTTTTTGTCGTTCCGTGTGGGGAGGAAGTCCGCCCCGGACAGCCTAATTGATTAATCTCAGCAGACGTGGACTGCTACACGGCCTACGTGTCCATATGTAACATGGGCTCATTCAGCAAAGGGACGGTGCCGTAGTGGTGATCGGCTGCGCCCTGTACAATCCGACACACCCGGGGGGGGGAACCCCATGCAAATGGTCTAATGTGTGTCTTTTCCCGCAGTGCCCCATTGACACCCGCAAGGTTCTGTCAGAGAACCTGGTGGTGATCGGAGGCACGGCCATGCTGCCGGGCTTCCTGCACCGCCTGCTGGCGGAGATACGCCTCCTGGTGGAGAAACCCAAGTACAGCAGCGTGCTGGCCAGCAAGAGCCTCCGAATACACGCTCCACCCGCCAAGCCCAACTGCACCGCCTGGCTCGGAGGTCAGATATGAGATTTTCATTTGAGAGTTCATCACCAGCTGCGGAACCAAAGGCTGCCCGCGTGAACTCGGGCCTTTTTCAGTGTTTTAGACGAGGAGACTTGATGTAAGTTGTGTGCGCGGTGTTGAAAAGCCCTCGCCGCGCCTTCACGCCCCCCTCTGCTCAACAGGCGCCGTCTTCGGGTCGCTGCAGGACATCCTGGGCAGCCGGTCGGTGTCACGGGACTACTACAACCAGACGGGCCGCATCCCAGACTGGTGCTGCTTGAGCTCCCCTCCTCCCGAATCTCTGTACGAGGCGGGCAAGACGCCTCCTCCGCTGATGAAGAGGGCTTTCTCCACGGAGAAGTAGCGCGTGGGCGACTCGGATTACTCGCTGTCCCGCACGCGACACTGCAAAGCACCTCAGTTATCCTCAATGTAACATCTGGACAGGCGGCGTCAACGTCCTAAACACACAAACCGCTCCAGAGGTTTTGAAGTCTAGTCAATGTGACTGTTTGATCAGCGTTAGAAGTACTTGGTTTCATATGACATCAAAAGTAGTTTTCAGCAGAAACGTTTCAGACGATGACCAAACGAAGCGGCCGTTGCTTCGCTGTGGAGGAGGCAGTCTTTATTCCTGACAGTATTTTGGTTTATTTGACCGTAATGTCCCACGAAGCCCCCTCCCATGCCCCCCTCCACCCCCCACGTATTTATTATATGGCAGTGTGAAGTGGTTGTTGAACTCAATAAAAGCCCTGTACACTCACACGCCTGTTCTCAGTTATTCCAGCGTAATAACTTTATTTTTTTAAACTTAAAAAGTCGTCTTAGTTACAGTTCAATTAGTCCCCAGCTGAAGACGTGCAGCAGTCGTCTGATCTGTTGCATCGTCAAAATCTCCTGTGTCCATCCGCAGTAGTAGAAGTAGTAGCTGCTGCTGTTGTTTACGGGCTTTAAAGCATCTTCCAATCAATGCAGGCTTGCTGTGTAATCTATAAAGGCAACTATTAACATATAAATACTCAGAATCCAATTTGATTGGCTTTGTCTGTCCTTTTTGTCCTAGATTGGTGTTTCAGGAAAAAAAGTCAACTTTTATAGAGAAATGGCTGAAACTGAAACCTTAAAATTAAATATTTGCAGCTTATTACAATATAGGCTGTTATTTTCTTGTTGTAATTATCAGTTATAAGGCAGCATTGATCGTTGAGACAGAGTAACTCTCTCGTTCTCCTATCAATAATCAGCTGTGTGTATTCAAGGTTTCGGCACAGCGGGAACAACACGCAACGCCAAAGAATCTCAGGCGAAGTTATTTTGACTCTTTCGCTTTGACGCGATGCAGAGTTTCATCGGAGTCTCGCACCTCGTCTCGGTTCTTCTGCTGCAGCTGGCACGTGCGCAGGTAATCCAACCCAAACTCAGGCACGTCGTCATGTGAAATAGCTATCATTGTTGTATTTTTCAGAATAAAATCAGATTCTAAATTAAATTCCCACGGTGGTGTTCTGCATGCCAAAGGTGTCTTTCTCCTCTACTCCAAATGTGTCTCCTCTTACTTCTCTTACGGGGGGAAATAGTGAAACTTGACAGCAGTCGGTTTTTCCCACCGTGGGACGGAGGACACATCTGCTCCACACGGTCTCTTTGCACACTGTATTCGGGTCGCGTCCCACTATGAAGCCACCGTGTGCTTCTAGGGGCCTTGCCATGTTCTCATGTGGCACAGACAGCAGCTGGTGCTGCTGCTCGGGTTCACAGGAGGGACCAGAGGTTCAGAGGCTGCAGCTCCATGTGGGTGTGATGAGGGTGTTCTCCTCTTCATCACTCACTGGGATCCGTAACAAGATCTGACCAGGCAGGATTAGACTTTGTGTTGAGTAGCAAGCAGATCTTTAATGGCGTCTCGCAGACTGTGGGAAGACAATAGATATTTTCTAAGGTGCAGAAAGAAAAGTCTCTGGCATTGCTAGTGTGTTTAAAGTTTGAAATAACTGTATGATTTACCTTTGTTTGAAGTGAAAGAGCAGAGATCATAAGTGGAAATACTTGTGTGAGGACAGTTCAAATAGAATTAGTCAGACTTGAATTCAGGTAGGAAACCTTATTAGTTTGTAATATAATATAAAATGTCCGAATGGAGGGCAGGGATAACACTATTACAGATGTGTTAGCTGATAGCTGCACATGAGCAGTTGTTACAAAACGGGAAAAGCACCATGAGAGAAGGGAAGAGAACATTCGTTGTTTAATGTTTGAGTTTTCACATGTTTTCATTTTTTTTGGGCAAATCATCAGTTTGATTTCATCACGTGCAACATCTTTCCATTTCAATCACACTGCGACGTTTATGCAGCAAACGTTTAAAAAAAAAGAATCCCACAATGAAGCGTTCCCTGCGTGTGACATTCAGAAGACAATGTTCCCGTCGAAGTGCACATGTGAGCCAGAGGAGAGGAGTCGGATTGTTGATATTGAAAAGAAGAAGAGAGCCAAGATCAACGGTGCGCTTTGTGCTTCTGCTCAATTTGGCATTCAAAAATTGTCCAAGTGAGTTCGGAGGCCGAGAACTTGGAGAAGTCAGTGGAGCCTTTGTTTAAAGCGTGTTTATTGTGTGCAAATGTCCCACGAGTAAATACGGCCACTATTCTTTACTGTTATCCTTTCCATTCTTTGAAGGTTTTTGCTGTCTTGTGATAACAAACGTTCTAGTATTACACCAGATTGAGACATGGAGGTTGTTTTTCCAAGGGGTGGGCTCATTTTACTGCCTAAACAGCCACACAGAGCATCGACGTTTGACTGGACCCTGGTGTGTGCGTGCGCAGTACCTCGTATCTGCCACGAGAGGGCGCCCTGCAGCCACCCAGTCAACCCGCTGCTATTAGAAACCATTTGCATGTGTCCTGCGTGACTGCAAGTTCTATATATTTATATATTTAAAGGTTTCATCACCGTAGATGCCCATTGTTTCTTGTCCCTTCTATGTATTCGGCAGATTTTGCCCCCCCCAGAAGAAGGTCACTCAAGAGGTAAGGGCCGCCCCGCTGAATGGTGCATCTCCACCTCTCCCGGATAATCTAACGACTCGGCTTGTCCCTTAGTGATGCCGTTCGACGAGGTGATGGCAAAGAGCATGTGTCGGCCCATGGAGCAGCTGGTGGAGGTGGGGCAGGAGCACCCGGGACAAGTGCAGTACATCTACATACCTGCTTGTGTCGCGCTCTGGCGCTGCTCCGGTTGCTGCGGTGACGAGAACCTGGAGTGCCAGGCCTCCCTCCTAAGCAACACCACTCTGCAGGTGTTGGAGGATCTCTGATCGGACGGCATCGATCACAAATACCAAAAGAGAGTTGCCGAGAAAAAAGAAAGAAATGGCCCTTCATTGATCCATGTGCTTCGTTTCTCAGGTGATGAGGATTCATCAAATGGTGTCTATGCACCACGTGGAGCTCACATTTGAGGAGCATCAGAAGTGTGAATGCAGGTAACTCCTTCTCATTCACCAGATGTCAATTTAACAATTTTAAAACACGGTTTACTGTCACTTGTGTGTGTAATCCATCAGATTCAAATCAATATCTTCACTGCACTTTGCACTTCCTCCACAGCAGCAGTGAGTCTATCAAGAACAAACACGAGAAGACAGCGAGCAGCTGTGTCAAGTAAGAGCAGGAACACAAACACACTCTCTGCACCATGTCTGGACATCCAGGGCTGCATTCGTTACCGATTCTTAATAAGCTCATATAGAGGCAGACATATTGAACGAGAGTGACTCAGCAAAAGAAACACTGTCACTTTGGAGGAAATCCATGTTATGACTCTTAAACTTTTGCATTTTATTCCGCTTTACTCGCATTGGAATCTCATCATGGAGAAGTAACAATCGAGTCTTTCCACGTATAAATACGACCACGCGAGTGTTCTTTCGACTTGTAAACCTCCGGCCATTTGAAGAGGTTCTTGCTGGTGAAAACCAGGTTGAAGCTCCAAGGCCTCAACTAAACGCTTTCACCGTCTCTAGTGAGAAGAAGAACGAAAGGACGTCTTCTCCAGAAAGGACCTTTAATTAGGCCCTGTAAAAAGTTGCACTGGACCAAATATCTGCAGGCTTGCTACTCAGTTTAGACTATTCCATCCGCCGGTCAACTGCAATTTAACTGTCAACCATAATTTAGGACCTGAGGCGTTTTTTCCCACAACCACCGTCTCCCACACAGTCGGAGAGTTCTTCTTATTTCTCCTCCAGCAGTCACAGGACCCAGATCGTATGATGCCTCCACGGAACAAAAGCCCACTACAAGGGAACAAACATGCTCTTTCATGGGTTCACATGGCTTAGATCTTCTCTTTTGATGATGCAATGAGAAAAAACATCAGCGTGAAGACAACAAAATAAATCAGTAGTGTCACAGATTGAATCTGCTCTGAGACGTAAACATCAAACACTTCTCATTGTTTTGATCTGATTGCATGATTCTAATCATTTCCCAATTTGAAGGGGAAAACAAGTCCGGCAAGATGGGATTGTACTCAGGAATAAGGTTCATAATTAAACCCGAAGGCACCGCTGCTTGCTGGGTTGGTTGAAAAGGACGGACACGGGAAGTTTTCCCTCTGAAGTACCGATAAGAACCTCATTGATGTTTGTTTTTTTGTCTTTTTAGCTGCCGGTTCCCTCAAAAACAGATGGATCTTCACTGATTCAGAAGGCGGCGCGTAGTTTAACCTGGAGGGACCGTGGAGGGAATCCGACAGCTCGTCTGCGAATCAATCGTCTCTCTGTTCATCTTCTGAATGTGTATCTGTCCTCCGATCACACACGAGGCGTTCCATCTCGTCCCTGACCTGCTTCTTCGTTTTTATCAAACCATAACTGAAAAGTCCCCTTTTTGCTGTCCAAAATCTGCTTCACTTGTAGAAAACAGTTTCTTAAAAACCAGTGGCTTTTTGTGTGAGCCGTCCAAAACAAACATAAACCAACAGATTATCAGTGGCATGGGGAAAGATTTATCATGCATGTTGCTATCTGTAAAGTGTTGTTTTCCTTAATTTGGGACATGGCATATTTAGAAATGAATTAAATAAAATGCAGTGTAAACACAAGGTGCTTGGTTCCTATCTACACGTGCGTTGGTGGAACATTGCACATTGTTACCCATCCGTTGTCTCTCAGAGACATGCCTGGGTAAGAGGTGTGGATGGGTTGTGAGGGACAAACATGCTCATTCGGTGTCTTGCATAACAGGCCTTGTGGAGAAAGCTGTATGGATTTCAAAACGAGTGCCACCAGGTCACCGTGCAGCGTGAGACAGGCTTCTCAGTGGACACCAACTCATCCTGCAGTTGTTTTTTTGATAATGCAACAGTGAAAAACGTGCGGTAAGAGCACAGTGACACAGCCTGGACGCGCTCAGCAGGCCCGCACCGAGAGACGCGCCGTTGTCCTGCGGAGAAGACGTGCAACATGCAGACGCGTCTCGCCCTGTTTACGTTAGCTGCGGGCCCGTCTTATGTAATACACCAGCACGTGACGTCCCACGTGACGTCCCCCACCGTGCATTGGAGACGCGCGCGCCATAGTCCCTGCTGTACGCCATATAGTCCCTGCTGTGCGCCACGACGTCTTCCGTTTGCGACACGCTTGGCGGCGGTCACGTTTATCCTTGCGCTCATAGACATAATGCTTGCGCTTGCCGGACACGCGTCGGCCAATCAGAAGCCCGGAAATGTTTATGACGTAGACGGTACTGCAGACAAGAACACGCCCTCGTCGCCCAAATATGGCCGAGTGTCTTTAACTAGCAGCAGCCCCTCGGGTTCCTGCGGCCGGTGGGTGGGTGAGTGAGAGAGTGTGGATGGATGCTATCTGTTTGTTTGTCCTCCTTCCGTCGTTTTGACGCTCACGGGGGACAATTAGAATCCGCAACGGTCAACGTCCGCCGCCGCACGCCCCACGTGACCAAGCGGGGCGAAGGGGGCGGAGCTGCGTGACGCGTGCGGTTGTGTACCGTGGAACGCGGAGTTCGGCTCGCACCGAGGGGAGCGGGAATAACGCAGAACGTCCCGACCCGCCCGCGAGCTTCCCTCTCGGCCCCGTAGAGGTAACGTTAGTTCCGCCGTTTGCCTTCAGCTGGTCAGAGGCTCTTCTCGACGTTCCGAGCGGTGCGCGGTGCGTCCGCTGACGCGCTGACGTCATTGGAAACGTTTGTCAAAACGGGGACGCCAGCGTAGCTAGCTAGCGCAAGTGCTAACTTTTTTTTTTTAATCGTAATTTGTCTCGTTGTCTCGCAGGATTGTTTACCTGCGTTCGCACGCAAACCTCCTTGCAGAAGTATATCGTTAACGTTACGCTTCTCCTTTCCGTTGTTAATTAACTAAAGTTAATTATACGTTAATTACGGCTAACGAGCGTTGAGTACTGATGCATTAGCGTCATATTGATCGGTTGTAACGTTGGTGATTACAGTTAACTTTAATACTCTTGTATTCTTAACAAAAGTCAACTAGATACAGCATCGTTGCTGTAGTATTTGTGACGATAGTTTGACGACATGTTATGTTGTTATTCAGTTGTGTTGTACAAAACATGTTTAATAAAAGCCTAATATGGTCTCTATTATATAAATCTAATAATAGACCCTTTCTACACGTGTCCTGTGAAGGCAGAGATGTATAATGTTAAAGCAACTTAATTATTATATATTATTCTTTGTCGTACACTATTGTTGTCATATACTATTGTTGCCATGACGACGTCACAATCTGTAGGTACACTAACGCGTTTCGCATGGTGGCGGTTGTAGCTGCTGTGAGAGGCTGTCACAGAGTAACGCAGCAGGAGAGGAGATGAGCACCAAGAGGAAGGCGGAGAGTCACTCAAGGGCATCAAACCGGCCGCGCCTCATGAAGCCTGGAGGAACGCTGGCGGAAGCAGAGAGAGACTCCGGCTTCTCAGGTTCGGCCTCGCCCTTGAAACACATTTTGTTTTTGTTTTTTTGGTGATGACATTTAAAAGTGACATTGACTTCCTGGTCCACAGATGCGAGTTCGGAGCACCTGAGCACGATGGACAACACGGACTCTGAGGATTCATCCCGGCCCGCTGTGCGCAAGGGACCGCAGACGGCCCCGTCCTCTCAGTTGGCTGTGGTGGGAGGCTCCATCTCCAACCTCTCTCCCATGATCATCATGAACAACGTCGTCCTCAAGCAGGTGCGCCGCTGCTGCACAGCAGCACCATAGCAATGTAGTGTAAACCTGAGGTTACAACGTTATCTTTATGGAGGAATCACATTATTCCACTTGGGTTCAACTTCAGGCAGAACAGTGTAATTGTGCGTGTGGTTAAATAGGTGTTTTCACAATATAATCACTGCTGGGTGGGATGTGGATCACAAAAAGGTTGTGACCATTCCTGTAGGGTCAACACTTCTGTCCGGCCAACAACCGGGATGCAACAGTAAGTAGAAGTAGCACAAAATTAGTAATTCAGATTTCATATAGAAAAGATTTTTCAATTTTAACTGGATTGTTGAAAATAAAATCAAAGCATGACAAAAAGTATCAAGGAGGAAAACGTTTTTTTTAAAAATGAGCTTGGACAATGTTTTGAAATCGAAGTCTAATTACGAGAAGTATCATGGCGCCCGTCTTCATTAAGCCCTGAATGTTGACTTCTTTGCAGCCTCGAGATAATTCTCCGGCTCTGACGCCCTGGAGGTTCAGTCCCACGGTGGAGGTGGTCCAGCCGGTGGTCCCGCAGCCTCAGGTGGTCTTTCTTCAGCCTGTGGTCTCTCGTCAAGCCTCTCCTGCCTCCAAAGAGGCCTCCTCGAGACACAGACGGCCTAAGAAGTATCTTCCAATCCTGAAATCCTACCCCAAGATCGCTCCACACCCTGGAGACAGCTCGAGTTCCTCAGGAAGAGGAACTGCTTCCTCATCCACCTCCTGCTCTACCTCGTCTTCTTTCCACTCCTCCTCCTCTTCTTCCGGGTCCGAGCGGGGAAGCAGTTTGACCTCCAACAGCCGGGACCACTGTCAGAGGGAGAAGCAGAAGAGGAATCTGAGTGGTGGTGCTGGTAACTCCAGCTCCACCAGTCCCGGTGTGCCAGCTCCACCCAGCACCGCCTCTCTTCTGCTCCAGAGACGGACGACAGAAACCGGTCCTGCCAGCGAGAGGTCTTCATCGGTTCTCAGCCAGGCCGAGATTTCCGTGTCTGTTACTCAAGGCGCCGACCTCGTCCCCCGGGCGGCGCCCGAGGAGATCCGCTCACCGGGGGAATGTAAACACGGCGACGGCGGTGTGGAAACAAAGAGGAAGCGCTTCTGCAACACCTACAACATCCTGAGCCAATCCGGCCTGCTCGACATCGCGCTGCGCACCAAGGAGCTGCACAGGCAGAACCGGCGCAGCCAGAGCGACCTGAACCGCCTAAGAGAACACACGGACCTGTTCCTCCAGGCCCTGTGCAGCGGGGACACCGGCATCTGGGTCAAGCTGGAGGCCGCCCTGCAGGAGGAAGAGCGAGAGGAAGGCAGGGAGAGAGACGCTCAAACCAGCTTAAAGGCAGATTAGACCGAGACTCGTGCTGCGCAGTAATCCTTTAGATTGGGGGAGGACGCCATGTTTTTGGGGGGTCGTGGGGAGTGTATTGAGACAAATGGACCGAAAGTAATGTGCTTCGCCACACACACAACCCCCCCCCCCACAGTCAGTGCTCCGTGGCCCACATTGTGGCTGCCTCGGGGTCCTGACACACCGAGCCAACCTCAGCGAATGGGTGCAGATAAAGGCTTTTTGTTGCCTCGTGTCGACTGTTGAAAGTTGCACTCTAACTCTGTTTAGCTGGTAGACTGCTGACCGCCAACGTGCTGCAGCAGTCTGAGAGGTGACGAACTAGTCGGCTCTCTCTCCGTGATCCAACAAACGTCACGGAAAGAGAGACGGAGCAAACCGATTTGCTATGGAATTTGTGAAAAGGCTCAGGAGTCACAGTGAGGGTAAATCAATTAGTACACTTTAATGTACCCGTTCATTGAGGAGTAACAAATGCAGGTTCAAAAGGGGAAGACGCCACCTCGTACCCTCCAATGCATCCGTCACATATTCAAACACCGGGGAGACGGTGGACTCGTGTCAGCGTGGAAGGACGCTCTGCTGACACTCTTGGGGTGTCGGTGGTCCACGGTGAAACTGAGACCGAGCCACAGCTCACTGACCCCGTCGCTTCCGACGACGTGCTTCCAAATCTTTTGCTCATCTTCAAGTCAAGACCCCGAGAGATCTGGATCCAAAGCGCGAAGCAGCAAACAAACACAGAACACTTCAACAACTGAAAGCACAAGAGCAGGAATCCTAGAGATTAAACAACAGCACTTGATATGGTTACTTTTAACGATTCTCATCTACCGCCGACCAGCAGCCAGCTACGGTGGTTCTGTTTTCACTCATACACCCACACGCTGTGCACATAGTATGAATTACTTTATTCGGCTGTTACAGTATCAATGTACAGTTAACGATTCATGACGAGCCTCAAGTAAATGTTCTGACGTCACATAGAACGTGTCCGCGGTTTGTTGCTGGTCAGCGTGGTTTTAAATGGGACAACACGTACCTGAAGTGTCTTCTTTTTATTTTTTAGTTTAGTTTAGTTAGTTCTTGCGGCATTTTCCAACTGAATGTGATCGATTTAGCGCGTTACGTCGATGACTTCAAGCTCAACATTCCCATCATGTTGATGGCAGCTGTGTCACAGGACAAATTGAATGGAAGTAAAGCACGTTTTCCAACAAAGCCGCAGTGTAAAGGTCGCTTCCTAGAGTTGGTTTAATGTTTTTTCATAGACTCATGGATGTGGCAATACTGTCTAATTAAGTGCAGACCTTTTCTGTCTTAAATATCTGTCTTTTCTTTTTTGTGAACTTTTTTTAATCCACTCAGTCAGTTTTCTTGATGAAGCTTGACTCCGGCCTTGAGTCCAGCTTTTTATTCTATACTTTTATTGGAAAAAAGAAACTTTTCTGATCATATTGTACAAATGATGAACAGGAACGACAGCTGTGTGATGCTCAACGTGAACTTTTAACATATTTACAAGTTATGGCCTTAATATCCAAAACCGATGCAAAGATGCAGAAGTCATACAAGTTTGCATTTGCATTAAAATAATCTGTGAGCAGCTCTGAAGCAATTACCTACAGAAAATAACGGCAGCTACAGTAGCCCCCCCACTTTGAGGCCGGCTGCTAGTTTTACTTCTTTAAATCATTGCTTAACGTGCACGGAGAGGCATCATGAGCAGCACACGCTATTCCTACAGGACACACATGCGTCACACCGACAATAGCAGATTGTCTTATTATCAGTCGTTTTCTTCGTATTAAAAATGTTTTTGAATTTTCTGTGTCTTTATTATGTTTGATGTGATGATGATGGTTTTCCGTTTTCTCTCCGTGCGGTTAAATGTGCTCTTGTGGAAGTCTTTGTCAAGCAGAAGTATTTATTTATTCCAAAGGAACACAGATTATTTCTCAGTTTTTAACTCATTGAACTCACTGAAATGTCGGCAGAGACCGGATTCATTACAGTAAAAAAAAAAAAAGAAAACTAACAATCAGCGCTGGGGAAGCTGCGCGTCATCTTAAATTCTCCCCCCTCGTTCCGATCTGAGACGACATTAAATCAATGGCTGGGCTGACAGGGCCAGTGTCTCCCCTCTGAGCACCACTGGGACCAGTTAGCTGACCAGTAGCTCTGATGAATGTGGTTGCAGCGAATGAGAGCAAAAAAAACGGCTGAATGCACTACATTTTAAATTGGGCAGATTACCAGAAGGCCGATAATTAATTCATGAAGGAACCCAAATATGTTATTTTGTGCCCGTTTGCTTTCCAAATGAGGGGCGAAAAAAGAAGTTGCAGAATTAATAGAAGTTGTTGAACAACATAAACCAAGCTGCTCACGTGGACAGATATTTAGATCAAATAATGTAACATTGTGAGTGTGTTGGGCACATGAACACTTTTAATGGATTGTAGTGGAGATTGGTCATCATTTTTTAATCAAAGCTTTAGTTTTTTACTATTATTCCAAACGGACCTTTCTTGGTGGGTTAAATGTGGTTCTTTTAAGGATTAATTGTAATGTTTTTCGTATTCAGTTCAGACAAACAGTAAAAAGAGTCTTGAATCCTTGAACAATCCTTGATGGAGGTGAGGAAGACTGAGATGTTTATTTGGGGATTTTTTCACACACACTCATCACACTAACAAAGAGAAGTGAGAAGTTAAATGTCTGCTCTGACAGCACGAACACGCCTGGAGCCAAAAAGCCTTTTTTGTTTCGGTTTGTCTTCAGTCAAACCTTTTGGAAGCTTAGTCTTTATATTTTCAGGACTCCATCTCTGCACTTGTAAATTACCCTGAGTATTAAAAATACATGGAAGTCAGTGACACCAGTGATAGATACGTGTTTGTAAACGTGTGTCTTTAAGGAAAATTTCAGTACATTGGATTTTGGGACCTCGTGCTCCACCCAAATTCTGTGTATATGTGTGTGTGTGTGTGTGTGTGTGTGTGTGTGTGTGTGTGTGTGTGTGTGTGTGTTAAGGGCCTTCAAATAAAGCTCACTGCAAAAAGAGAAGAGATACATTTCCCCCATTGCTGAAGTCTCTCTACACCACTTTATATGAATTATTTCCAATATATTAAAACGTTCCTGAATAAATGAATATATTTGAAACGGTCTTAATCTTAACCCTGGGATCGTTAAACAACTTTCTTCAGATTTCTCTTCACGTTGTAGTTTACAGTGTCGCCCGCTAGATGGCGCCGATGACGCCATACCTCTCTGTGGAGACCGGAAGGAGAATCATAAACCGGAAGCCGCAGCTGTCAGCTGACTCCGGTAGGTGGCGATAATGTAACACCAAGGATGTCAGCTGCCGTTCGAATTCAAAGAAGAAAAGGAAAAGCTCTCTCACTTTCTTCAGCTCAGTAACACAACTATAAGAAGGTAAACGAAACAATGTCACGTAACGTCAACCGGCAGTTTAAAGTTAATTTCTCGCAAAAGCGTTGTCAGCCGCTGAGGTTTGACACCGGGTAGCTAACGGTCGTCTGTTAGCTCCGGTGAGCTAGTTTGGTAACTGCTAACCCTGCTAGCTAATTAACTTTAAAAATATAACGTTATGTTGTCTGTCATTCGTTTTGTGCTTTTCAAACAACACAATACAGAACGAGCACGTGCCTCCGAGCTTCGGTTACATTCGGCTTCACTGATCCATCGGCTAGTTTGATGTAAATGTCAGGTTTTAGCTACTCGCTGTTAGCAACGTTCACTAGATTCTGTCTCGTTGCCCTCAGACTGCGCGATGGTGTTGACACGGAGATGACGTGCGACCCGCCCTTGTGACCGACCGAGAATCTCACACTTAGCAGGTCTCATTTGAGGTACGCGCGACTAATTACTCTTAATCACACACGAGCCAGTTGTAGAATATGCGAATGCGTTTTTGATGGCTCGGTATCGTCCTGTCGTTCTACAGGTGCCACACAGGGTGACCCATGCTTTCTGATGAGCTCGACTCCAAACCAGAGGTGAGCGGATCTTCTCATCCCTCTCGTGCTTTGGGAGGCTTTGTTGTGACTCACAATCTCGATTGTTCTGTGGCTCTTCTCTCTCTCTCTCGCTCTCTCTTTTCTCCTCTCAGCTGCTGGTGCAGTTTGTGCAGAACGCGTCCATCCCGATGGTGCAGGGTCTGGAGGACTCGGGGTGCAAACACTCCTGCCTGCCTCTGCTGGGTCCAGCTGAGAGCTCGCTGTGCATCCCGCTGGAGCTCACAGGTGAGCAGCTTCTCCCTGCTTCCCTCCATCTCAGGCCGGAACACTCGCAGTACTACGCGACTCACTTTCTCTTGTACTAAATGCTCTGTAGTATTTGTAATCTCCACGCGTTAAGGTGACTCTAAGCAGTTGCTTTGCTAACAAGGTATCAATTGACACCTGGAAACAAATGGAAAGGGTTTGCCTGTGAATTTACAGAGTAGCATCAAGTGGATCCATCCCCCCCCCCCCCTTGCATTGTTCTAACGTGCAGCAGGCAGGTACTTTCAGAGCGAAACGTCTCAAACGGCACTGTTCCCTGAGGTATTGTAACTCGGTTAGTGCTGGATGAGTAAATAACTAATACCTAATAACAGTCACCATATTAATTTAAATGGTAATGTTGAGCTCAAAATGGCCAAAAAAAGCAGTACCCGTTCTCACAGGTTTGCAGAACATAATAGTTAAAGCCTTTTTTGTCATTCTAAAAAATCCTCAAACCAGAGTTGTGTATTTTTTTGGTCAGCATCTTGATCCGATGTGTAGAATCAAAAAGCGGAAGTGATAGACCGTCATCGCCTTTATTGAGCTCTTTGATTGCTGTTCAAGTGCAGTAGTTAATCACAAGAGAAGGCAATTTGTGCAGAAATTGCTGTGTGGTTGTTGAGTGTTTTTAAAGATGAGGCTGAGCTGGTTTGCTGGCTTTAAAAGCGTTTATATATGAAGGCATTCAACAGAAGTCAAAAACACTTTGTGCTGTAAACAAAGTACACCCGGTCCAATAAGCCAAGTAAACAGCCAAGGTTTTTCTTTTTAGAGGGGTATTTATTGACGCATTTAATATCGGAGAACAAAACAAAACGTTCCTTGGGACTCTCTGCTGTGTTTGTGTTCAGATGCAATCAGAGGTTGCCATGGTGATCAGACAGCAGTCAGACCATTCCATAGAAATTACACTATCTAACCTCTTCTTGCCGAGTAAAACCAACAAGGGTCTAATGGCCAATGTCTCACCGTCCCTACAAAAAAACTCACAATGCGTTTTGTGTTTGCGGGGTGAAGATGTGGAGCTTTAACAAAACCGACGGCGTCTGCTCGCCTCCATTCCCTGTTCCCTTCTTCCTTACAGCTCCTGTCACATTCAGGCTCACGTTGCTTCCAATTCCACGTTATATGAAAGAGTTTAACTTTTGCTTTGAAGATGGTATTCAAGATCTTTGCAGATAATTTTTGCAAAGCTTCCACTAACGTTTCTTATCTTAAAATAGGGATTTAAAAGTTGAATTATACTCAGAATGGACGAAGTATGTGGAACATTTTAACGTCTGAGTGGGGTTTTCTAGCTCAAAGTGTGATCGAGCAACAAGTGTTCAAAATGTCGAAATCGTGAACATTGTGTGAATTTATTTGAATGAGTCTTTACTAGAACAGGTCTGAACGTACGATTGGTAAAAGAAATAACAATAATGTTCTAATTGAGCCAAAGGTTTTTTGGAAGGAGTGAAGTGAGAGGAAAGTGACAATGGGATAATAATAAAGAGGAGATGGTTGTAATAACGAACGTGTTCTAAAAGTCCATATTACAATGTTTTAAGTATCTGAGGTGCTGTGTGTCTGTGCATAACTGAGAGCTTTATTTCTACATCTGGCTGAGATCGTCTCGCTACGGTGTGAGTCCTAGTTTGATTATTCACAGTAACGAGCAGCGCTTTTCTCCCCCAGATGGAGGCCTGAGCCACGAGCCCGAGCGTTCTCCCTCCCTGGGGGGGTTCGGAGGCGTGTCAGAGCAATGTCCGTTGATGGTGCAGGCGCACCCTCACCCGCGGGCCTCGCCCAGCCCCCCACCCATCCTCCATGACCTCCAGCAGTCGGACAGCACGTCCTACGTCCTGCTGAACCTCGCTAAAGGTAAAGCGCTCCGGGCCGAGCTTCAGACACTGACCCTCAAACCACATTTTAAATGTTTCTCATCGGAAGCTCTACATCCGACCTTGGGTCAGTACTTTGCACAGCTTGTCGTGCACACGCCGTCCACAGGGTGCTTGAAGGAAATGGGGCGGCGAGGAACTGAATTATTTTGGCTGAAAATAAATGATCCCTTTAGAGACACATTGGTTCAGACGGTCTCTAACGTGCACCTTCGGTCTCAGTGAGACGCCTTCTGTCTCCTGCTTCATTGAATTTAAGTCCTGAATAAAACGGTTATGCAGCTAAAACAAAAGTCCCCCTCGGTGTTTCAGGATGGATCTGTAACATTAAGCCCCAAACGGCAGAATATGATGGACAAAAAGAAGCGACGTCAAGCTGTTAATGCTCACGCAGAATGTTTCACGGAGCTTCTTCCCTCTCAGGCATCACGGCTTCCTCAGAGTCGCTGATCTTCGCGGCGGACGGCGCGGGGGATGACGACGACGAGGGCGTCTCGTCGGGGGACTACGGGGTCGACGGCAGCGCTCCCTGGTACCTGCGGGTCCAGGAGCTGGCGCACGACAGCCTGATCGCCGCCACGCGCGCGCAGCTCGCCAGAGACGCCAAAGCCAGCCAGGACGCCAGGGCGGCGAGCGTCAGTAACGGTGAGGTGGCTCCGCCTCCGAGCTCTTTTTACCTGCAAAAGCCGCGTTCAACGCCGCTCATCAAAAGTCTTCTTTGTAACTTTGTCCAGATTAACGAGTGTGACAGCAGACGTCAGGTGGATCTGAGCGGCACGTTAAACCGCTTTAGAGTTTAATGCAGGCGGCTGAGATGATTAAAAGACATTTATTCCTGACATACTTTACTCCAAGCAATTTACCAACTAGGCAAATTGCTTAGAAAAGTAACATGATTGTGGGTTAAAATCAATTCAAATATCCTCTAGTAGTGTGTTGTTTAATCCATCATGTTGCATCAAGTTTTTCTTAATCTCCTGTAAACGTGGAGCTATCGTCTCTGATCACGTTCATTCCCGGCACCAAGCTGTTGACCCACACCAGGAGTCAGGACTTCATCACCTCCGCTTATAACTTCAACCTCCTCAGGCCGCCTGAAGGATTAAGACATGTGCCTGTGACCTAGAGACACCATGACGGCGAGCGGCAGCTCTGATCTCTGAGCTGAGCCGAATCGCAGCCAGAGGTCCTGGGTAGAAAAATGAGACGAGAAGTTTATTCCCGTCTTTGCTCTCTCCTGGTGTGAATCCTCCCACCTCGCCCCGGGTTGGTTATCAGAGCTTTATGCACGCTACATTTAACCACTACACATTGAAACATAGTTTATCTTCACATGGACCTCAACCTCATTCTTTTTCTGTCAAGTAGAGGAGATAATAAATCATTTTTAGTCTACTGCTGCCTTCGACGTGAAGTAAAACACTCGTGTGGCACATTGGGGGGAAAAAAGAGCTAAAAAGGCAAAGTGAGTTTTTGTTCACTGTTGGATGAGACGTCACTGCGAGCGACTAAAACGCCGGTCTGAGCCGGTGTGACGGGCGACCTCCCCCCTATCCTGCTGCAGATTAGACTAGTTCCCTCAGCAGCGGGGTATCGCTTATAGATGCATTACTGCCGCCGCGCCGTAAGCAGAATTGGACCCGTTAAATGCATTCTGAGCGGGGGGGCCGGGCAGGTGAAAAGAGGGTGATTGCATTCAGCCCCGGCAGTTTTTTTTTCCCGGGCTGCAATTGTTCGGCGCGTCTCGTTTTCCCGATGATTAGCTCCAGCCGAGCTCCAGAGACCGGCCACCTCGCACTCACTCTTTCTTCATCTGCACTCTCCTCCTCCCGTTGCCTAGGCGATCACACGCACTGTTTAGCGGAGGACGAGTGCGAGCTGCAGCCTCGGACCAGCCGCCCCCCCCTCTCAAAGCAGATCCTCCGCTGCTCCTTTGAGGGTTGCTGCAGGACGTTCACCTGGCCCGCGCATCTCAAATACCACCTCAAAACACACAGGTAGAGCGCACACACACACACACACACACACACACACACACACACACAGAGTCTCCAAAGCATGAAGCTGTGTACATCCTCGCTCTGAAGGATACGTTTTCCAAGTGGAAATAATATTGCAAGCTTGCAACTAATTCAGCTTACAGCATTTCATTCAAGTAATTACACTTGCGCAGATATTTCAAGTTTTTAATAGTTTGAGCCATTAATAAATCAAAACACTGATACTTGCTATCATTTTATTTTTTAAATCTTTTTTATTGTCAACAGCATTCTGAATATATCTCTCTCTGTAGAAATCCAAATGAAAGGTATTTGAGACGTTTTACATTCGAAGGAGTGATCTCAGTGTTTAAGGTGGAGGTGGGCGGAGCTGCAACACACGCACGCACTGGAGACGCTGAGGTGCGTTTGTTTTTTTTTCCTCGGGCTCCCAGGAACGACCGGATGTTCAGGTGCGGCGCGGAGGGCTGCGGGAAGAGCTTCTACGTGCTGCAGAGGCTGCAGGTTCACATGAGGACTCACAACGGCGAGAAGCCCTTCATCTGCAAGGAGAAGAACTGCGGCAAGAAGTTCACCACGGCCGGGAACCTGAAGAACCACAGACGCGTGCACACAGGTGGGTGGAGCCCCAACGCGCTGCGAGCGATCGCTGACTCGGGCCATTCGACCCGTTTAATGCTTCCTCAGTCAGCAGCACTGGCGCCGCCATTTCTCTGCCGTAATGAGTAATTGTACTCTTGTCATATTTTATTTAGGGGGACATTAAGGATTTTGTTGGTCCGTCTCCGTCTGCTTCTTTCTATCTGGGGGCCAAACACTCCCCCGTGTTTGTATTTGGTTCCTTAATGTCTGGAAGAACAGCTTTCTATGAGCCATGATATCCACTTAGAGGGCCAAATTGTTACAGTAAGTTACGGAACACAAGGAGAACTGTATTAAGAAGACTTATTGTGTGTGTGTGTGTGTGTGTGTGTGTGTGTGTGTGTGTGTGTGTGTGTGTGTGTGTGTGTGTGTGTGTGTGTGTGTGTGTCCGTCCTCCCAGGGGAGAAGCCTTTTCTGTGTGAAGCAGATGGTTGTGGGCGATCCTTCGCCGAGTATTCCAGTCTACGAAAACACATGCTCGTGCATTCTGGTGAGTGGAACCGAGTCAGCAGCTGAGCACCTTCTTCCTTTTGGGATTAGCGGGATGATTATATATATATATATATATATATATATATATATAAAAATGAATGAATGACTCGCCGTGTTTCCCAGGCGAGAAGCCGCACCACTGCGGGATCTGTGGGAAGACTTTCTCCCAGTCCGGCAGCAGAAACGTCCACATGAGGAAGAGACACGGGGAGGAGGGGCTCAGCAGTGAAAGCAGAGAAACAGGTCTCTCACACACACACACACACACACACAGCGGTAGGTTGGTTATGCTAATCCTTGGATTAGGTCGCTCCAAGCTGCCCATACATTTTCAAATGTGCATAGTGTCTATTTCAGTTGCATTTTGGAACATTTCTTGAATAATTAAAGCCTTTTTAAGCATTTCTCTGGTGGCTGAAGCGCTTCAGATGGCACGTTTCTCTGGAAAAGCACAGCTCTCCTGCAGAAATAAAGGTGTCTTGAGACGGAGTCGCGGTTTGTCGGATAGTGTTGCTTTTCACCAAGTCCTGATGTAAAAGTTACTTGGATAGATGATCGCATCCTGCGGCTGTGAGCGATTCAGTTTCTAAGCCACGTCGCTACACTCCGACATATGGCCTAATTTAACGAAATGGGTTTCAATATGTTTTCGTTGGTGTGAAACAATGAGAGCAGACAGAACATTCGCCTCCTCGTGGTATTAGCGTAGCAGCGGGGAAGCGCTGCAGCTGAATCACCGCCAAAGTTCTAATTATAAACCGCAGATTTATTCGGGTCAGCCTCCCCAAAGAAGCTCGTCTTTAGTAAAAGCAAAGGAGGATGCAGCTTTCAAAACAGATGGTTACTTGATGAATAATTAAATAGGCTCTCTGTGTTGGAATAACTACACTCCCAAAAAAAAAACCTAAAAGAAATTCACTGGCGTGTCAAAGGGACTCAGAAGTGAGTCACAGCGAGCAGATTGTGCGTTGATTTCTTGGACCGCAGCTCTTCACCCTCCTAAAGCTGATGTTTGACTGACAGGAGAGGCTCTGACACACAGCAGCCTGCTGGAGGCCGACGGCGAAAACGGTATGGTCACCATAACGACGGCCGTTGAACCCATGGATCTCCACCACGCCATGCTGAGGTCACCAGGTACGCCTCCTGCACCCGCGCACCGATCACTGGCAGGTCAACATGTCGAAGCTCTGTCGTTGCCGGGAGCGACGCCGCCAAGCGTAAACACACACACACAACTCCGCAACAACAAACCGTTCTGTCGGTCCTGCTGTGTTTGCACCCAAACTATGATTTATTCAGCTGTTGGACCATCGCTCACAATGATACTTTATAACTGCAGCACTCAGCCGCCAAGTTTCACTCCCACGTTGTCCATTTTCTGAAGGCATTGATGTAAATGTTTAATGATTTTGTTGGTATAAGGCTGTAACATTTATTGACCTGTGCAGCGATGGACATCATCTTCTGGGCTGTTTCCTTGATTTGCACTGCAGTGATTTCACCATTGATAGTAGCTTGACTGATGTGCTCTATACTTAATCATTTAGATATTTACCATATTGGGTACTTGTAATGTAATGCCTAAAGGGAACCGTTTGACGTAATACTGAACTGGCCTGACGGCTGAGTAAAGTAAAAACCAGGCGGAAGGTTCCAGGAACTGACGGACGAAAATTTTGGTGCTGAAAGGCGTTTTCTCTCATAATGGCTGATTGGTGTCTCTTGGAACCCCTCCTCCTCCCCCCCAGGCTCTGCAGACGCCGTGGTCGTTCTCTCGCAGCCGCATGAACTGGTGACCATGGCGACCGAAGGCCATGCGTACGGAGACGATGTGGTGGCGCTGCTTTGAGTAGCCAGACGTCCACCACGACTGTAAATACATGAATCACTGACTCAGTTTCCCTGTAGATATTTGTAATGAGCAACCGATGATTTTTATTTTCACCTGCGTGACGCGGCAAAGTTTGTACAAACAACCTTCTTCCTCAAGTTTATGAAGATACTCCCAAAGAAACAATGAGACGGGTTTTTAAAGTTTATGACAGTATAATGATCATTGTAAACAACAGAATGAAAGTGATGACATTGATAGAAAATAAGCTCATCCTCATTACCAACTACGGCACAGAGCACCACTTGGCTGCATGTACACACCGGTCCGCTAATCAGCCCCTTAAACACACAAACATCAATCTCAAACCAATTGTGTATCCGGTGAAGCCGCATTAACGGAGCGTTATTGGTAACATCAGTCACTCAACCCGCAACCTTGTTCTGCGAGCGAGACGACACGCTGCCCGTTTACAGCCTCATCTATTGCACTTGAGAATAATTGGTTTAAAAGAATTACTTGTGAGGTGAGTAGTGCCCTTCTGGAGGAGCTGTGTGGGGGGGGGGTTGTTCCTCACTTCAGTGGATCTTCAGGTTGTGGAAGTGGTCCAGCACGGCGCCCAGAGCCCAGCTCGCCTCCACGTTATTCACTTTCTTAGTCAACTGGCGGGGGGGGGCAGCAGATCACTCAAATGCCTTTTTGTATTTATTGAAATAAAAGAAATGAACCAAAGCTTTGCTTAAAAATGTTTTCTATTCTGATGTTTTTTTCTTTAATGAAACTAATCGAATATTTTATAGTACATAAAACCCCTTGTGTCATAGGTAAAGCATGATGGGAAAAAGCTAAGAATATACAAAAGTCAAAAAGCAAGAGGAGAATTTCTGTCCTGTGATCAAATTGGATCGCATGCAGAGCAGCAGGGAGGAAGCTAAGCTAACCCAGCTAGCACCACAGGTTACTACAAGTCTGACCTAAACCACTTCAAACACTGCTGTGTGGTTGCTTTTGTATTGACTCACTCCCCGTGTGTATTACCGCCGTCCCCTCCTTAAAAAAAGGGTGTGTAACGCTCACCTTCAGCACGGTGCTCTCCTTGAAGCCGAATCCGTCCTTGAGCAGACAGGTGATGTAGGTCATGTCCATGCACAGGAAAGCGCTGGTCGGAGTGGACTTGCTCATCTCGTTGCACACTGACCGACCAAAGGGGAAAGCGGTGCGTGAGGTTGAATGGTCGTAAATGTTCTGATGTGAGGACGAAGGTCTCGGGTCTGCTTTGCTCTGCTCACCTTCTTTAGCTCTCTTCTTGAAGTCTCTGACCTGCAGCATCCCGCCGTGGTCCCCATCTGCAACAGGAGGTCACTGGAGTCATCTTGCACACATGTTAAATGCTGCTGCATTGGTTAAGAAGGCTGGATCCACATGCACGGTTCCATGATGCTGGTAATGAGAGTGTTAGCCTGGACTGGCAGAAGAGACATTTCTAATAACTGCACACCGATAGCGCTTCAAATCCACTGAGAAGGGTGCAGATGGAACGGGTAACATCATCCCGCTGTGTGTGTGTGTGTGTGTGTGTGTGTGCGCGCTCACCGATCAGGCCTGCGTCCACAGCTCTGTCAAAGTAATAGGAGAACGCATAGAACACATTGCTGTCTTCCAGCTTGTACGGCTGATGAATAATCCCCTTCACCGCCTTAAGTACTTCCTGATAACAGAGCTTGTATCCTGCAAAACCTGGAGAACAAACAAACATGAGGCCCCCGGTTCCTTCCTAACGAGGATTTCTTTAGTTGATTAAAGTTTAATACCTCATTTAACAGATGAGCGCATCTCTATTAAAAACACCTTCATTATCTGGTTTTACTGACTGATTATACTTGAAGAGGAACGTACCCTCCGGGTCTCCGCTCACTCGATAGGTCAGCTCCCCGAAGCTCCATTCACCCTTGAACTTCTTGGGCAGGCAGGAACTTCTAAAGACGCGCCACTCCAACCCTGTTAGGAGCAAAGACGTCACCCGTTGACTCAGCGCCTCACTTGAATTGTTCACTGGAGAGAGAAACCAGCCCCTCCTCCCCTCCTCGTGCACGGCACCGGTACCTTCTGCACCCAGCGCGCCCAGCGTGGCCAGCCGCGCCGCCATCAGCCCGTTTCCAAGGTAACTGGAGGAAGGCAAAGGATTGTCGCAGGGTTACAAAAGCCGTGTAACGGAACAACACATTGTGTTTGTTCACGATGACTCAGGTAGTAGAAGTTACCCTGGCTTAAAAAGAAAAGTCACAAATGAACTAAATCAAACTGTGAATGTGTCACCTGTAAGTGTACAATTCGAATGATGTGTTGGAGATCCCGAACCGGGCGACGTAATCAGCGGCAGGGACACTTTCAATGGTTTTCTGCAGTGGAACAAGAACAATCTAGCGGGTTAGGGATCAGTTAAGAGCTTCGTTTGTGCAGAAGCTTGCAAACCCCCTGAAAACGGACCCTTTGATTTGGCAGGAAAGTAATCTGCGTGGATCCTCCTCCCAGATCCAAGATTCCCACCGTGTTCTTCGTCTGTGCACTCAGGTGACCTGAAAACAGTTTCTCCTTTAATCCAAGAGCTAACGGAGAAGCGCTAATCAGTTACACCTTAGATGCTATCTTCAAAAGCACGATTTGACAGCCTGTGCAAGCAGAAAGTGTAAAATCCCGCTGTGGAGCCTGATAAAGATCAAGGCTCGCACCTTTGGGCAACGGAAACGTAGCCGTGTTCACTCAGCATGTAAAGGTGACTATAAAAAGACTGATTTCAGTGCTCACCTGTCAGATAGTTCAGAGATATCCAAGCCAGGAGCCCTGCGTCAAAGACATTTACAAAACCAATAAACAGACACACAGGAGGAAGTTTGAGAAAAGCTGACAACAAATCTCCACAGAAATGACAGCGGCCACGGCGTGCACGAGCATGTGAGTAAGGGCTGAAAAGCTGACGAATCAAAAACACTGAGGCAGGACAGGCAACAAACACCAATTCTTCACCACCTAATTACAGTCTGTTAAGGTCACAAACAACTCTGCGGTGTGTTTCTGCACGAGGGGCCAGACGTTACCTTCGTATGTGCCGTTCATTACGCCGACGCTGTCGTCTGGCACCAGAAAGGGGGATTCGTCGAACACGTGTTGAACCTGTGGGGGGGGGGCGAGCAAACTGCCCTAATGTTATCTACTGTAACGGGAGCTCATCCAGAGGGGCCCTGCGCCTGGAGGGATTAATGAATTCTCTCAGAGGGATTAATAAAGTATCATTTATCCTCCAAGGTGCCCCATTACTGCCTCATCCCCTCCACTCTGAGCTCACACCCCCCTCGATAACAAGACTCATTCCTCTTGTGCACCACGACTACGAGAAGGCTCTTTCTTCCCCCGGATAAGAGGTTGCACTCTGCCTGGAGAATGTCAGACAGCGTAGCGCCTAACAAATCCCTGATGAGGGAGAACTGCACTCTGCAGCGCTCCAGACAGTGTGTGTGTGTGTGTGTGTGTGTGTGTGTGTGTGTGTCCCGTACCTGCTGCAGGAGAACCTGGGCTTTGTCCTCGGCCAGCAGCCGGAGTCCAGCTGTGGCCCTGAGGACCAGCGGGCATCTCTTCCACTCCAGGCGAGGCACGGTCTTCTTGGCCACCTTCAACAAGGTCCTCACCGTGTGGCCGGCCTTAGTACACAGACACAGACAAACAACAACAACGCGTAAATACGGTGATGTGAGCTCGAATGTCCACTTGTGTGGTTTTTCCTCACTTGTTCTCTCCAGCGACGGCAGCGAGGCCACCGGCAGTGTTTGAATACTACGCGGAGCCGGCGGACCTCGTCCTTCGCGCTCAATCTAATTGATTCGGTTCGACAATGAACTCACCGTTTCGGGAGAGTCGGCGTACGCCGACAATCCGGGCTTTATGGAGTGGAACATCTCATTGTCCAAAATTGGCAGCTGCTCTAAAAAATAAAAGATCCGCCCACGTCAAATATGCAGCGGCTATTAAAAGCATTAAGAGGCCTAAATCTGCTTAGCGCACATATGCAGAATATAACCCTGACAAATAGGATTATTTCTTCAAACGTAACTGTATAAGAACTTGTCCCCGGCGTCCACAGATGTGTGTGCATACAGCTGTTTGCACTGCGAATCCAGTGATCACAGCACGTGTTAAACGTGACATGGTGCCCCGACTGCAGTAAACACACGTGGGCCTTTTTACCCTCGGTATCGATCACATGAGGAAAGCAGGTCAGATGACGTTACCCGAGCCACTTTGGATGAAGGTGTAGACGTGGACGCGCGTCCCGGTGCTCCCGGCGTCAAACATCACCGCGTAGAAGATGCGGCTGTGGTTGGCCGGCCGGCTGAGTTTGGGAAGGAGGCTCCCGAAGCCGTCGGTCAAACCCAGTAGGGAGGTGGCGAGCCGGACTCGGCTCCGACCGCTGACGGCGAGGAGCAGCAGGAGCAGAAGGCGCCCGGCGAGCTTCATCTTTGGAGGCGGATATCGTAGGGGTTCTTGTCGGGGGCTACTGATCCATCGAATGGGCCCGAGCTGCTCCACAAAAGCAGCTCAAACTGAAGCCGCCTAAGAAGCAGCAATGGAGTTATTCACGTTTAGACCACACCCAGTCAGGCGCTCCAACCAACCACGGAGTCGACGCCCCACCTGCTGAGCGGACTCCCCTGTGAGGGAACATCACACCAACGCCACCTGCGGTCTGCTGGAGTCCAACCCTCTGATCCTCGATCGATACGCGCCCGCACAACGTCGCTGGGCGAAACTCGGATATCTGAAGTGAGAAATGATGATTTATTTAACGCAATCAGTCGGGGAGCGGCGAGCGAGGAAAGACCCAGTGGAGACAACCGGTGACATTTTTACTGTGATGAATTGCACCGCCTGTGAATTCCTAATTGAAGATTTACATTTTAGGCATTTAACTAGAGCTAAAGTAAGTTACAAATTATGTATTGAAACACTCATTTAAAGGCTCTGCTAGAAGATGCTAAATAGGAAAACCTGTGGGGCCTAAGAAATAGAACTTGTTTGTGTAGTAAATCTGGAACTAATGTGAATATCTACTCACAAGTATTTAGCAAGATTACCTAATCATGCAAACAGTGATACTGGAAATAAAGAGCATTGTGATAATCACCATGTTGTGATCACTTTGCGTACGAGTCACATTTCTAGACTATAAAATGTTTTCACAACTTTGTATCAGGTTGTAATTAAAATATGTAACAATTAAATCAATATATATAAAAATATACACATATAAACCCACTTCTAATCATACGAACGTGCTTCTTACGTGTGACGTTATTAAGCAGCCGTGACGTCAGCGGAGGTGGTTTACACGCGCCAAACGAAGCGTTAACGTAAGTTCACGTAAAACAGTTGGATCGGTTACATCGAACGTGTTTAACTGGACGTAACGTTCCGTTCCAACGTAACTTACGTACGAAAACTAGTAAGTATACGTACTAGTTTTCACTCCTTAATGCACTTAACTTACTTCCCGATAAAACACCAGCATGAAAGGAGATTACATAACGTCACATTTAAACGTCTCTGGCGTTATATTAATGAACCGTTGCGTAGCTCTTCGGTCACATCAACGCACGTTTCTTACAGCGTCAGCTAGCATTCTAGCATGCTAGCAAAGCTAAGCGAAGCTTGTGATTGAGCTAACGGCCGTTAGCATTAGCCAACAGCCGCAAGCTAGAACCTTGAAAACTAAGAATTAAAAACGCAGCAGGCGGATATTTGACGTCAGAAGCCCCGAACACCGCGAGCTCACCGCGACGCGTCTCACCGGCTCGCAGCTGACGCGTCGTGACGTCACCCGAGGCCCAGCGACGGGACGTGCGTCGAAGAGGCAGAACAACAAGTGCCACGTTAATTAGGCGTTATTTATATATGCACCTGCTCCTCCCCCCTTATCTCCCCTCCTCCCCCCTTCTCTCCCCCTCCGGGTCCTAAATGTCGCCGCAGGTCGCTGCGGAATGGAGAATGACGCACAGGATCGTTGCAAAAAGGGAAATTGCAGCGGCTTCATTTGAATAATGAACTACCTGGATGTCTCCACCAATGTTCTCGGTGAATTTATCTGATATATTTTGAAATGAAAAAATGTCCAGCACATTTGGTTCCATTGTAACAGTTTATAGAGAATATCATGTAAAAGTCAGCCATTTAACTTTTATACAATCCATGATCAGAATAAAAAGATCAATACCGACGACACAGTACAAAACCCCCCCAACTGGTCTCTGACATGCAGAAACCACACGTTAGTTCCGACGATGGACAAACACAGGCCTTACGACTATATCTTCTTTCAAGGTCTACACCCAGACCAAGCAAGACAAAACGGGGGGTGGGGGGGGGGGGGGAGAATAATGCAGGAAGACGTTTGGATTCATTGCTTTAAAAGCAGAATCTCTGAATTTTGAATTCCACCGTAGCGTTAAAGAAAAGTGACACCACATTATGCAAACGATCATTAAAACAACAGACTTCTATTGTGTCCGTAGACCGCTGTCGGTCGGGACGGACGTGAAGAGGAGGAAACGGGTACAAACACGAGGACCCCATGAAGAGGCCCATTCATCGCATCGGTCCAGCTCATCTCCTCAGTCTCCTTCGAGGAGTAATTTGCATTTGTTTGTGCAACAACATTGTTATGGATGGATGAAGTTAAAAAAAAAAAAAAAAAAAACACCACCAGCTAATAATCCTCAGTGTGACTACATCTCAAAAAAGGACATTAACTCCTCCTCCTCCCCATTTCTCCTCCTTGGGCTTCATCTTAAGGCGTCTGAGATTCTGCTGGAAGCGCCGTCGATTTAGCGTCCCATGGTCGGCATGGTAACGGCCGGGCCGCTGAGAGTGGCGTCCTCGGCCTTCCACTGGGAAGTCACAGTCTTGATCTGAGTGTAGAACTGGATGCCCTGGTGGTGAAGAGAGACAACGTGCAGCGTAAGCAGCGCGAGTCCACGCCTTCTTATTACCGACGCGGCGCCTTTTTAACGATCCGACGCGTTAAGTTACCTGCTTGCCGTAGAAGTTGGTGTCGCCCCTGAATGAGCCTCTGGAGCCGGTGAAGGAGAACATGGGGAGGGGGACGGGGATGGGCACGTTCACGCCGATCTGTTCAAACGAGCGCACACGCCAATTAGGGGGATGGAGATCTGGCCAAACCATCACAATAAATGGAATTGTGTAATAAAGCATGTTGTCTGACAATTAAATGGTTGATACCACATAACCAAGCTTTTGTATACACAATTAATGTTGATATTGTATTTCAGCTTTAAATGACATTTACAAATAAAAGTCCTTTTTTCTTCCCACAATTCCTGCGACTTCTATTTCTTATGGATCGGTTAACTGTTAATATCATGCAAGAAAACCTGAAGGGGGAATTTCCCCTTTCATAGATTCTTTATAGCCTTTGAATGGCTGCATTAGATATTCACACTTGGCATTAGTTTCCTGTATTGTTGAACAGCGTTTAGGCGGAGAAACGTCTCACCTGGCCAACGTCCACCTCGTGCGTGTACTTGCGCGCCGTGGCCCCGTTGGTGGTGAAGATGGCGGTGCCGTTGCCGTAGGGGTTGTTGTTGATTAGAGAAATGGCTTCGTCGAGATTCTCCGCCTCCAGGATGACGAGCACTGGCCCAAAGATCTCCTCTTTGTAGCACTTCATGCTCGGCTGAAGAGAACAGAGCCGTCACATTTCCTGCAGCACTTCACAGCAGAAACTCCTCGAGGTGTCATTGACAGTCCGTAAGGTACCAGCATGTACACAGTTTGCAATATTAACACCTGGAGACGACGACTGCTGCTAAGAAATGCTTCAGAGAACACAAAGTCTTTCAGTGAAAACCACATAATTCTGGCACCTGTATCTGATCATATTGAGACTCTTCAGTAACTGACAATAGGAAGCCGCGTTGTCCCGTTCGTCTAATCTCACCTTGACGCCGCTCAGTATGGTCGGCCCTACAAAGTTTCCACTTTCGTATCCTTTGACGTTGACGTTTCTCCCATCCAGGAGAATATTGGCCCCCTCGTCCACCCCACTCTGGATCAAAGACTCCACCCTGGCCTTCGCTTGAGGAGAGATCAGGGGGCCCACATCCGCCCCCGGCTGATCACCTTCAGGACCACGAACGCACACGTCAAAACAGCCCAGCCACAGAAGGCAGAATCATGACATTTTTTTTTTTCTTTCCTCCCACTGGCGGTTGACCTTGAAGTTACCTGCGTTGACGCGCAGCGACTTTGAGCGCTCCACCAGCTCCGGGACCCACTGACGAGACTCCCCGACAAAGATGGCGGTGGAGAGGGCCATGCAGCGCTGGCCGGCGGCGCCAAAGGCGGCACCCACGAGCTGGTTGATGGTGTTCTCTTTGTTGGCATCGGGCATCACCACGCCGTGGTTCTTGGCGCCCTACGAATGAAACGTGCTCTGTAGGGTTTCTCTCCAGTTGCAAACAGCTCATTGCGTATCTTACAAACGCCGGTGACTGACAGCTAAGCTGAGAGTGGTTTCCCTGGTGACTGAATAGTAAACATTTGGCGTAACCGCGTTCAGTAGGTGGGTTACCATGGCAAACAACCACCTCAGTTTAGTCAAGACTGATCAAGGAGAGTCCATTTAGTCCTGCTTTACCATGTTGGACTGCACCCGCTTGCCGTTTTTGGATCCCCGCTCGTAGATGTGCTCTCCGGCCGGGTTGGATCCCACAAAGCTGATGGCTTTGATGGCCGGGTGGTCGCAGATGAAGTTCACCGCTACACACAAAAAAAAGACACAAACGGAATACGGTTGGGTCGCCCATGGTGCACCCGGGAGGCAGCGCAAGAGCACAGAGATCCAAACCCCCGTTACTCAAACGCTCATGAATTACTTAGAGATTTAGGCTGCTGCGGTTATTGAAATGTTCACCGAGTGAGGGAGAGGGGGGGGGAAGAGACGCACGCTAACCTGCATGCTGGCCGTGGATGATGTTGAGTGTTCCGTCTGGTGCTCCGGCGTCCTGGAGCAGCTTAGCCAGGAGCATGGTGCACCCGGGGACCCGCTCCGAGGGCTTCATCAGGTAGGTGTTGCCACACACCATGCCGATGGGGAACATCCACAGAGGAATCATGGCGGGGAAGTTGAACGGGGCGATGCCTGCACACACCCCGATGGGCAGGCGGTAGGTGTACGTGTCCATGTCCCGGGTGATGGAGGGCAAGGTCTCCCCCAGCATGAGGGAGGTGATGCTGCAGGCATGCTCCACCACCTCTGGGGGAGGATGAAGAGAAGGGATGATGTAAAGCAATGGGTTTAGTGCAGAGATTAGAGGCCCATAATACACTAACAGACTCGTGAATACAAGTCGTCTAAGATGAGATGTTTTTATGTCTTCATTATAAAACATTATGCAGTTTGTACTCGAGCTCCTTAAATGTTGATTGATTTTTTTTCCCCCTTGTGAGTGAACTCTTGTCCAACTTGTGAGGACATCCGTAATGCTGGCAGCCCACCTGCTCATGAGCCCCGTCTTTCAGCTGATTAGTTAGAAATTGTCGTGCCAGAATAACTCTGCCATCCCAATACTGGGAGCGGTACCAAATATATATAAAAAAAATAAATAAAAAAACACTATGTTGGCAGCTCTGCACCGTAACGACCAGAAATACAACTTCCTCTATTTGCAAGTGAGCATCACTCGTTTCATTGCTCAACAGAATTGTTGATGCCAGTCTGCCAAAGTGCACCTTAATGAGGGGAACTGCATAATTAAATTTATATAGCATGCAAATAACAGCAGAGCCTCAGGAGTGCTTTGCATAAAAACACACCAGGTAGTCACAGTTTAACATCAGGTCTGCAGGGACACTGGTTCCGTAACCCTTGTTTTGTTAAAATTTGAAACTGAAAGCATCTTGAGATGTTTGATCAAGCTTGTCATTGTGCCCAAAAACAACTTGCTTCATTACTCAATTCAAAGTTTAAAGTTGCTTTCGCAGGAAGTGTAATGTTACGCGCAAATAACTGACCCCCTGCAGCCACTTAGCGTCGAACTGTCAGCCGGCCAAAAGGCTTCCAGAGACGCACTTTTCATCAGGAGATACAGATACTACAGACAACCGTTTCAACAGGGGAATTTGATCTGCACTGTAGAGTCGCCAGCACTCTAATCTAACCAGGATAACTAAACCCAACAGCACACTGAAGGCGATGCTGTACTCACGAAGTCCTCTGAATACATCTCCCTCGGCATCGGCCAGGGTTTTGCCCTGCTCCAAGGTGATCATTTTAGCCAGTTCTTTCTGAAATATGAGAGAAAAAACACTCAACGATTAATTAAAAATATTTGAGAGGAAACAAGTAATGCAACAATTAGTTGGACCGTAAGTGGATTATGTTAATTTTGAAAACAAATTGTGAGAAAAAAAAAAAAAAGGAATCAGCAAAGAAGTGACCGTTTTGCGTACAATGTTATCCTTGATGAGCTGCTGGTAGCGCAGGAAGACCTGCTGCCTGCTGAGGATGGAGGTCTCCGACCAGGAGTGAAACGCTCTGGAGCACGAGTCCACCGCTGCCAGCATCTCCCCCTGCGTCGCTATGGGAACACGTCCTATCACCTCATTAGTGGCCTGAGGAGCGGGAGAGAGTCCATAAAGGACGAGTTGACCGAGAGCAAGACAAGTGATGCAGCGCGTGCGTCGATTAAATCGATAATAAAAAGCACACGTTTTCTATCCTTCACAGGTTTGACATTTGATCTGATGTGTGCTATAACTGACTTTTACTGCTTTTCACTTGCTTGAGGCTTAGAATTAACGAGAAAAAACTACAACAAGGTGGACTTTATGAACCGTGACTGGCACTACACGTCGTTCACACGCGCAGTTACTATGAAGTCGTACTGGTTATTTGCAGCCAGCTTTGAGCGAGGATCTGGTTGCTGCGGCTGCCACGCAGGTTGGATATAGTTCATCTATGAATACTTACGGGGTTGGGGATGTCGAGCCATTCGGAGCTGTTGGAGTCAACAAACTTGCCATCGATGAACAGCTTGGTGGTGGGCTGGAGGATCACAGAGCCATATGGTTAAATCCCTTCCTGGTTACATCATCATTGGGTTCATTAGACATCCACCCATCCATCACCACAACGTACGCAGCGATCGTCCAAAGCACTTCTGCCTTTTTAGATTACTTACCTTTAACACCTTTGACTTGGAATTGAAGTCTTCCTGATCAAATATTTTTAATGTACAGCCGCCGACTCATAATCCAAGACCACATAATTATTCTAAGCCTGATTGTTAAGTGTTTCAAGTGCACACACTCAAATAGCAAAATAATTCAGTGCTCACAAATAAGTCAGAATGCATAATGCTATTAAAACACTTAATCCTTTTGAGCGCGTTAAGCTTTCTTAGCGACGGTTTGGCCGTGGATTTCCTCCATCGGAGTTGGACTGATACGGTTCCATGTTGGTAGTAATCACCGTTACTGATTGCAATAACAGCTCCATGTGCTGTATAGGGAACGTATGGCGTATGGACTTAGTTAATGAGTATGCAGAGAGTACAAAGTGCGATGAGACATTAATGTGCAATGGCTCAGAAAGTTGTTCATATTGTAATAATTACAGAATGCTGCAGTTAATGTTTAAATATCCCTTTTGAACCACATCCAAATATTTACTTACAGGTCTTAATGGAGTTTCTTTCACTTGATATTTTAGTGCTGAAATCTGAATTTCACTGACTAAATAACATCCAATTCAAAGAGCCATTAGTTTTTTGCAGATATCTTATAATATAGTATAGCAGATATCTTATAATATGGAGACTGATGAGAAAAAAGAAATACTAATCTACATTTGGGGTGTTTTGTCCAACATTTCTTTTTAAACGAATTGTTAAATATTTGACGTGGTAAATATCCAGGCCAGAATGAATTGACAAGCTTAATTTAGCATAACAGATATATATTCATTAAAAGTTGAGATACTTTTACAGATTAGTTAACATTTTAAATACTATCGAACATTAATCAAACATATTTAATTCAGTCTTCTGTCTCAGAACAAGAGTTCTCAGCTTTGTTTTTAGTTTCGTGCTACAAAAAAAAAAATCAGCGTTTTTTTTCACAAAAACAAATGCGTTTACGTTTCTATAAAAATAGTGTTGTTTTGATAGTATGGAGGTGGAGTGTCATGGATGCATGATAAATCACAATGAGGCAAAGTTTAGTGACTTCTCAAACTGACAGCTAGAAGAACCCGCGCCTTCATGCATTCATGGGTTCACTGCGGAGTCATGGAGGTCGGCCTCTTACCACTGACGAGGACGAGTAACACACGCGACCCAACTGCAGGGGCACCTGCAATAATTAAGACACCATTAGTCAACATCAATTCATATTAAAGTCAATGTCCAAGGTCTAACGTTAATGAGTAACAGCCTTGTCGGAGCATTGCTTGACCCCTGCGTGCACGCGATGCAAACACACGATATAAACCCCGCACCTGAGACGTCACTCACCTGACGTTAACTTGCACGAAACGGTTACTTTTAAAATGTTTGCAAAAGCCAAGAAGGGGCCGTGTGCATCGCGTTTGTTTGGCTAACGACTTTGTTAGCTAGCAACTCACGTTGTTAGCTCATTTGAGTTGCATAAACGTCCGACAAAAAGCAAACGTTGTGTCACGCACGAGTGTCTCTCACCTTCTTGTTCAAAAGGGACCGGAGAATCGCTGCCATTGTGGTGTGTCGGGTTTTTCTTCTTCCTGCTCCCAAGCCCTTCAACCGACCCAAAACGACAGCAGGAGAGCAGAGAGAACTTCGGCTAGCAGGAGCGTGGCAGAGGACAGAGCGGTGCCGCGGTTCAGAACAGAGCTACAAGTAGCCGTCGTCGGGATGCTAACAGGCGGCAGCGCAGCGCATGATTTGTTGATCTGCGAAAGCTGCGACTGACACCATTCGCGGTTTCCGTTTGCGGTGGGCGGGACAGACCTGATTTTAAAGGCCAATCGCTGCGTGTAATTTGCCAACCACCCTAAATTACAAGAAGCTGATTGGCTGTTGACATAAACACAAACTGGAATCGTATCAGAAATGAGAAGAAAAGGTTTAGTACAAGGCATTGCTGCTAGTTTCCTTAAAGCACATCGTACAACGTTTTAATATGTGTTTGTGATTGGACAAGCTTTTATGTGTGAGCTAAACACCTTATCAACACATAGTGGCAGTCTCCATGGCAACCGGCCTACAGGCAACATGGAGTTTCTACAGTGGAGTTGTCAAGATGTGGCAAGATGGATTGAGTCTTTAGGATTTCCACAATACAAAGTATGTTAACATGCACCTCACTAACCATGTACACGTTAATAGGCACGGGATGTGTTTCTGTCTGATTTTATTTTTTTTCAAAGCTCTAACCTTATTATACATTTCTGTCATAGGCGTGTTTTGTGGAGACCTTCATCAATGGAAGAAAATTAATTCATGTAAACTGTACCTATTTGCCAAGACTTGGAGTTACAGATTTAAAAGACATGAAGGTATTGGGAAGAAGGAGACTTTTTATTTTTGATTTGACATCAGAAGAGATGGATGTTATTGTGGACAGACTTGTTTACGTATCAATACTGGAGTCAAGAGAGTTTCAACAGGCTAACAAAAGATAATGATAGCACTGTGAAAACAACTGTACAGTATCGTCTTGTGAGGAGTTTGTCTTGACTGATTTTAAATTATGATGTATGATTAATTGTTTAAGTACCCTAACTCATGGGAATACCAAACATTTGCATGACTTTGGAGCTTCGCGACGTGCGTGTGGTGTGATTTTTCCATAAGAAAAACACAGAGAAAATAAGAGATTAACCTTCAACAGAAATAACTGAGTTGCCACATCAATCGTAGTCACGTATGTCTCCAGTAAGCTCTAAATGGGCTGCAAACATTGGATTGACATGGCATTTGGACCGTTACTACTCTTTCTTTGAACGCTATGTCATCAATTAAAGCAGAAACCGAGTGTCTCAGCCAGCAGAAATCAGCTGTGCCGTACATGATGTTTACGGTTAAACAACTGTTTTTCTTATCCTGAGGTCAGAACTTAATTGGCTAAAAGTGAGTTTATTCATTCAGCTTTGCTTTGCATCAAACAAGAAAAAACATATTAAAAAACATAAACTCATAGTGAAATAGCTCCAGAACTGACAGACTTTGCAAGGATTATCTTTGTACTCGGGATTCACTGATACATTTGTTTGGCCCAGAAGTGCTTTGATGCTTCTGCCTTTGGGAGCGTAAACTTGTGACCTCTCCTCTCACGATGCCAACGCCCTCGGTGAGATGTCCTCGAGACATTCTCACTCCCCAGGGGGCCCTTATGGAACGAAAGTGGGACACAGCGCAAACACACCGCTCGATCAAAAGGACTCAAACCCGCGCTGAGTTGGGCAAAGAGATGGAAGAAGATAGAAGACAGTACAGGAGCGCAGTGTCAGTTGTCGCTCCGTATTCACCGAGTGTCAGCTCGCGATGACTCGGGTGAGACACTCACAGGAGGCCACGCAGGACTTGACATTTACACCTCCCACCAGCAAAATGCCTGTACGATGTCGATGTTGTTGTGTCTGCTGGTTATTGGGTTATGTGTGCAGGTGCAGCCCACGTGGGAGCAGCACGTTCCCCATACGGAAATATGTGTGCACGCACGCAAACAACAGTTTAAATGCCCGTTACCCGTGTACCACGTTACGCATAAACCACCTATATTCCCATCGAATGATGGACACGTTGAAACTGGATGGAGCTGTTGGTCTGAGGTATAGGGCCCCGTTTCACCGGGCCAGCGGGGTCGTGAGACAGAACACTGCGTGTCCGAGTCCCCTGCTCTGCTGTGCCGTATAGACGTGCACACATGGGCTCATTTACCAACTTGCATAAAATGCCAAAGGATCATTGCATCAGATTGCTTGAGTGCCAAGAAGACGGATGGGGGGGTCCAGTTTCAGCCAACACATGGCTGTCTTGGCAGTAATAGGACTTTTTACAGCAGCTTTTCATATGGATGGATCTTCAATTACAGTCTTCTTCAGGCCCACTCTGGTTATTGCTCATTATTTATCTCTCGTGGGTTCGAGTCTAAAAATATCTGCTCTCAATTTTTCTTTTTTCTTTTTTTTGTTTCAACGTTTTCAGCGAATGTCATATACCGACTTCGTTTCGTGCAGCAGAGTTCAATCTACATGAATAAATTATGATGCGTGCCCGTGAGAGAGGCCGGGAGGCACCGCATCTGTCTGCGCACACAAACGGTCTCTGTGCAGCTCGGTACCCGCGCGCTGATTACCATTCCGAGCACAGCACCTCTGGGCAGAAATGGAGCCGGGTCGGTGGTTGACGGTAGTCCGGGGGCAGGAGGAGGGGGGGGAGGAGGAGGAGGAGGAGGAGGAGGAGGTGGGGGGCGCGTATTATGGCAGCAACCCTTCAATCAATCTGGATTAAGTCGCACCGAGATCCGCGTCGCTCCCCGGCGAAAGCCCCGTGAAAAGCGACACGAACATCTGGCCGGACAGCGCGCGCGCGCGCGGCACCGGTCGCTCACTGCGCCGCAGACACTAAACAGCCCGTCGCCACAGAAGGCGTTTTTCTCTCCTGGAGGTGCACGCACGGGCGGATGCGCAGCAGAGGAGAGTCCCGCCGCACAGCTGCACCCCCACATCCACGCCGGGACCCTCCGGGCGGCGTTTTCCACAATTCCGGAATTCTTCTTCTTCTTCTTTTTTTTTTTTGTTTCCGAAAGTGGTGAGCGGATCGGAGAGGACTCCGGCTCCCGTACGTGCCGGTCATGGATTTGGTTGAAGGGCATCGCTGATTTGGTAACAGGCCGTCGCGTGTTACAGCCGCCGAGGCGCGCGATTCGCGACACCTGAAATCGTCTCCTCGCGGTCCCATTTTCGGCGAGCTCGCGGCGTCAGGATGCTCGCGGCCCCCCCGCCGGGAGGAAATACGCTCCAACACACCCTCCTCCTGCGCTGACTCGGCTTGATGTTTCATCTGCAAGGTAAATGCACTCATCCGCGCGCCGCACGGGCTCTCGAGTGTGAACTCTTTGGGGGTAAACTGCCCGTGAAGAGGCGCAGCGTTGACTTCCAAGTACTTCTCTCTCAGGACGCATCTGAAAAGGGTTCAGGAGTCTCCCCTCCGCGACAGGGGGGTGTTGGCTGTAAGCCACCAGCCCAGGACCCGCACCGCAAGGTCAAAAAGAACCCCACCTATTGCCTGGAAGCACCTTCACATGTGCTTTTTTATTTTCAGTGCGCACCTGGGCTGCATTCCGTGCTGCTCGCAGGTGAAACCGAGCATCGCTGTGGCCATTATTCCGCCGCCCCGCTCTCAGGGTGCTTCTTTGTTTTCTTGTGCAGCTTGTTTCATCAGGGGATCGCAGTGATCTGCTGCTCCGTCCTGTGGTTAAACCCCCCCCCCCCCCCATGCTGATGTGGAAAGTGCACATCAGCCATTAAGATGTGAGGAAGTCTAAGTAACAGCACGTGTAATAGGGTGAGTGTGGGGGCAGGGTGACTGTTGCCAGGTGACTGCTGAAGACAGGTGAAAATGGGACAAATTCTTACAAATATTAAAGCGGGTTCATTATCCTCTCATTCCGGGTGTTAGTTTTCACGCATCTTGCTATACGCGATAATGTAACACCATGTAAATATCGGGCCCACGCCTCATTTCGTGGCGTGGACGTGCTCTCGCTGCTGCGTTAATGCACCGGGTGATGTGGCCCGTGTGCTGCTGCCTTTCCCCGGAGAAGGGATGGTTCCTTCGGTGCCGAGGCTATTTCTGCAGACCGGCTCTGCGTTCGCTGACCCTAATTTCTACTGGCCAGAAAAAGCTCTGTTGTTTCTGCTGAAGGAGGCTGTCATTGGCCATCACACACACGCACACACACACACACACACACACACCTGGTCCACAGAAGAGTTGCATTTTGATTACACCACACAACCATCAACGAGAGGGAAGATCATGCATTATTTAAACATTCTTGTTGCTGTGTGTCGTAGAAAACAAAGGATCTCGAGTGGCTTTGAAGGAGGGAAAATGAGTCAATGGTCACAGTCATCTTGAATTTGAAGTCAGCTGCCCTTGTTTCCCCCACGTTGATACTCCAGCATGAACTAGAGCGCATTATTTTCACAAAAAGAGGTTGAGAATATTTTTCTCCTTACACTTCTACCAAACGCGGCACTTGGGAATTGGCTGATTTCACAGTGCACAGATGTGCAGGCCCGTACTGGGGGGGGGGGGGCGGTATTCACTTCAGGAAGCCATGGCGACGTACAGAGCGGCGGTCACGGGCTTCACGTTGCTGCTTCCCTCAGAAAATCCCAGTTTTTAAGCCCCTCGCATCAGGGCACGTCACAACAAAGCGAGAATCAAGATCCCACGCCAGTGATCAGCATTTCAATTCTGTCCTCCCACTGCAACGCAGGACAGCAACTAAAACATGACGAGCGTTTTCTGTTGCTTGTTTGTTTATTCCGTTGGACCGATGCTCCGCTGGTGAGATACCGAGCTCATCGAGGTATCACTGAATTTCCTTTGAGAGTGTGAGAAGGAAAACATTCGGAAACGCAAGTGAGGGTTTGTAACTGCTGACGAACAGCACTTCTATTGATGCAGTTGGGTCTGCTTAGTATGCTGTACCCCCGCCACAAACACACACACACACACACACACACACACACACAGACACGCACACACAATCTTGTCAGACCGAAAAATAATTTCAACTACATCAAAGTCGTTTAGGTTTTTCTTACGTGCAAGACGGAGAGCACGGTAATGATTCAGTCGCTCCAAACATTGAATCCGACACGAAATTAGCCGAGTGCACGCGGCCTCTGCTTCTCATCACCGCCGAGCCACGAGCGGCACAATGCGCACGCTCCGGCCTTCGGGCGGAAACGCAATTGTCGAGGACTCTTTGTTGGAAATATTATTAGGTGATCTGAAAATGAGCCACTGATTACATCCCGGGCCGAAAAGGGGAAGAAAAAAAAGACGTTTCCGGTGTTGCCATGGCATCAAGGCTGTCACCCGAGATCTGCAGCGTTTCAACGTTGGCGGGCTGTGCCGGGTGGAGGGTGTCACGGCACACCCTCGTTCACAAACACAGACGTGTCGGTTCGACGGGATCACGGGATGTTTGGACTCTCGCTGCGCGAGCGAGTAGAGCCGCCGCCAGATTCCTCCTCAGCAGCTCCAGCTTGGTCTCGTGAAGCGAGGAGGTCCGAGACGTTTGCCGCTGCCACGTGCCGGGGCGGCCTCGACCTCCGCCGAAGGCCCCCCAGCCCCCGAGCGGCACACGTCTCCTTCATTCCCCCCCCCCCTCCTCGCAGGGCTGCTTTCCCGGATGTCTTTCCCAGACGTGGGTTTCGGAGGGCTTTCTCACATAAGCTGTAGCATCAGGGAGACCATCTGAAGGCATACCCCCCCCCCCCTCTCCCCCCACCTCCCCACCATTACCTCACTGGACGACTGGCTCGCAGTATGGGCTTTCTTGGCGAATGCCGCCCCGGGGAGACCATAGATATCCTCTGCCACAGCACACTGCTGCTGCTACACGGTCTGTCTCCAATGCCGGGGGTTGTTGTGTAGTGAGCTGCCTCCATTAGGCACAAATCCACCCACCGGCGTGCGTGTGTGGGTGTGAGCTGTCAGTCCGCTGTCCGTCCTCGCGGAGCCACGGAGACCCCGCTCCGTGGTAGTTAAGGAGCATTTGATTGACCACGCAGGAGATAATGGTCAATGCATCAGTAGATTATCGGTTTTCTTGTTTATTTCTGGCCCTCCCGAGTTGCCTTCCCCGTAATGAACAGCTCAACCTAGAGGATAATGATTTTCTGTGGGGTTGTGACATTTAAAGATGAAGTGTGTGATTGATGAATGCGTTGATTGGTTATCTGGTTATTTGTTCGTGCACCTGATGAGTGCAACCTGTTATGCAAATCACCACGGAACAACCGTAATTAAATGCAAATTAGGGAGACGGCCGCGGACGCTTTCCTGCCCTTTCTCCGCACCGGTGGGCTGTTCTTTTGTCGCCACAGCTCCGAATCGGATAGGGATTACCATCGCAACCGCTCTCCGCACATTTGGTTGAGTTTTCAGCAGCAAAAAAAAAAAAAAAGAGGAAGAAAAAAAAAAGCCCCGTCTCCACAGAGTGAACCAATATCACGTATTCAGCGCCATTCGAGTTGGAGGTAGCGGGGCCTCTCTCCGCCTCATTGCACATGCGGAGGCCGTGCCATTGAGAGTCCGAGCGGGAGCCGGACGCCGCGTCAATGTGAACATACACCTCAGCGTGCACACGCTATCTCCTTTGCCACGCACACGCAAATACACACACACACACACACACATTAAGTAGCTTCCACGTAGGTACCAGGACACGCAGCCTTGCAGCCGAGCTTGACTCTGAAGTCATCTGCCATCTTTAAGGAGCATCTCGACAACGTTGTTAGCGGACGCCACCTGGCCTCCTCCGCCGCTCTCCTCACAGAACAGTGCGGGTGGACGCGTCGCTCCCACCCGTGTTTTCATTACTCTGTGATATTTCCCCCGTACTCCCAACTGTCGAGGTTATTGCACCGTGAGTTGCATGAGTTGAACGGCTGCTGCAGAGGCTGATGAGGCGTGTAGGTGCTCAGCTGGCACGTTCTTTGCTGAGGCAAGATTTTCTCTGAAAGACCCTGCGTCTACGATGGAGACGTTAGCAGCGGACCCCCCCCCCCCCCAAAAAAAGCTATAATCATAAATCGGCGTTCTCCCCTGTGGTTAAAGTTTAGCCTTTTTCGATTTTTACTTTAACTGTGGGACCGGATCTCTTGTTCCCAGTGTCTGATTGGGCCGGTGTTCCTGCCTGCGTGCTGTAATGGGACACCCGGACGGCGGGATATTGCATGATCTACCAAAATGACACTAAACTTCAGTTCTCGGAGTAATCGCGGTGGATGCCACTCTCGCTCCGGCACACTGGGTAGTGCTCCCGCAGAGCTGCGATCTGATCTCTGCTGCCTTAATTGCATGACACGCTATATCCCTGACAAGGTCTCGGGATCCGTCAAATGGATCCCTCCTTATCCCCATCTCAGCTGTGTCATAAGTAAAGAGTAGCAGCAGAGAGAAAATCAATAGCAAGGCATTGCACATCCTGGCCGAGGCTTGGGCCCAATCATCCCTCCCCATTGGCGATGTAATCCTGGGAGATATCAGTCTGATTCTGACGAGGCCGTGGACAGCCAGTCTAGACTTTCATCATTCTGAACACAAACACGAACGGGACAGTCATTATCATATCAAAAAATGTACAAGTGGGGAGGCAGAGGGCTAAAAGGGAGAGCTGTCACAAAAAATATTCAAGATTACTTATTAATGTTCCACTCTCAAGTCTGCAGGTGACTAATCTGTTTCATGTCTGACAGCGCGGCGTTCGTTGTTTGTTCAGGCGTCGGCTCGCTCTCTCGCTCCTGCTTAGGATTTGGATCTCAGCTGTGAGTTGGCAATGGCGAAGTTTCAAATCTAGAGTAATAGCTTTAACCTTACGCGGCAGTTCAGCAATTCCCCAAATTCCCTCTTAAAAGCGGGAGCTCCCGGTGCATTTGTGATTAGCCAGCCGCCGAAATTACAGTTTGATAGAGAAGATACGGCACAAGAATCAGAGATTTTACTGCTTTTCATTCCCACTCTTCTTGGTGACTCATTTTACCTTTTGTTTCTCTCTTTGTGTGTGTGAAGGTGCGTTGACCTGACTGAGAAGCCCGATGGAGTGCCTCCTGGTTTTCCTCATAGTCTTCGGCGTGGCTGGGAAGGCCCACAAAGTTCAGGTCTGCCCCAAACGCTGCGTCTGCCAGGTGCTGAACCCCAACCTGGCGACTCTGTGCGACAAAAAGGGGCTCCTCTTTGTGCCCCCCAACATCGACAGGCACACGGTGGAGATGCGCCTCGGGGATAACTTTGTCACCAGCGTCAAACGCAAAGACTTCGCCAACATGACCAAGCTGGTGGACCTGACGCTCTCCCGGAACACCATCGGCTCCATCGCGCCGCTGGCTTTCAAAGACCTGGAGAACCTGCGAGCGCTTCACCTGGACAGCAACCGCCTGGCGCGCATCATCAACGACACCTTCAGCGGCATGTCCAAGCTGCACCACCTCAACCTCAACAACAACCAGCTCACGCACATCCAGATCGGGGCTTTTAACGATCTGACGGCGCTGGAAGAGCTGGACTTGTCCTACAACAACTTGGAGAGTGCGCCGTGGGTGGCCATCCAGAGGATGTCCAATCTCCACACCCTCAACCTGGACCACAACATGCTCAGCTACATCCCAGAGGGCACCTTCTCTGGACTGCAGAAGCTCAAGCGGCTGGACGTGACTTCCAACAAGCTGCAGAAGCTTCCTCCCGACCCGATATTCCAAAGAGCCGGGGTCCTGGCCACCTCGGGCATCATGGGGCCCACCTCGTTCGCGCTGAGCTTCGGAGGAAACCCGCTGAGGTGCAACTGTGAGCTGCTGTGGCTGCGCAGGCTGCGGAGGGAGGACGATCTGGAGACCTGTGCCTCGCCGCAGCACCTCGCCGGACGTTATTTCTGGACGGTTTTCGAGGAAGAGTTTGTGTGTGAGCCTCCGCTCATCACCAGGCACTCTCAGGTATAACCCGACACAACACAGCCTTCTGCCACCAAACATCGGTTAAGCCGAGGATGCACTTTGTGCTTTTCTTTAACGGTCACACCAAATATTAGCTCTGCGAGCCAGGAGAGCCTTAAAAGACTGGTGGGGCTCGTCTGGGCCGCTCAGCCAACGCAATATTGTAAAATATATTGGACTTACTTAAAAAATGTAATCAAACTGTGGCCCGTGGAGAGTTTTTAGAGACATTCTTTAGCAGGATTTTCAGTTACCATTTTAATAAAGCTATTTGCGGGTTTAGGATGGATCCGCGGTGGAGCTCTTATTACACAAGGAAAGCTTAGAGTGATTTAGACCTTGATTCATGCATCCAAACAACATGATCTGATCAAATCCTTGCCAAACAACTACAGCCATATCACATCATTTACATTCTGCAGGCTCCTTTTGCATAATTGCGGAGGAAATCACATTTTACTTGGACTCCATCACATTCACTGCAATGTACCGTCACATTGATTATCTTGCCTTCATAAGCAAGCTAATTCAATATCCAGACAATGATCAACTGTTGATAGCAGTCATAGGGAATAAAGCTATAAACACAACACCATCAATAAAAGCATTGATTAGAACATTCAAAACAAGCTTACAGCACAACAGATAACTCTTTATTCCTTCACTGAAGTCTTCCTACTAACTGCCCCCCCCCCCTCTTCGTCCTCCTCCTCTGCCTCAGGAGCTGCAGGCTTTGGAGGGTCAGAGTGTGACTCTGCGCTGCAAGGCCAGAGGCGACCCTGACCCCATTATCCACTGGATCGCGCCTGATGGACGCCTGATGTCCAACTCCTCCAGGGCCGCCGTCCACACAGACGGCACGTTGGACATCCTCATCAGCACCGTCAAGGACTCTGGTCTGTTTGCACCCCGGGGGGGGCGGGGGCGTCTTGTGTTGTTGACTGAGCGAAATTAGTTGTTTACCCGTGTCCTCGGGAAGGCTGTGGGACTGAAGTATCTGTCTACATCAGGCGATAAGGTTCAGAGCGAGGAAGAGTGCCGGCTTGCACACTGATCGAGGTCACAATTAAATAAGAAACGACATTTTCACATCGTTGGCTGAGTCATATAGATCGGTTTATAATAATTGGATGTCGTGTGTGTCCATTAAATATGGAACTACAGTGCAGCCGGTTAGCCTAGCGGACCGCGAACAAAGACAAGCAGCTGGCCTGGTTCCAAACACAACAAAAAGCCACCTTCTTGCATCTCTTAAATTTCCCGATTAACACACCATATCATGTTTCAGAGTAAAAGTGGTGAGATGGGATTTCACGGGGGGGGCTTGAGCCTGAGCCGTACCGTTTCATGGCCTGGAAGCAGCCCTGCAGTGAAGGATAAGACAAAGAAGAAACACTATGTTAATAAGAGAGCTTTAGAGCTGCCGGCAGGAATTCCCCAAAGTGCATGACTCTGGAGCCTCTGAGTTCCAGTTTTCATGTTGTGTGCACAAAATTAAAAAAATAAATGTTCTCTCGGGACCCCGGGGGTGCGATTCGGTACGTTTGTATTGCAAAATCAATCTATGCGCGTCCCTAATGCCGATCAACGCTCTCACAATAAGTATCAGGGAGGAAGGTGATCGATTCAGTTTGTGTTCCAGGCTCCTTCACCTGCGTGGCCTCCAACCCGGCGGGCGAGGCGCAGCAGACGGTGGAGCTGGTCATCGCTAAGCTCCCTCACATCACCAACAGCACAGTGGCGGAGCAGGAGCCCGACCCCGGGTCGTCTGACATCGCCACGGTGACCAAGACGGGCGCGGACGGGGGAGGGTCGCCCCTGGGGAACGCAAAGACGAGCCCGGAGAAGAAAGTGGTGATTGCCGAGGCCACGTCCACCTCGGCCCTGGTCCAGTTCAACTTCCAGAGGAGCATCCCGGGAATACGCATGTTTCAGATCCAGTACAACGGCAGCTATGACGATTCGCTGGTTTACAGGTGAAACCGCGAAGCTTCTCCTTTTTCTGAAAGCGCCGGCACCGTTAAAGCTGTTTGTCCTGGTGAAAAAAATACGAGTCTTGATTGATATCGATAAACTCAAGCTGGTTGGAATCATATTAAAATCCTTCACCCTGATTTTAACTTCATAGTTTAACTTTGGTTGCTTGAATCCCTCCAGATGTTGAGTCATTAGGAAACGGATTGACAGCCAACATGAGTATTTGTGACATTTATTAATCCTCTAAGGAAGACAGATTAACGCACTGTATCTGACTCCTTTTTCTTTGACTCATAATCCCCCCCCCCCCTCCTCCTCCTTGCTGGAGTGCATCACATACAATGTGCGAAACCTTGATAATGCTTGATCAACAAAATCAAACCCCGAATGTCAGCACTAAGCCGCGGACTGATGGAAAGATAAAAGAGGCGCTTTTTTTTACAAAAAGCATCCCAGGCTTTCGCACATCTGAGAACGCAGCATTCTTTCATCTCTGCCCTCGCTCCCTCCCTGGTCGCCGCTAATCACCGGGATGTGGCGCGGGCCGCTTATTTTTCCCCAGAGAAACTCAAAGTCAAGCGCGCACGTGGTGTTTGGTAATCCTGATGCCGTGAACAACAAAAGAGGCATCCGGCTTCTCCCCCGTGACTGAAAGCAATGTTTTTATCGGTGAAGATACGGAAGAAAAATGAATCAAATGTCACAAAAGATTATGCCACGACAGATGTTAAATGGGCTCCTGAGAGATAAAGGATCGTCGTCTCATTTCATCCCTTCAAAACAACGAGCTGCATAATCTGATTTGCTTCCGTCTCCTTTCATTTAAACCTCCCGGATCTTTGTCACAGCTCACAAAGGGCTCTTTTGTTTGTTTGCCTTTTTTACAGAATGATTCCCCCGACCAGTAAGAGCATCCTGGTGAACAACCTGGCGGCCGGCACGCGGTACGACCTGTGCGTGCTGGCCATCTACGATGACCAGGTGACCTCGCTGACCGCCACCCGGGTGATCGGCTGCAGCCACTTCACCACCGAGCCGCAGTACCTGCGGTGCCATTTCATGCAGTCCCAGTTCCTCGGCGGCACCATCGTGGTTATCATCGGGGGGATCATCGTGGCCTCGGTGCTCGCCTTTATCATCTTCCTCATTGTGCGCTACCGGGTGTGTAACCAAGGAGATGCAGATAAGGTCGGTTTGGCGTCGTTTCTTTCTCCTTCTGCTCATTATTCATCTTGGGTGTAGACCCGGTTTAATAGAATCGCTTCGTGTTGCTGGTCCAGGCGCTGGAGATGGGCGATGTTCGCTCGCTGAGCAGCGACGGGCAGCTGCAGGGCTGCGGCGTCCCCAAGTCGCTCTCCAAGCAGGTCCTGCGTCCGGAGAAGACCGAGAAGGACTCGCTCCTCAGAGTCGCCCTGCCGCCCCCGGAGACGAGCAAGCAGCGTCCGCCGGTCGGCAACGCGGGCGGCAACAAACCGTCCGTGCCCGACTGCACCGTCTCCACCTCGGCCGCCAGCCACAGCTGGCACCCGGCCTCCCCCGGCGCCCCGAGGCCCAAGCGCTCCACCGCGCCGCCGAAGACCTCCGAGGCCCACCGGGCCGAAGCCCGGGCGGACGTCGAGCTCGACGGCGCCAACCGCAATAACTCGACGCCCGAGGTAAAAATGGCCGCCGCCGCCCCAGCCCCCACCAAGTGGACCGCTGTCCCCAGGGGCCCGCGGCCCCAACAGGCCCCCCGCCACTACATGACTGTGCCTGCGGGGGGAGCGAGGGTGAACCGCAGGCACTCCCTCGCCGCGGACTCACAGCCGGAGCGCTGCCACGTGGCCCGCCCCAAACCCGGGGCCGGCCTGCGCTCCAAGCGGAGCCTGTCGATGAGCGGCGAGCTGCCGCAGCTGGCGGGCGCGGCGAGCGTCCGGCGGGCCAGAGACAAGCTCTCCAAGTCCGAGTGGCTTCTGGAGAGCACTTTGTGATTCGGAGTCCACGACCTGCGTTCTCTCGTTTCCTTCGGCTTGGATTTGTGACCCGTCAGTGGACACGCAGGGATTTTATGCCTTGTTTGGAGCTTCTTGAGGAACCTGCAAGCTTTTCTAATGTAAATATATATACATACATATATATGTATGTATATATATATATATATATATATATATGTATTTATATACAGGGGAAGCAGGCCTGCAGTGTGGAACGTTTCACATTTGTTTTCTACCTTATAACCAATCAAAGTTGTCTTTATATCGACTTTTGACGAAAGGCACAACGATGTATCAAACGACGTGATGTACAAAATGTTTAGCTGTGTGAGATGCTGTATATCTCAGTGCAACCTTTAAGTGTCCAACGTGGTATCGAATGCAGCGACTTACTGTGATCATGACAAAGAGAGAAACAGCCTCCGTAGACTTTGACAGCGAATCCTTGTCTCCGGCTCCACAGGCGGACGATGACGTGTCGTAATTACCTTCGGAGAGAGTCCGCTTCACGTCACGCAGCTGTTGGGACAGAATGTAGTAGGAAGACGGCGCTCCATCTTTCCACGGCGATGCCGCCCCCACCCCCCCCGACGCACAATGCAGTATTTTAGTGGCACGAGTCGACTCGGCCTAATTCTGCCCTCCGGTTCGAATCGATACATCTTCATCACGTCATCGCATAAAGACTCGACTCTGCGGGGATTCGGTTGGGGGCTGATTGAACAGGTGCGGCAGGTAATCGGAGATCACGCGCGGATGAGATCCAGAGGAATGTTCTGTCACCATATTTTTTACTCACCGGCGTAACCGTGTCGATGGCGAACGTTGTAAATGAACTTGTCGGCGTGAGAGAAGCCGTGATCACACGTCAGCTCATGATTTTGCTGTTGTTTCTGTTTGATGTTTACCAGTATAAATAAACCAGTGACAAAAGGGGAAAAACTCAAGACTTTTCTTGCCTCGTGAACAGCGGAATCAGAGATATAAAACAAAAGATTCATCCCTTTAGTTTCGCAGGCTGAACAGTGGTAATGAATTCGGGCCCCTCCGGCGGCCTCTCAGCCCCTCGTGTTCGTTCAGAGGGAGATGGAAAGAGGCCACGCCGGTCACCGGGGACCGGTCCCCCCCGCTGCAGCATCCCCGCCGCCCGTCTCACGGCGCCGTGGCCCTCGGACGAAAAATGAGCTGCAGGAAAAGGAGAAAGAAAAAAGAAACCAAACAACACATTTCAGAGGAGAGGATAAACACAACCTCCACCGCGTGCACGGCTGGTTCTACGGTTACAGAAATGTCTCCCTGACGGCCGACACGATGCGCCTGGAATACGAGCTCTGACTCGGCGTGTGTGTGTTCCGGTGGTCGGATGTTGCCTGATTGATTCTTACGCCGGCGCGCTGGCCCGTCTTTCTCAGCGTGTGTCTCACAGGGTGCAGACCAGTTAAGACGATCTGCACGGACGGGCAGGATTCAAACACTTTTATTCATTCTTTCCTTATGGGTGATTAAAATGCAGAGGAGCTGGGGAGCTCGGCCTGAACCTCGGTTCGTACTTTGGCGAGAGCCAGAGGTGTGTGTTAATAATAGATGCATTCATAGGGAGGGAGGGGGAGGGAGAGAGATGGGAGGGGCGGAGGCGAAGCGCAGAGGACTAGATGGGAGGTTTTGTGAAACAAATACGGCGGCGAGGTGAGGGTGAGGATGAAGAGGGGGAGAGGAGAGAAGAAAGCGAGACGGCTCAGAGACGAGAGGGAGTGAGAGAGACGAGGGGACGGGGAGGGAGAGAGACGGGGTGACGGGGAGGGAGAGAGACGGGGGGACGGGGAGGGAGAGAGAATGCAGAGCGGAACGGAACGAGGAGAGCAGGAGACGGAGGAAAGAGCCTCCTTTCTGAGGCAGCCCTGCAGCCTCCGGCTCCCCGGGACTCAGTGCACCTTTACAGAGGGGGGAGAGGGGGGGGGAGAGAAGGTGGAGGAGGGGAAGGGAGGGTGTTAGTGCGTGTGACGGAACTCAGCTGGAGGTCCGTGGCCAGATCTGGACCACACGTGTTTCCTGGCCTTTTGTCTGGTCGTCCCTTCTCCACCATGGATGCAACATCCCCCCCCCTCCACACACACACACACCCACACACACACACACACACACACACACACACACACACACACTGGCACACTTGAGAGATAAACCTGCCAATCTACACCTGCCTTCTACAAACAGACGATGTGCTGATTCGATATCCTGCTCAAATGCCACAGGGTCACAGTGACCGACGAAGCATTTGTATAACCTCCCACTCACGTCATCTATCTCAATAGTAGCCGCACTGTTCCGCTAATTAAATCAATTTTATGCTGTCACTGCTAATGGGCTTTTCATTTCTTTGTGTGAGTTTCCCTTTAGCTCTGACGGGACGAGTCTCTTTACGGCAGCACTTAAACCGACGGGGCCTCCGATGGCACCGCCGGCTTTAAATGACAATTATGACGCGGGGAAAATCGCACCGGGGCGCTGATGTGTCCAATTTGTCGTCAATTGTCTTCTTTAAGGAGATCGTAGGGCCTATTCCAACAAACCAAAGAGCCCATTAAAATCACAGTTAAGAGAGGGGTGACACGAATGCTTAATTTAAGAGGGGCCGAGGTCCTCCCAACAAGCGCGTTAGCACCTTTCGGCTCTCCGGGCCGCAGCTCGCCGCTTCATTATCTCCCCGCAGCAGGCGGTCTTAGTCAGAGAGACACATGAGACATTGTTCCCCTGGCAGGCATTATCCCGGGGAGTACATGTAGAGAGGGCCTGGGGCAAGATAAACCAAAACACCACAATATCCCTCTGAGGGAGGGGGGGGTGTAAAATATGCACAGGCAATTCCAACAAGTATGCATTATTGAGAAGAGTAAATGGGTTCAGCACGAACATCACGGCTCATTAATAGTGGATGTGATCACTGTTTCTGGGAAAACGGCCGCGTGGGCAAAGGGGGACGTAATTGAAACGGTCAAATCTAAACCGGAGACTCGCTTGTTTACTCGGCAACAAACTGTTTCAGTTTTCGTCCAAAGGTTGTGGCCGCGGAGAAAAGGCCCACGGGAGGCGGGACTGTGGCGAGGTTTGGCCAATCGCCGATTAAAGATACACGTGTGTGACAGTTTAACCATATGGAGTGGATTGCCTGGGAGGGTGAGAAAAATAAGTGTTATTTACTGTTTGTTTGTGTTTACTGTGCAAAGTAGTGATGAGTTTTTGATGCCTTAATTATTTTGTAGTAAATCATACTCGGATGTTTGCTGAAATTGATTGGATGGTCCTAGAATGTCCCTGAGAGTCATTTAATTACAAGCAGGATTTTGACAAAGCCGAGAATGCAAATGAGCCAGCGATTTTTTTTTCTTCTTCTTCTTCTTCTTCTTCTTCTCAAAATCCCATTAGAACGATTCGGCCGAGTGAAGGTCAGGCAGTTAGTAGGGGGGGTTTTCATTTGCCGACACCGGATTTGGTTTGACTTGAAACCCAGATTATCGTGGCCCCCCCCCATCGCCCCTGAGATGCCCCCCCCTTCCACCCTCCGACAGTTACTGACTCCGGAGTGATGGACGAGCGAGAGGATGCCTGCAGTTCACACCAGACACACCCGGCACCATTAGGAACCCTTTTCTGCCCATTTGCCTGATAGCTGCTATCGCTTATAGAAGCGATTCTCTCTGTCTGTACGCCAGGCGCCCCCCCCCCCCCCCCGGGGAAGGATCTCCCATCGATTTGCCAGAAACTGAGAACCCTGGGAGAACAGTGGAGCAAGCAGCCAAGCAGACGTGCCAGTCAGCTATCAGCTGCTGGTGAAGAGGGGGGGGGGGCAGTTTAAGCCTCTTTAAGGCTTCCATTCACAGTGACTTACTAAAAGTGCTTATGCTAATCTTGTTATCGCTTCGGGCTTCTGGTAATGGAGGACAGGAAGCTGTTGGGAGGTCGTGGGCCACGTTATTTTGTTAGCCCATCGCCGAGGGGATCCCAGCCTGGAACATGTGACTGCGCGCATGTCCGCACTTCACTTGGTGAATCACTTCTACACGGAGAGAGAGAGAAGGAGATGAATCTGCGTGGCTTCAGGGGATTTTTATAACCAGCTCACACCAGGATCATGAATCCACTGTGTTTCTGCCGGCTGATCTTATTTAGGCTCGCAGTGATCTCATCCGAGTGCGCTCGCCGAGTTGAGCCGTCAAACCCCGGCGTCCCATTTCACTTTGAATTTCCCGCCAATCGGGCACGCAGAGAGCAAACGCCGCCCGACGGCGCCCCCGTGGCCCTCGCGGGGGCAAAATTGATAATGTCAGGTGGCTCTTTCCCAAACAGAGCGCTGAAGGTCTCTTGATCCGGCCGCGTTTGAAGGTATAGAAGAGAGTTCACCTTCAGCAACCTCGAGCCGAGCGGAGCGGCGGGAACGTGACGAGGATCTCGATATGAGGGATTAACCAAATAATGCCTCATGTGATCTGGACCAAACGCTACTCCAGCTGTTTGGATGTGCTTAGCACGAAACAGACCTAAATGCAAAGTGGGAGATCACTGCGGGGCCATGGACGCGGTGGGATACAGACCAACCCGGTTCTGGCTATTCCAACCCACAATCCTTTGCAGGGCCTGTGAGTGTGGCGCATGATATCTCGTCTCCAAGCAGAAGTGCTGTAAACTCCTCTGGTTGCTAAAGTTGGATTTATTAACGTTTATGAGAAAATGACTCTACTTCCCTCTTGATTTATTACCTCGTAACATCGTCGTAAAAGTAAATATGAGTTTATGGTCTCAATCACTTGTTTATGTAGAGAATGCTGAGGTATTTAGAGTCAAATAGACCATAAAACAGATCATGATTTAAGGCGGTGCGTGTTCATCAATGACAGCGTCGTCTTTTTGCAACTTCAACCCTTTAACGGTGTGTTTTCAGTCCATAAAGTTAATTGTTAAATTTGTGTTTCCATAAAAATGTCTCCAAGAATGCACCAACCAAGTCAAATTCCTTGCATGTCTGACATATTTCGGCAATAAATGTTACTGATTCCTGATTGAGGTTGTATTCAGCTTCACGCTCTCGTGTCAATTCTAATCGCTAAACCGGAAGATACAGACGGGCCACACGGTGAAGCTGAGCCACCAAAAAACAGCGTAAGATGTGACTTCTCTCATAAAGTCCATGGAGTTGCCAGGAAAGCAGGCAGCAAACGGCTAAAGGCAGTCGGACGCAGCAGGACGTCTTGGTGATTGTGGCGTACTGCATTCGAGTCTCTGTGTTGTGGGACGGAGCGAACGTTGTAGTGTTGTTGTGCGTCGCCGAGGACCCAGCAGCTCTCAACGGGGCCACCAAATAAAACACACACACTCGCAACGTCAAAGCTTCAATACAGAGAAACTAAACTAATATATTCAATGTAAAAGTCAATTGCAGTCAATAATGCAAATGTATGCAAACAAAAGCAGCGCAACACTGTGAAATGTAGTAGTACTTGTTTTGACTGGAATATTTTTATTATAGACATTGAATAAGAAGCATTTCACTTTTGTAGTTGGCTGGTAAAGATCAAAAGGTAAATCTAAGGAGTCTTGTGATGTTTTCTGAGGAAGGATGAAGGAAAAAAGACCTGAGGATACATTTGTATTCATTCAAGAATTATTCCGTTTATGCTGCTGTTTCTGTTAAATACGGTGAAACGTCGGTTATTTAAATAAAACCGTCTGAGAATCAGGAAGCAATAATGAAACACTGAGTATCGTCACGGCAGATTTCACCTTCATAAATCCGTCATAAATCTTAGTCACATAAAATCTCAGCTGATTTACAACTTTACTCAAATGCTGTTCAGTAAATGTACAGAAATGTAGACTAGAGGTTCAAAGTAACATACAAAAGGTAGAAAAACACAAGTTGCTGAAAATTGTAGTATTGGGTAAATACATTTTTACCTCCTTTCCACCTAACATATTTTCTTTTTTTGAAAAATGTGCAAAAACAGTTACAGGCCGCAAATTCTTATGGCATATTTTGAACTCTTTTTGCATAATAAATGATCTAAACAATGAATGGATTCGTAATTACGGGCGGATTGTGTCCATCTTCATTGATTCTGTAATATGACGAACATTTGTCGTGTTTTTCACATTCTGAACCGTCACACTTAGATTGTGAAACTTGCACAACGTACTTCGGCAGCAGCGCAGTTTAAATAGCTGCCGTCCCAACAAAGTCAATTTGACAGAGCGAGGATGCGAGAGGAGACGGGTGCAGATAGATGCAGACTCAAACCGAGGCAGAGGAAAAAAGGAAAGGCAGTCTATTTATAGTCAGAGACACAGATAGAGAGAGGGAGATGATGAGGAGAACAGAGGTGAGAAGGAGCCTGAAATGCAGCGAGATGAATTACAACCTATGCGCTTCTCTGCTGTGACACTTCGACAAATAAAGACAAAAATAAAACCCCGGCTGTCTCAACATTTGAAGCGCTCAAAGCCGGCCTGCAGACGTGCGGCGGGTGGTGGACAGCGGCCTGGGAATCTGCCGTAGCGATGCCGACGGGGTGGAGCGCCGTGCTCCACGTCCTGGTATTCGGGGGCTATCTCAGCCTCTCTCTCTCTCTCTCTCTCTTCACATACTCTCACTCTCTCCTCTGTTACCTTGGCAACATATTTTCTGCTTGGAAATAGCATCTCTCGCTGTACCCACTGCAAAAAAAAAAAAAAAACGGCACTTCAAGAGATTTAAACTGTGCTAGGACCGATTTAAATTACAGACCTACAGATTGGATGCAATAGCGTTATGTTGTTCTGCATGCCTTAGCAACCAAGCATCACTACGCGTAGCCAAGCATGTGGAGGGAGCTGCATCTACAAAGAAGCCCTTTTTGTACGATTTTGCATCCTTAGAAAAGAGTGCACTCGGCCCATGAAGACAGTCAACGCAATAGAATGTTTACGCAGGTGGTGGTTTTTTCTCACGATCTATTTGGATCTGACATGAAAGCCAGCTCTCTACAAAGATCCTCGGCAGAGGTGTTATTAAGAAATGTGAAATGAATAATAAAGCACAGGGGGGCTGACGGTTGATCTGTGAGGATTTCCTGATTTAGTCTCCACTCCGCAGATGAAGGGGTTTAGTGCAGCGGTGAGAACTGCGGGTTCCTCGCTGCCGAGGCCGCTTCGCAGCGATAAAACAAAAGAAAACCTTTGTTTGTTTGCCGCCGGTGCAACACAAAGAGAGAGAGAGAGACAAACTAATGAAAGACAATCCAGGAGCTGAGATTGCAGGTGCCATCACACTTTTTCAGCTGCAAATAACCTCATATTTTACCTGAGCAGAGCGCGCGCGAGAGAGACAGCGAGTAAGAGAAAAGGGGAATAACATCCAGGTAAACATGCGGCACGGAATTAAAAGCAGAAAGGAAAAGGCAAGTGCCGTGACTCCTGGGAGAGAGAAGCCATAATGAAATAAGCTTCTGAAAGAGAGCAGGTGTTGCAGGCTTGACAGACTTCAGCTGCATAACAAGTAGCGCATTTACTCTCCCATGTCTTTGTCAATCAAACGAACCGATCCCGTGATAAATGCTGCCCTGGTACCGAGAGGTAGAGACCCTCCAGTGGAGTCGTGCCTGAATCAGTCTTCAGTCTGACTCTCCCGCTCACGGAGACTGCGTCTCAGGTAGAGGGAAAGTGCGCCTGGCTCTGAATGTCAAGCAGCAGCCAAAAAACGACATCCGGGATGCACTAAATGAATGTATTTTGTCACCAAAAGCAGAAAGCGGCGTGTGGCTCGCTTATGTGGTTCCTCTCGGATCATCAACGTGAAAGACGACGGGGGAACAGGAACGAGGGGGGGCTCAATGGCGTCGGTGCAGCCGCCCCTTTGGGGATCAGCACCATGGAGAGCGGCCGGGCAGCCGGGCCCTGCTGCTCTGCACCAGGAGGGAGCAGTGGGAGCAGGTCTGGGGTCTGCAGGGGGGGTGGGGGGGTGGCAGGACGCTGAGGCACACAGTTGTGCTAATCCTGCTGGCTGAGCAGAAAATGGGCACGGACTTGTGTGGAAACTTTTTTTTTTTAACTCACCGCAGGGCAACTGTGTACATGTATAAAATCCCAAATACCCTTTGAGAAGTAGGCGGTGTGTTTACTTATCAAAGCAGCTGGGACCAGGGTGGGATTTTGTCCGCTTGTTCTGAGCATTCAGACACCTAATAATTGATTATTGGAGAAAATGATTAGTTATCATTGGGCCTTAAATCTTTTGACAATGCGTTCTTTTCTTTACCGTCTATAAATAGACAGATTATTGATCGGGTGTCTCAGGCAGCCTCTGTGTGACATCACTATTAATATTACCTCTCCTCTCACGGACAAAGAAGCACGCAGGACAACAGAGACGCGTTGTGACATCATCGCCGTAAGAACTGTCCGACGTGAGCGACGGTCCTGCATGAGGAACTCGTACCGAGGTCAAAGTGCACGAGCACCAGCACGCATTAACAATGAAAGCGCCGGTGGAGCAGAGTGGTGGGATGATTAGCAATGACGCGTTCTCAGTGGTGCTTCGATGTTGTGGTTGGAGATCTGCTTCCTACTGGCGCATAATAATCCATAATCTTTTATGAAAACTTCTCTGCACTGTAAAATTGTAATCTGCAAAGCAGCGCATTTGCAAACGTGCTTTGGTAATAAGTATCACATAATTGTAGCCGTGCAATCTGGTAAACCAAAGTACTTTTCCACAATGTTTACGAATGCGGGACCAAAGGAGAAAATAAATATTTGGGTGTTGTGCAGCGTGTCGCTCTCAGAAGTTGGAAGGTTACTGGATGTTTTCGTCCAAAGCCGGTTTTGATCTTCATGCATGACTGCTAGGAAACGTTCCCTCGCTGGTGTGGAGGGAAAAACACATTTAATACCCTGCAGATATTCAGTTTACTTTCAGACATGACGAGGAAGCTGGAACTAACGAACGTGTTCCTGCATGAATGACTTATTCAATATACATCAGATTTCCGTGAATCCCTTCCCCCCTATAATCCAGACCGGAAACCCGATTTTATTTTTTCAGCGACAATTATGCAATTATAGATTAAAAGATTAGCTGATTACCTTTCTCCATCATCTAATTGATTCATGCACCCATTGTGTCGGCGCCAAATGATAAACCTGACGTATCAATTGGGGTAAAATGTGCTCATTTTAGAGGGTGCACTGCAGCAGGCGGTGCGAGGACTGTTCCGTTACCACCAACAAAGGCGGATAATAAATCAAAAAGATGCACTTATGTTTGTGTATATTTCGGCAGGGTTGGGATGAGCCATTTTATTGTGGGAAGTGGAGATACATGTGTGTAAATATCAACAAAAAGAAGGTAACAGGTGACGACTGTACATTACATTCTAACAAAAAAGGTGATGGTCTCGCAGTCGATTCAACGCAGGCTCCGAATATCTTAAACCGAGACTCGCGACTGAGTAACTTTATTATAGTCATTCATCTGTGTAAAGACAGTGCTTAGAAAATAGAAAGCAACTCATGACTAAAAGTTTAATTGGTTAACACTTTAAATCACACCTCTATCTATGTCTACGTAATTTCAATACAGCCATACAATACAAGTATTCACGGTTATTTTGTGGTTAGAGAAAAATACAACCAAAGAGGGTATGGAAATGCAAACATACAGCGGTTTTTAAACTTCTCATACATGTGAAATGGGTCAGAAAAGGCCGGCGGCCTCTTTGTATCAGCGGTACGATCTCATAATGCACAAAGGAAGGGAGGGGGGGGGTGAAATAATAAAGATCACAATTTTACCAAACATAGCCTGAGACAAGTGTACAATATGCACGCTTGTTGAAAATAAAAGCTATGTGAGAAAATAAAAAGTACTAATAGGCTGCTGATTCTCTGCTCGCTCTGGTAAAAATAAGTCTCTGATGTTTGTCCATGATTTCCATCTTCTGGCAGCTCGGTGCCACTGGAGAAAAGGGGGGGGGGGGGTTGTGTGGGGGCCGGGGCTTTGGGGAATAGTCACTGTGCTCCTCATCCAATGTGACAGCAGAAGAAAGGGGGCGCGGGAAAACTAGCTGAATTTCAGTGTTTTTTTAAGTCTTTTAATCTGTCAGATTTTTTCCGTATAAATCAATCAAGTCTCAAGCGTTTCATTCCGGTCTCAAAAGACGTCTTCAGGTGCGCTGCTGGGATGCTTTTGCTTTTTTCTTCTTCTTCTTTTCCTCTCCTTCATCTCCTGTGTGTCTCGCCGCCGGTGGAAGGGTTCTCATTGGTTGTTTTTGGCTTTGGCGTGTGTGAGGATGTGAGACTTGAGGTTGGTCGACTGGGCGAACTTCTTATTGCAGCCGTCGAAGGGGCAGACGTAGGGCCGGTCCCCGGTGTGGATCCGCACGTGTGTGCGCAGGTTGAAGTCCAGAGAGAAGCGCTTCCCGCAGCCCTCGAAGGTACACTGAGAGAAAGGAGAGGGAGTCAGTCTCCACAATACAGAGTGATGGTCCAATCACAGCTCACTGTCAAGCTTAGAGTTCCCTGCGTGGTCAAAGCGGAGTCGTGAGAACGACACTCGAAAGAGTGTTTGCGTATTTTGTGACCTTCCCTTAAACAAAAAGACACAAAAGCCGTAACAACGTCCCGCTTACTGGTTTAAAGTGTCGGATAACAAACAGAAAAAGTAATAACAGTTCAGTGTGGCGTCTGCGTGCGACACTTGCACACTTTGCATCAACGTAAGCAGCTCGCTCCCACAAACAGTGTTACCCAAATAAATGTGTGCACGCCATGTTAATCATAAGCGCCTTCTCTGGGAAGACAAACTGAGCTGTTTTGTCACGTTTCTCCGCAGCTGTAAAGGTTGACTTTGCCAGTGACAGTCTGCTGAATCGATGGCTCGTGTCTGGCAATGATAAACTCGGAGTCTGTCATTCTGCGACAACAAAGTCTGACAGGCGCAGCAACCGCTGACTTGAAACACAGACTCAAAACACACAAACACCAGCGCGAGCGCACAAATGTGATTGAAACGTGTCAGGAATCGTATTAAATCTGCAGCCGGTTCCCCGCCCGGTGTTTTTGAAGCCCGTCGCTTGTCACGGAGAGAATCTGCTTCCATTATATTAAAACGAATCAATCTACACTCTGTGGACTTTCACCGAGGACTCCGTGTGCACGCAGCTGAAAGAAGAAACGCACACGCGGGCTGAAAGGCCGCCGTGGCGCCGTTGTGTACGGAGACGAGTGCGTAGGAGCAGAAGAGCTACGAGTTACTCACTAACCAAACTACTTCATGCCAGGTTAAAGACGGCTTCTATGCAAAAACCTTATTTTGTTGATCACAGCAAGATTTTGAAGCAAGCACAAAATGAATGGTGTTTGCTGTGTGCGATGCTCATTCAACGAGGAGGCAAACTGGTATTAAAATGCTTTATTCTAAAGCCTTTTCTAAATTAAAAGTGAGCTCAGAACCCGACAGTCGATTCTTGAAAAGGTCACCATGTGCAGTAATATAGAAAGCAGAGGACGCGTCTCAACGCAAACCGCCGCTGCTTGGTGAGTGACATCATCATCATCATCCCGTTCTCCTCAGCTCGACGTTCACGTGAAACCATAAAGGGCTTATGAGCTTGAACCGTAACGGGCGTGACGTTAGCCCGGATGCCAACCTGGAAGGGTTTCTCCCCCGTGTGGACGAGTTGGTGACGTTTGAGTTTGGAGCTCTCGACGAACGCCTTGCCGCACTCGGCGCAGACGTGCACGCGGGGTCCGTGGGTGTGGAGGTGCTTCCTCATGGCCGAGTTGTCCCTGAACATCTTTGTGCAGCCCTGGAGACGAAGGAAGGTGCAGAGCGAGTTAAATAACGTACGGCCATTTGCAGAGGGGGGGGATTCTTTTTTTGTGGATAAGTGGCATCCAGAGTTGTTTTATTTCCTTTAATCCTAAAATAAGAAGCAGAGCTGCGTCTATTCTCTCCTAAAAATTGCAGAGCTTTGTGATCGGCTTCACACTCAAATGCTCACAGGGAATAAATCCTTTATATCGGCTAAACATTGAGTCCAGAAACGGTTTAATTGCTTTTGTAAGTACATAAAAATCAATTCACCAGAGTGCTTTCTTCACTTTTAAATAACCTTTACAGGAATGTTCAATTACCCAGAAAGCATAAATGTCAGACTCTTAAACCCATCAGGAACTGTGAGCTCTATTCTGTGGTGGGACGGCTCACTGGGGGACGACATGGATGGACTCACTTTGTGAGGGCACGCTATCGTCCGCGGAGCGTCGTCCTCTTTCACTTTCCTGGGCTTCATCCTGATTTGCGGAAAATAAAAAGACATGGTTTGGGTCGAACAAACAGGAATTCATCTTTACACAAGCGCCGCGTGTTATCTTCAGGTCCAGTTGTAATGTTGATTTGTTTTGGTTAATCAATAACGGATCAGCAGGAGGCCGCGCGCGACAGCGGAAACTTCCTCCCCGGACATTTCACCTATAGGTGCACCGTGTTTACAGACAAGTTATAAAAGTAAATTATTTTAAACTGACTGTTTGCTCAACTGTATTCATGATTTATTTTCTTCTGAGAAAAGTTGGTGTCATGTATATACACATAAACAAACATATTGTACAAAGAGCTGGCTCAAAGCGTTTGCACTAAATTAATAACAGATTATCTTTCTCTTGTGATTTATTCTTCTCTCTCGTGATTAACCGTAAACAGATAACCCGATGATTTATCACAGCCGTGTCCATCGTGCACTTCCTTTAACCTTTGTGTATCTACACTTTGTCTGTACCTCATCACACCCTCACCTGGCGAACTCGGCCAGCTGTTTGGGGTCCGAGAGGTCGATGCCCGGGATCCCACCAGGGGGCAGCTTCTTCCCCGTCATGTACTCGGAGTAGTCCGGGGGGGAGTTCTCCCCGACGATCTGCTCCTCCACCACCGACTCATGGTCAATGTCTTTATGGTTATCTAGGAACACATTACAGAGCCTGAACCGATAACACGGTGGTGGTCCCCTAGCAACGAGCCCGAGGGGGGCAAACACATCAGCAGCCACATTACAGATTCACCACGTTATGCAGAATTACTTTGGCATTAGTGAGAAAAAACGACCCATCTGTGTAATATCACCTATAGTTCAATCCCTTTCGGAGGTGTTCTGAAGGGTTTGACTGAACTGCATATATATGGCAAATTAATATAATTGCAAATATTTTATAAAAGAATTTACAACAAAAATAGCATACGCTGTAGCCATCATTCCTATGACTAAATTGCACAAATTTATTACCAATTTATATAAAGTGGCGTGTATCGAGCGAGCCAAAAAACGAATGGCCTTCTCCAACAAATACGTGTGTAAACATGGCTCAACTACTGAATCCTACTTTAATCCCCCTTTAGAGTGCAATAAAACACCCACAGATAGCTGCGCTGTACTCTTTAAAAAACACAACGTATGAAGCTATACATCAATCAAAGTTTGGTCGATACAACATTGCACGCAGTACCAGCACCAGGCAGTAGTTAGCCCGATGCGTGTGTGTGTGTGGGGGCGGGGGGAGCTAGCACCGGAGCTAACCGCTAACCGAAAGCTAACGACCCACATGCTAATCAGCGCCGGACTCTCTCACACGTATGTGTAGGTTTTCTGCATAACATGTTTAAAACGTCCACACGTGCATCCAGCGACACGCCAATTGCGAGCCGAGCGCAGCATGTGCGCCACAGCTTTGCGGCCCGCAGACATTCAAAAAACACATCGTTGTCTCTTTCTCCCCCCTCCTCCTCCTCCTCCCTGCTAGCACCGCCGCCATCTCTGCCCGGCCGCGACTATCGCCATTTTTTCGGGGGGCCGCCGCCATACTTACTAGTCTAAGGGAATATGGCGGCGCCCAGCAACACTTAAAACATGGCCTCCCTTCAAAACAATAACATTTCCATATGACACGGTGGTATTTCGTATCGAAAATCCGCCGCATTTGTCGCTTTTCGCGGCGGCGCAACGTAGCACTCCAGGAACTAGTCTGGTGCAGCAGGACAACGCCCTGGCAACGAGGCCTCATGTGACGGCTAACAACGGAGCTGACAAGACACGGCGGGGCTAACGTTTACTTACCCGATGCCCACATTGTAACAGAAAACTCCCCCTCCAGTGTCTTTATCTGCACCTGCTTCTGTTCCCATTTTCTTCCGCCGGCCTCCGCGCCGCTTAAATAGCTCTTTTTGCCCGCTTTCTTGCCCCCGTTGCCGCCTCCCCGTCTCATCCGACCCACCGAGCTTTTCCCGGCCACGGTCACCAAAGTCTGCTCGATGTACTCGTCCTCCGCTCCGGGAGCCGGTACCGGGATGAGGATCTGGTCCTCGAACCCGCTCCCGCCGTCCGTGTGCATGTCCGAGTCATCCCCACCGACCACCTCCTCTCGGGTCTGGACCAGGATCACCTCCTGGTGGTGGTGATGGTGGTGGTGGTGGTGGATCGAGTTCGGGTCGTCCGTGACCAGCGGCTGGAGCGCGATCATGGGCTGCCCGTCGTCCTCGTCGTCGTCTTCGTCGTCCTCCTCCTCCTCTTCGTCCTCGTCGTCCTCGTCGTCTTCATCGTCGTCCTCGTCGTCGTCGTCCCCGCCGACCACCGTGGTCTCGATAGTCTCCACGGGTATCGTTTCCACCTCTATCTCGTGAAGCTCCACGATCTCGGCCGGCATCTCCGAGCCGTCTGTCTCGATGTACAGCGTATCACCGGATGCCATGTTGAAGTCCGCCAGCTTGCCTCTCTCATTCACGCCGTGTTGTGCACCTTTTTGGGGACTTCAAAAACACACTTTCGCTCTCTCTCTCACACACACGCACACACACCCCCTGCTCTGCTACTGTCGCTGTCTGCTCTCCCTCTTCCTCGATAACAACTCCTCGCTCCGTCCCGCGCCAGTTCTCGTTGCCACTATGCTCTCCGACACCGAAACATCGCGAGATGTCGGTGAGCCCAGCGGTACCTCGACCACAGGGCTGCTGGTGGTTTGTTGACATGAGGTTGTGGGGTATTTTGTCACAACACCACTCCTTTGAAACCTTTTTTTTAAATGCATATGATTAAAGAGTAGCATTACATAATTGTAGTCAACGTAGGGAACGTCCGATCCGTTTTTTGCATCAATGTTTTTAAAATTGGAGCAATAACTATTATTACGCTTCATTTGTTGTCTATGTTATTGTTGTTCATATGATTCTAGAAGAGGTCGCAGTAGGAGGTTCTTTCTTCATTTTTATCGCTTGTTTTTTTAGGTTGATTTAATCATGATAATCAACGATCCTGTATGGACAGTGCACAGGTGTATAAATGGCCTTTGATTAATGTTTGGGTTTGATTTTTCTCCAGAAATGGTAACTACAGTATGATTGACAATAGTTTATTCTTGGCCGCTTTTGTTTTTAACTTTTAGTTAGTCCAGCACTACTTCACACCCCTACTGATGTGTAGTTCTGTGACCTCAACCGAAATTTATATTCAACTTACCAAACACTGTTTGTAGATGGAAAGTTGGGGAATTCCTATAAAAATGTTTTAAAATCCGGACACACCACACTATGGTTGAATATATCAATAGTTACATTTTTTTTAAACATTTTTTAAGAAACACTTTCATTAACATTAAATTAATCATTACATAAATGGATTATTTGACTTTATTTCTTCTTTTTATATTCAGCAAACACACTTGCAGGAGACTTTAACAGCCTCTAACATTGTGTGCAACACTTGCTTAACACATTACGGTTGCACAGAAACGGCTCAGATGTTTCACACTTCTCTTTACTGCACCAGCTGGAAGTTTTTACCTTCTGTTTTTACGTTGATTTTTTTGAGTCAGTCAAAATCAGCAGACAGGCATTGAAATAGCAACAAACACAAAGGCAACGAGACAGCCTCATTAATGCAAGACATTGTTCACAGTTTTATTTGAATTCATTTTTTTTTAAAGTTAGTGCGTTTCTTTTTTTCTCTTTGCCAACCTGGAAGCACTTTGTATTCAAAGGAGAGAATAAAAAGAAAAACTCTTCAGCCGATAAACATTTTATTAACAACATGATCACAAATACTCTGGTGTATTATTTATTCATTTTTTTTGTTTATAAGATTTCAATATCCAAAGAAGTTTATTCCACCCTCGGTTTCAGGTCGCAGCCTGTATTTTTCTGCCGTGGTTCCACACGTGTTGGCGAAAGGGATAAAAAACCTTTAAAAAATGTTCCAGGTTAAATGATGAGAATTCTCTTTTTTTGGGATGTGCTTCCAAGTATATCTAAAACTAAGGAAAATGAAAAGAAACAATTTTAAATAAAAAGGCTGACATAAAATTATGTGCAATTATAATAATTGACATTATTATTACTATCATATTCTCATGATTGTTTCCTCATTATTACCATTGTACTCGCTACACAACTACTACTCATATCAACATTACACTGACAATCATAACAATGATAGTAAGAATAATGAAAATGATAGTAAGAATAATGAAAATGATAGTAAGAATAATAATAGTAAAAAGTTTTAAACAAATTTGTCAAAGTTTTTCCATTTTTCTTCAGGCAGAGGACAAAGGGGCAAAATGGGCAAACAAACAGAAACAGAACATGTGAGGGAATCAGTGCGAGAGTGTGTCTCATTCACGTCCAAACACACAAACAAACGTTACACGCACACGCCGCCGCCGGTTACGCCGCCGTTGCTTCAACACCGCAGCTGAACAGGACGAGTAGATGTCACAGTTTGGGCCTCCGGTTCCTGACTTCTCTCCTTCCTCCTCCTCCTCCTCCTCAGCGGGGCCACAGCGGCTGATGCAGGGCGCCATGGTTCAAAAAGGTGGTTCATGTCGGGGGAGTAGCTTCTGAAAGATTATGTCGTGCTGATTCGACTGAGTTCATGTCTAATGGCTGTGGGGCGAGAGAGAGGAAACAAAGGTCAACAACACCTTCTCAACGACCCTCCACAAAAGAATCACTCCAGGTCCGGCGGGATATTTGCAAAGTTGAAAGAGTTTCCCCGATTGTGTCACTGTGATTTAATCAGGCTTGTTTGGTATTGACCCCTCAGCAGGCCCCGCCCCCTGCTGCTACTCCATCAAGCTGTCACAGCGTCGTTACCGTGGAAACAGCACTGTCACTATCTGCGCTGCCCTGTAGAAACATCCTCTGTAGGCGGTTTGACAGACAGGGAGGTTCTGGTGAACGAAACTATCCTGCTGAATTTTGGAGAATGTGGGATGCCGTGTTTTTGATGTTGGATCCACAAAAGAGAATAAAAAAAGGAAGATATCTCGGTTCTCCTGTTCTCAATCTTTCAATCTTCCTTCTGTCCGCGAAAATTACATTAATATGTTTACAGAGTGCCTTTCATTCATTAACACTCAAAGTATCCAAAATCTAATTATGAGTCAATGTTAATAATATTATCACATCTTTAAAAAGCAGTATATGTCTTTATCAGGCAATTTGCCCATTCTAATATATATATATAAATACATTCAATTAACAGGATTATTCTGTAATGTATTATTATGTTTGTTACAATATTGTATTAATGTATTATTATGTTTGTTACAATATTGTATTAATGTATTATCATTATTAATGTTGAATTCTATAATGCCATATTATGTATTATTTTTCCTTATACCAATGCCATTTTTTTACAGGTTTCCCACTAAAATTCTAAGAATGCTGATTGATTGTTCTTACGTGTATGTTACGTTTTAAAATAGTGCTTGTGTACATCTGCTTTGACTTATTTAGTCGAAGCAAAGGACATATACTTATAGTTTACATTTTTAGGTTTGTGCGTCTCTAGTGTAACCTAGTGGTCACTATTCCACATAACTACCAAACTACCATCATGCAGATCAGACCTCCGATCAAATGTGAACAGAAACCAGGAGAGAAAATGAAACATACCATCGATGATTTCATCCTTCACTTTGTGCAATTCACGAAACACCTCCTCCAAGATTTCCTAACGAAGCAAACAGATCAAAGTGTCCATCGCACGTTTCTTCGTTTACAGCAGAAACCTTCGTACACAGGAAGCGACCGGGCAAATTCAAATGCACCTTTTATGTTTTCTTTACCTGTTTCATCCTGTCGAGGTCCAACGAGTCTGCGTCGCTGCCCCCCCCCGCGGGCCGCACCCTGCGCGATAAAACACACCTTAAAACAGGTCCCCCTTTGTCACGCTGGCATTCACAGACGCCGCCTCCGGCTCTCACCTGGAGGCCACCGACCTGTCGGCGGAGTTAGCTCGGTCCCACGGCTTCTTTGCATCTAGACGACAGGGACACGCGTGAGTACGGACGGAGTCTCCTTAGTTTTGTTCTTTGAGTCTAATGCTGTTCATAACCACAAGTCCCTCCAAAACATATCAAATCCTCTTTCCTCCACTTCCATCGGACACGTTTCCCTGTTGCGTGACACAAATCACCTGCTGTAACACACCTGTGGCGTTCTGTCCACTCCGGGTGCTGGGGGACGGAGAGTTTGGATCGTCCTAAAGAAAGGAGGATATTACTTAATTTATTACCACATATCATCACTACAACATTACGCTTCCTTTTGCTTCTGCATGTTCGGACCATTGCAGTGATTCGTTTCACCCAGATGTGAAACGTCAGAATAAAAAATGATCCTCCTTCTTTAGCCGATCACAGCTAAAGTGTCTTCTGTCCACTCACATTTTGGCTGTCCTCGGGCCTCTCTGAGGCTGCTTTCCTTCTGGGGGGGAAGAAGAAGCCTCGAGTAAGAAGAGGGAATTGTCAACGGGGTTGAAGAGCGTAACAATAATAACATTAATCAGCCGTTGATTGAAGGCTTTATAGTCCAATTACTTCTAATCTAATTTAAGGGGGTTTGTTCTCAACTCCCTGCCCTGACCTTCGCGCCAACAGGGCGTTCATCTCCTCCATCAGTCCTCCGCTTCCTCCACTCGAGCGGTTGGCATCGTTCTTGGCGCCTGAGGGGCTCTCGTCTTGGGGCTGCGGGGGGAGGGGGAGGAGGCAGAAGGGAGACGTCACTCTCTCACGCACACAGACAGTGGAGATAATCCGCTTTCACCCGACTGGCGTCTCACTCTCTGAACGCGCCGCAGCTTGGCTCCGGCGATCATGGCGGCGAGGCCGGTCTGGGCGGGGGGCTCGTCCGCGTCGCTGCCCCCGCCCATGGGGAGCGGCGGCGGCAGCGGAGGCGGGGGGGCCCCCGCCGAAGGCGGCGGAGGTCCCGGCGGCGGAGGAGGCGGAGGAGGGCCGCCCATGTTCATCGGGGGAGGTATTACCGGGGGGGCCACGGAGAGCACGGCAGGGTGGCCCTGGAAAGGAGAACCTGGGGGGACATTTGTGGATGAATGCACCCGGGACTCTATATTTATATGTATTATACAGAAAGAAAGAATTCCAAATACACATTTAGTTCTTGTTTTACTACGTTCTCCTAACTGCCATTAAATGCGACTTTGCAAATTCAAACATACAAATTCAGACAAACTTGGAATACAAAAAAGAATGAATATAAGTAATAAACTGGGGATGTTTTATCATAATATCTAGTTCATTTTTTTCCCCCCTTTTCACCTGTAGTGTCAAAAATATGGCTGCTACATAACGGCTGAAGAATAAAATGGCAAATTTTCATATTTAAACATACGTTTTCAGAAAAATTGGAATACAAAAACCAAGTGTCTTCATGTAACTTTTTCAAGGTTCCCCTCAATGCGAGTACCTGAGTTGGAGGACCGCAGCTCCCGCTCCATGTGAGCCTGCATCTGCTGCTGCTGCTCCATCATCTGCCTGAAGACACAAGGAGGAAACGCTGCCGGTCACTCAGCGCCGCAGCATCGCGTCTGATTTGGGCTTCTGTCATTTAACCGTCCATGCAGGAGCAGTGCGGCTCACTCCATCCCAAGAGGCCCGAAACACAGTATTTACTGCAGGCGCCACATAGAGAAGCTTATTGAATCTAAATTATCCTCTGAAGCCAAACGTCTTTCGCTTCATCCACTGGTGCAACTTCCGTTCGCTGTGCGCACTTCTGCTCACACACCCGTCAGCACAGCTGAGGGCAGCTTCACGCAACGAATCAAACGTCCTCCCGTCTCTCCATCGACTCCACCTCCCGACCCTCCTCTCGGCGTGAGAAGCAAATGTGTGTCACGACACACCGGAGAGAGACAGAGAGGAAGTGGATTTTTTTTTCGCAGCCGTGTGCGTTGGAGAGAAGTGCTGAGCCAGCGACCTTCAGGCGGGGAGTTTGTAGAGCTCAGTCAATTAAAATGTATCCCCCCCCACACACACACACACACATACAAACACACACCCACACGCACACACAACCCCAAACATCACACGCGTAAGCGCCCAATCTCCCCTCCCAATTACAGAGTTAATCCTTTAGTGCCGGAGGTCCAGGTCCGCAGACACGGGATCAGAAGCTCCCGTCACATCTGTGCTCTCCATCCGTGGCCTTTTGCACGAACCGATGGGCGGCGTTTAAAAACTGTCCGTCTCCGAGGGGGAGACGGGAGCGGCGGGGGAGGGACGATCCGGCCCCTCAGTGAGCCGTGGAAACCGTCTCCAGCGTCACTTCCCGCTACTGCTCATCTACTATTTTGTTTTTTGTTTAATCTGTCAGTCGGATTCGGGAGAAGTTTGTGAGATTTGAAGGCACATTTTCAGCTATATTTTGCTATTTTATAATCAGATCATCGTTGGGTTTCAGTGAACAAACTTTACCTCGCTCTCTGAACTTCCATCTCATCTGAAGTTGGTCCATTCTGGACGTGGCGCTGGACAGCGGGACCTAAAGACACAAATGAAAGCACGGAGAGAAGAAACACAGATAAAGGAAGTAATCCATCAAAATTAGTGCCAGTCAAAAGATAATTAACACCCGAATGACTTAAACATGAAGTCCTCTTTCTCCCGTAACGAGCAATGAAAAGCATATCAATCCCCCACCCGTGGTGATTGGTTCCCGTTACCCACAATGCACTAATAACCACCTCTGGTGTCTGAGAACGACGCGAGAAGTCCGCCTGCAGATGTGATGAGAAGCACCTCGTGGTTCAGGGTTATGAGCCAGACGGAGGCCTCCTGTCACATCCGCCGCGTGGGGTCAAAGTTCACAGACAAGAGGGCCCTGTTTTGATATTTTGAGGATTTTTGATCAAATCTCAGATGTTCATCGCTGCTTCTTTCTTCCATGTAAATCCCAGGAGGCGCCGTATCAGAGGATCGGGGTCTTTGGTGAGTTATCTCTGCCTTATAGGCTACAAGCCACTCGGGTGTAATCCCTTTAACACCACCAAGTGAGATCCGAGAAAGATGGAGACGAGATAGGGAACGTAATTAATGGCAGACGCGATAAGATGCGAACAAAAGGACGACGGAATCAGAGCGAATCGTCAGAATTCAACAAAAGTCGTCGCTCATCGCTGAGCTCCTCCGGGACAAAATCCATCTTCATCGCTCCTCCTCACCACAACTTGAGTGGCAACGGTTCAGAATTTAGTGTTATTTACACACGGCGTGTTAGGAGGTCTCCGCTGGTTGCTTGGCAACCTCTCTGTGATTACAAGACATATATATATATATATATATATATATATATATATATATATATATATATATATATATATATAAATATATAAAGTACAACATAAACTACAGCGTAACAGGAAACGCAGAAGTACAACATTGCTGCTCTGCCACCTACAGGAAATTCACTTTAGTGCCAAAGAGTAATTTATCCAGTACTAAAACCCAAATCTTCTATCATGATATGGGTACATCTTGATAACGATATATATATAAAGATAAAGCACAGCATTAAAATAGTCTGTATGAAGTGTGTCGACTAAGAATATTCTGTCATTTTACTTTAAAGCAAAATAATCCTATTTTCTCAGTAATTATCCATTTAGATCCGTTATTGTAAATCAGTAAATTAGCACAAAATGTAAAAAAAGCCATGGGTTCAAAATGTACTGTAAGTTGCTTTGGATAAAAGCGTCAGCTAAATGATGTAATGTAATAATGCTCTTGGCCCTCATGGCCTCCGGCTCCCACATCCTATGTTTCCTAAGAAAAAAAACATAAAGTTCTTCGTAATTTCCTTGGGGGTGGGTCACAGTAGCCCAGAAAACCGGCGCCCTTGCGTTTCAGCATTGGAATCCACAGAATAGTTTTTGTTGGGAGAGACGCCTATGGGCTGATTCTCGCGAAGAAAGAGGTTATTTTCCGCCTTTTTAGTCACGACTCCAAAAACTTCTCGCTCCGTCCCCATCTCCCCGTGCGCTTGAAATAAATATCGATTCCCGGTGATCTTGGTTACTACCCTCCTCGTGCAAGGAAGAGGAACTGTGTTTTGATCCCTCATAGGCACTCACAACGCTTCTCCCCGATGACCTTTTTTGGTTTTCGGCCGCCTTTCCTCCCCTTCCATCCCCCCCCCCCCCCCCCCTCACCCCCCTCTCCTCCGCCGCCTCCTCCGCCAGAGTATCGCCTGTCATCTCCCGGTAACACAAACCTGCGGGCAGCAGCCGCGCAGCGAGCAGCTCACGTTAATGTTTCAAAAGGTCGGGTTTGTCTGTGGGGCTGCCACACGCACACCACACACGCACACACACACACTCACACACACACACACTCACACACACTACAGGGAGCGGATCCACATCCACGATGAGCCTCGTGCGTACAAATCGCCCGCCGAGCTGTCGTATTAAAACGTCACGAATTAAGGTTATTTACACTTATCATCAATACATTTCAGATTTTCTTTCCACGGTGCTGAAAAATAATGGAAACCTGGACATTTGAGTCGGCTGAGCGATCTGTTGAAGGAGGTTCTGTTTCATGAATGAAAGCTTCAGAACACCCTTTAAATGGGCCGAGTTCAGCGACTGTAGAAAGAACGAATCGACTCAATCTGTCATTAGTTTGTTCAACTAGTCTATGAATAAATTACTCTATTGAAGACATAATAGTATTTGACCATCATTCCCTGGTCCCATTTAAGCCCAAATTGTGCTTGTATTAAAAATTAAATAAACCGAAACAATCAATTCTTTCCATTAGCGAAGCCGCTAGCCGAACTTATTTTGGCATATTTACTTGATTGCTGATTTAGATTTAGTTTAGTTCAAATAAACGCAGGATCAAAGGTCAGGCCTTCTCACCACTAGAGGGCACTAGAGGGGGGCGGCTCACCGGCTTTAGGAGGAGAGAACAAGGCAGACGCAAGAACTATGAGCACACACGTGAGGTCTTCTGCCACCAAACAAACCAAAATGTGTAAAGTAAATGTTTAATCTTTCTGTCCCTCTCACACACACACACACACACACACACACACACACACACACACACACACACACCGCTGCTGTGATGTCACCCCTGCACACAGATGGTAGCAAGAGGATCCTGTGTGTGTGTGTGTGTGTGTGTGTTTGCATGCTGTCACTAGAGCCTCTTGATTTCCCTCCCGTGTCTTAGGGAGATGATGAGACTTCCTCTCTTAAACGAGCCCCCCGGGGGGGGGGGGGGGGGGGTCTTCTCAATGACTCACTCAAATCCAGAGGGTGGAGGAGGTGGAGACACACGCCGCAGCTGCAGCGATGATGCTGAAGGTGCTCGATTGCCCTTCCCTTCCACATCGGTGTGTGCGTGCTGCCTTCCAGCACGTGCACACCACACACACACACACACACACACACACACACGTGCGCGCGCACACGTGCACACACAGGGAGGTCCAGAGGAGGAGGTTGGCTCTCCTCCATGTATATCCTCCGTTTTTATTAGGTGTTTTGGCCCCCCCACTTCTTCCACTGAGGAACAAACACAGCCTGAAACCTATTAACACAGATTTTGTGTGCGCTTGGAGACTGTCCCAGTCCCAGTGCATGATGAGAAACCCTCCCCCGGGCTGTCTCCCTGACCCGGAGAGCCGATGCGGCTGATCGAAATCCACTGTGATTGTAATATTTACCAGTAGATCGGTCTAACGTGGTAGTTTCAGAGGGAGAAACGCACTCCCGTCTTGAGCGCTGAGGACGTTGAGGGCGAAGAGCATGGCGTTGGAGAAGGTGGTGGCTTCCTCCTTGCTGGCGAAGTGAAGGCGTTAGACCTCCCGGGCGTCCCGCCACTGGTGAAAGGTCGGGGTGGCCTGGTTGTACTTGAGGCCCTTCACTATGGAGTAGTTGATGACCACCTGCGAGCGGGGGGGGGGGGGAGGAAATAAGGAGACAATCTGATTTGTCACTCGTCACACGTTTTACGTGGTTCACACCACGAGCTTCAGTCTGGAACAAACGTGCTGTTGTGAAAACGTAACGGTGTGGGATTATTTCTCGCCGCCGTCCGCCGTCTCACCTGCTGGTCCTGCAGCTTGACGCCCACCACCCTGAAGGTGTTGTTGGCAGTGTTGTGGTAGATGTTGATGCGGCTGAACCCCTGCTGACCCGGCTTGATGGGCACCCACTTCTTACTGGTGTCGTCGTAGACCATGACCGAGGCCCGGGCCTGGCAGATGCTCTGCTCGCTGGGGGGGAGAGGAGAGTCAGTTATGTGCAGGATTTCATCAAGGAAGACGTATCTTTACACTTTTTATTATTCTATATTAAAGAAAGAAGAAGTGCGGCGGCGGGGGGGGGCGTAAGTGAGATCATTACAGTGAACAGGACAACAACTCAGTCTGTTGTGTTACACTGGCAGTCTGATCCAAATGTAATCAAGCGCTTGTCCAGCATCTGGTGATGTTCTTAATGAGAGGCAAAGGCAACGTGTGTGTGTGTGTGTGTGTGTGTGTGTGTGTGTGTGTGTGTGGCCTCCAGCGTTGGCTCTGCCCGCCCTCCCATCTGACCGCGTTAATCTCTCTCTCTCTCTCACTGTGGAACGCCGTGGCGTCCTGACCGTCACGACGAGCGAGCACTTGGTCCAAATGCCAGTTCCCGGCTGCATGTCTGTAAACGATGGTGAAAATGTTCACGGCAGTCAGTGTTACAGGAGCCCTCCGTGTCCACGTAGCTCGTCGTTAACGGCTGACCGTGATCTACAGGCGCTCTGTTCGCTGTCTCTACGTCGCGCTCAAACACCAGGTGCTAAAATCGCTGCCGAGTGAGGAGGAGAAACACGGGAGGAGCAACGGAGAGACACGTTTGGCCTAACGAGGAGAGTCCCATCTGTGCCTCTGCCTCCACGCCGAGCTAAAAATGAGCGGATCGACCCCTGAGGCCGAGGGAAAAGAGCCGCGTCAGAGAACAGAAGGAGGAGGGAGAAGAAGAGTCTCGGCTTGGAGAGTTTGGTGTGTGGACGCAGCACAGATGAAGCCCACAGTGAGAGACAGTAGCCTGCAAAAATAAAAGATGAGGAAGCCGTTCGCAGAATGTGTTGTGGATGGAGTAGTTACGCCTTAATGAGAAAACACGTCAGACGACGTCCTGAACGCGCTGCAGGAATCAGCTGAGAATTGTTGGACGGGATAATAAAAGCTGAATTAACACCCTGCTGCATTGCGTAGCTATAAATAACTTCCTCTCAGGTTAGTTTGCTTTCTACACACAGATCAGGTTATTTGACACTAGCGGCCTCCGATGTGCACACACTGGAAATGAGGCCGAGCACCAGCAGGGCAACGATGTGTTTAATTTATTTTCTTTAACTTGTCGACTCTGTTCGTTTTTAAAAAGGAGTCGGAGTCGTTGGCAACTAGCCGGGAAAAAAGAGGCCCAGGAGCATAAATGAATAAATGAGGCTCTAGAAGAGACTCGAGCAGTAAAAACCAGGCAGATGTGGACATGAAGTGGTGGAGAGGGTGGAGAAGAGGGGGGGGGGGGCTGTGTAGAAGCCGAGGCAACAAGAAAGCACGTTCACGTGACTGACAGTTATGGGATACACAAACACACACACACACTCGTGCATGCACACGCGCACATACGCAGGGACGTTGCGTAGGACGCTCCACCAAGAAACCCGTTGAAAAATTAACAATTGCTGCTCGAGACATAAATAAATTAGATGCTTTGGAATGTACCTTGACAGTACACACACACACACACACACTCTAAAGGCCGTCCTCCCTCGTGGCCCCGTCCACGTCGGTGCAAACACAGATTCAAGCTGACAGGGACAGACGGAGAAATCTCAGAGAGCTGCTCAGAAAAAAACGTCTTCCGTTGATCAAAGAAACGCTCCGAACGCGGAGCAGCGACATAGGAAGGCGTTTGCTTTGAGTGGCCTTCGTATACACACAACCAAGTGGATGTTACGTTTAAATCCAGCTACATTACCCAATTTACCCCTGCAGAGCCAACTGCACCATAGGTCATTGAATGCAGCACCGACGCTGAGGGAAGCGCATGCTAAGTTGAGGCTGCAGCACATGCACCAAAAGCTGAATCCAACACTTTATAGTATAGTGTGTACTGTGCCCTGTACTCAGATGTGTAGCTTTAAAAGCATCATTATTAATATGCACTAGTTAATAGGTCAGTGCGTCTTCCTCAGGTCACATTAATGAGGGACTGTGATGATAAACATGATAAACAACACAATTATTCATCCACTCTGCTGCTTGTTTTGAAATAATAAATAATTATGGCTCAAATGCAACCCCTTTATCATTGTCATCTTCAGACACACACTCTGCACACACACACACACACACACACTTTACACACACTGCAGCCCCATTAGGTTGCTCCCCTTCGAGTCGCAGGTCATCGTGGGATTAACTCCCTCACACATACACACTAAAGACTTTCCGCAGCACGCAGGTCAGACTTCATCCCCGATGAGGGTCTCACGGCCCCCCCCCAACACCTGGACCTGCCACGCCGCCGCCTCCACCTGTTCTCTCCAACCGGCGGCTTCAAACCCGCTTCGTTCCCCCTCTCCATCTCTGGTGACTGCGCTAATTTTACTCTGATCCGAGGCGAGCAGCACAGCTGTCAGAGGGGAGGGATGCGCTTTTGATACCCCGCCGCAAGAAACACAATCAGAGCTTTGATCCCCTCAATTTATATATAGCAAAAATACTGCTTGGTGATGGAATTTTGCTAAGAACAAAAAAAGGTGGAAATTCTCACATTTACACGTCACTTATTGCTGTAGTGTGAGATGGTTTCCCATCCGAGGGGGGAATTTGGTATATTTCTATATAGAATTTCATTGAAACTGTGTGAATGTTCGACTTTCTGGTCAGATATCTTAAGTCTGTGTGTGTGTGCAGCAGTGAGCGCTTGGCCGTGTCTTTCCGGGACACTGATCGTTGCTGTCAGAGGGCCTCGTGTGCGACTCGGGCCTCTCGGCGGCTCGTACGCCACCTTGCAGACGTCACGGCATCAAAGCCGCCGCGCCGCTTCCACTTCCACGCAAGGACGCGCGCCGAACTAGAAGCTGCACGCAAATGTTTGTGTACACACTCAAGAGCGATGCGGTTCGTCCTTTGTGGTTTTCTGCACGGCAGCGGGATCAGTCTCAAGTGACAAGTTTCCCTCTGATTAAATGACTTTCTGTAAACGGTGGGTGAGAGTAAGTGGAACATTTCAGCACAGCGACAGCACATCTGTTGACTCCAGGAAGCAGCAGCGGGACACTCTGATGTTTGGGCTTCTCTCTCTCTTGGCAGCGGTGGTAATGATAATTATGTGAATGAAACCTTTTTCCTTTATCTATGCGAGTGGAAATGTGTCATGATAAGCACATTGATTCCTGAGTCATCGCTAAAGGAGGAAAATAGCGCCTTGAAGCTGAAATGTGAAAACATCGAGAAACCCTCTTGACCTGTCAAAAGCCTTCAATGATTATATTATATTTCTGTATTTATGGGGGAGTATATTAGGAAAATAGTGCATAAAAGCAAGAAGACAGAAATACGCTAACTGCCGGACAGTATTGTCCCTGGGGGGAAACCAGCCAGCGGGCAGCAGTGGCGGCATTGGGGGATAAAAAATGACTGATGTCAAAACTGATTTGGAGGATTAGCTCGTGCGGTGGAGCCAGAAGAAGAGCTTTACGCGTAGTAAACCTTCGGATTTGGCGCATAACCAACGGGAGAAACCGTGGACACGAAGCTGCAGCTCACTCGCCACGCGGCGACACGGTGTCAGGAAAGCATTATTATATCATCACAAAAGACAGCATGCGTCGAGGACAAAGAGAGAGGACGATGCTACATTTTAAATGCAGTGGGGGATGCACGCCGCTACTTAATACACAGCTGCTTTAAGTGTAGCGAAATGGTACAAATACAAGCTGTGTGGTGCTCAGTCATCAGTGATAACCGTTCGTTACACTTCGATCTTCGAGGTGAGACTGACGCGGGACATTTTCAAACCATCCATCCATCCATCCATCCATTGTCAAACCGCTTATCCTGCACACAGGGTCGCGGGGGGCCTGGAGTCCATCCCAGCCAACTTCGGGCGATAGACGGGGTACATCCTGGATTGGTCGCCAGCCAATCGCAGGGCTACACAGAGACATACAACCATTCACACTCACATTCACACACCTACGGGCAATTTAAAGTCCCCAATTAACCTGATCCCCTGAGCATGTCTTTGGACTGTGGGAGGAAGCCGGAGAACCCAGAGAGAACCCACGCAGACACGGGGAGAACATGCAGACTCCACACAGAAAGGCCACTGGGCAGCGTTGAACCCAGGACCCTCTTGCTGTGAGGCAACAGTGCTAACCACCACGCCACCGTGACGCCCGGCATTTGCAAACCAAATATTGCCAAATATCTCCTCTTGTGGTTGGTGGCTTCTCGCGTGCCAGTTGCCGCGGCGACCTTGAGACTTGCCGAGCAGCCGCTTGATGCAACATTTAGATTCCACATTCTGGTTTTCATCACTGTCGGCTATTCTCGTGCCTCAACAGTTTAACTCACGTCCCCCCCCCCGCCACACTTTAAGGACATTTTACTACGTTAAGTCCCTACCGGGTGAATAACAAGACAGTAACTGATTCACTAACGTCTATTACTCTGTGAATAGACGTTGCTCAGGCAGATTTTAGATTTGTGTCTCAGTAGCAATGGAGGAGGAGTAGAGCGGATCATAATAAAGCTTCTTTGTGTCCCACAGCCAGCTGCTCAGAGAGAACAGCCAAATCCCAGAGAGTTCGCTGGCAGAACAATCGTCTCCACAAACTGTTTGTCTTTTCCGTCTAACTCCATGACAAAATGTTCTCTGTTGCCCGAGACAGCAGGAAAATCATGGAGCCCGCAAACCCCAAAAAGGGTGCACAATGCGAAGTCTTGTGCGCGCATACAAGTGCTTGTGTGTGTGTGTGTGTGTTTCTGCACGTGTGAGCGTTCATCTGCATGAGACATCGAAGCTGCATAAAGCAAAAGGAAGGAACAGCTGACTGGCTTAAACATTTATAAGCGCGCGGGGGCGAAGCTACATTAGCAATGAGACTGAGCCCGAGCTAAACCTCGGCGCTCATGGAAAATGGGATAAATCGAGCTAAACCGACACCACGATCCAACCACAGGGGCCAGTTGGCATAATTACGAGCCACTTTGTGTAAATT